ACTATAAGAGTGAAGGATTGTAGAATTAAGAGCTACAAGTCAAGAACTGTAAGTGTAATATAAACGAAGCAGGTCTGGTTTTCTAAGCACTATGATTCCTAATTGAGTTACTACAAAGCCTTGTGTGCTGCAGAGTTCTTACTATAAGGACAGATACCTGGTCTTTCTAAACACTTATCTTCAAGCATGTGACTGTCTGAAATACTGGTAACATCACTATACGCGTGAGCAGAGGTTGGTGCAGAGCCGCATCGAACCCGATGTCGGGCCCTTTCACTGCTCATCAATCTAGGATATTTACGCCATCGATCTTGAGCTGTTCTTATTCAGTTCTAGGACATTCGCCCTAATGATGGAAGTAAACTTTGAATACGCAAAAGGCGACTCCGGGATGTAATTGTTTTGAGCTTAATTAATGTGGAGATTTGAATCCTTGATATCAGTGCTGCTATTGGAGATGAAGAGATCATCAAGAGCATGTGATTAAGTGATATTGGGATACCTACCTTTCTCGTCATTTACTAAAGTAAGACGTTGCGGCGCACTTGATACTGTATTGGCCAAGCCGAGCACCTGCCTTTCAATCCTGCGCACGGCTCCTGCTCCGATACAACATTCACAATCAGCTACCTGTTGATACGCCTCCTTCACACCTCATCCATTGGACAGCCTTGTGCACCCTTGCGGTGACCGGCTTGCACACGCTACCTTGGACAATATCTATCCCACCTGGCGTAGATTACGACACGTTCAGTGGACCCAATATAACCTTGGTTCATGTCCTCTGGTTGCATTATTGGCGGGCATGAACCTTTTTTGCTTTTTCCTTGACACCGGTCCTGCCTTCACCGCTCACAGCCTCAATCGTGTCTTCATTCCAGGACCATGTTGATTCGACAGAATGAGCCGCCGCAAAGTATGATGCGGCTGACTCCGGGATATCATAATCATCATCATTGAACGTGGACCTGCTTACAGACTAACAGCTTCTCCGGTCCCGCTCCACCCAGGCCCTGGTGTTTATCGGGCGACTGCCTTACGAGATGGCCGGTATCCTTTCATACGCCGATTGTTAGTCAATAGTCGTGGAAAACACTTCCGACCACTATTTGGCCTCGACTCCTTGTATCTGATGATGACGAAGCCCTGCCCAGTCGGCGAGATGGCACCATGCCTTCATGTTCAGCTGGGCCAACCCAACGCGCGTGAAGGATCTACACAAAGGGCAGCCTGGGACTTGACCACCTGTATACCCTCTATTGGATCCCCATTGAACTGTCGGTGAAGAAACACCGGATTTCGTGCGCCAAAAGCTACCTTCCTTCGAAACGGTACCCAGCAGGACACACACAGTGCCATGAACGAATCATCCCAATGGGCAAAAGCAAACCATACTGTTCAATTACGAGGCTTGCGCAATACCTTCCAAGGTTTGATCGAAAGCAAGCTTCCTGGGAGATTAATCTTGTGGATACGTCTATGCGGTCAAGGCCATGAGAACTTGAAACAACAAAATGTCAGATTCATGGACACTGCTGCTACATGTCACCAAACAGGCACGTCACTGCGCAGGGAAAGTATTGACATGAATACCCCTGCCCTCACCACGTGCCTGTTTCAATGACCATGGTCTCTGAGTTCTCCCAAACTGTCATCTTATTGGTGGGACGAACGCTTCTGAACGTCACAAAAAGCAAAAAGTCGACCACACCATGCTGACCCTAATCCATCTTCGAGTACGGGACCATGCACCCAGGCGTTGATTCGCACAAACTCTAAATCTCAGGTGGAAAGTGAACGCACTAAGAGGACGTTCTTGCATGCAAGCTAAAGACTCCTGCATATTGTGGAAAACCTGCTTGGCTACCTTGACAGCGGTTTCGAGATTTGACATCTTTTCTGCAAACACGTCACGGAACCATTCGGTATGGTGAAAGTTAAAGAATATGATGACCATTCAAAAATAAGGTGACTATATACACGTGATAGGAGCTTTCCTCGAGATCGAACTGGTGGGTACGTATAGCGAAAGGAACGAATGCAACAGCTTTTGTCGGCCTCGATTGCTTTTGGAAAACCCTTTTAGCAACACCATATAACAAATCAAGTAGGAAACCGGGTTAATCAACATAAACGCCACGAGAAGTATGCACGAGCGCTCAACGCCGATGAAATGCTTAACCATGTTCCGAACACAACGAAAGTTCATGCGCTGATCGCCAGAGAAAGCGGAGTAGGTGCAGCTCGTTTGGAGAAGACAAGAAGAACGGAAATACTGCCGCAGGTTGGTCCAGTGTGACGCAATGCTGCTGAGCGAAGAATGAGGGGTCGCGCGACGTCAGGCCCGACGCTCATAGAGAACTTTCGACAGCCATGAGCTCGTCAAACGATTCTCGCCACCTCCGGACCTCCTCCTTGTTGGGTCTCGGCAGCGGTTTGCGAGCATATCCTCCGTAACCGTGGTGAGCCATCAAGGCCGCTTTGGTGCCGATGATCCCGCCTTGAATAGCGGCCCAATCGCCACGGGCTACAATGGCTTGCAGCTTGCGTGCATCCGCGAGTTGACCTGCCTCAAAGAGTTCGACAAGTCTGACGCAAGCCTTGGGCGCAATGTTGGCCATGCCGCCAATGATTCCGGAACCGCCTCCAATTAGAGTTTGAAGCGTGAAATCAACCGAGCCGCCCATACACATGAAGCCAGAACCCGGCTCAGAGACAGTTGCGGCTCGGGTAGCGGCTGCAATTCGGTTTAGCTTGCCGGTATTTCCACAGGTCAATTTGCATCCAACAATGTTGGGATGCTTCGCCAACGCGATGATGGCATCGGAATTGAGGTCGAGACCAGAGACAGCGCCGGGGTAATTGTAGATGAGAATTGGAATTGGAGAAGCAGTGGCAACGTCCTGGAAGAAATCCATAATCGTGTCCTTGGAGAACAATCCTTGGTAGTATGCTGGGGGAAGCACTAACGCATAGTCTCCGCCAGCAGAGGCAGCTTCCTCGCAAAGTTCGATAGACTCTCGTGTCGATTGAGCACCGCAACCAACAATTACTGGCATGTCGCCATATCCGGCATCGTTGAGAGCTTTGCGGGTGGTTTGTGTGATGAGATTGCGTTCTTTGTGGGAGAGATGGACAGCCTCTCCATTGGATCCTTGGGTCGTGATGCCAGCAACACCAGCCTTCGCCAGACGAACGGCATGTTTGGCAGTGGTCTCAACATCAACGTTGTCTGTTACTGGATCGAAGAAAGCAACAGTGGGCACGTAGATGCCGGGAACCAGGGATCGACGAAGGCCAACATCGCCGGACTCCACGGAGCTGGTCTCGAAAGTGTCGTTGTAGGGAGACATGGTGTAGTGGTGATGATGATGAACTTGATATCCAGAGCCAGCACTGAAGCTATTGGAAGGAGAGGGTGCGTCGTGATGTGGAGACATTATACAAGAGACTTGTTCTGATCGGCTGTCTAAAGCTTTTTATATAACCAAACGAGGTGGAGAGCAACGGAACTTGTGACAAAGAATAACCTAAAACGCGACGAGAAACGGTCCGAAAGGTACGAATACGTCAATGATAAATCTCAAGTTCCATATCGAGGATGGATAGCACAGATACTTAAATAGTGTCCGAGGGGAAGTGGAGAATGGTATGGCACGGCATTTGGTACTTGGTCAAGTGTGGGGGTCCAGCTGACTGCTTAGAGATTGATAGGGATGGGATGGGCACAAAGACAATGGGCGAACAAAAAGACGCACACTTCACTTTGAAAGAACAAGCACGCGTAGTCATGACGAGCAAAGGGGCGGTGACTATGGAGGCGCTCTCTCTGACTGTTACCGATGTCAGGCACGGTTGTATGGGCGGCTTGGCCACCCAGGGCCAATTGCATAGCAGCAATGGCTGATTGAAGCGGCGTTTGCTTTTTCTCCACGTCGGAATAGAAACTGGCATGGAGATGACAAGAGCTCCTGTACGTCGGATCTTGGCCGGAGATGGTCAAGGACAAGGGGGTGCGTGCGCCTTGGGTCGATCTTCCTGCAACGCGTGAGAGAGTCGCAGTGGGTGGTGATAGGACGATGATTGCCACCACCATGTAACCCATGGCAAAGGGTCGATGGGCTGGTTCGAGCGTTGTTGGGGCACATTGCTCTAAAGTTCGGGGGATCCTAGTGTGGGGGTGAGGGGGCACGACTCCAAACCGAACTGAAAGGCTGGCCCGCAACGCGCCGCACAACTTACCTACAAGGAGGAGGAACACGGCTCGCGCGGCGGCGACTACTTCTCAGTTTGCTCTGGTGATTCTGATCATCTGATATTCATCACAGCCGCTTTCATGGTTGTTCTCCGTCCGTCGTGGTCCCAGTCGTGGTTCCCATCATCTCCTTGCTAGCCATTCACAGCGTGCATCCTGCGAATGCAAAGGGTACATACGTGAAAGAGTGAGGATTTGGAGAGATGCAAGACGTGGCAGACGTTGTCTAGGACCAGACTGGGCAAAGCTGCCGGGGTTGGTCGTCACAAGATCATCTCAGCATCAGCACGACAAATGCTGAGCATTGTGTTCAGCTGCGAGCGGTCGATTGTACCGAACGCTTGCGTTGATCGCTGAGGGATTACTGGTATCGACAGGAACGGAGGAGCCCTTTGGGCACGACGCTTCCCTGTTCCAACTTGTGTTACCCGACATGACGAAGCCGAATGAATGCTGTGGAGAGATTTGCTCCCCCACGCTCTATTTTTGTGGCGTTTGTCCGGCCCAGAGCCGGTCAGTGCCACCATGTTATTCCAACAACGAGTTCCCCAACAATAGCATCTTCCAACTATATACCAACACTCGTATCTCTAAGAGTCTTCAGAGCCGTGAGGTCTCGCCCGTCGACAAGGCGTCCTCTTCGGGCCTCGCTGTGTCACTACTGCTCCCGGGATTGCGTTGGTGCAAAGTCAATTGCTGCACCTTCAAGGTTCAGACGTTGGTAATATTTGTTCCAGTAATTAGTGCAGTGCAAATGGAGAAGGTCGATACATCTGCGCAGATGCGCGTGTGGAGCGTGTGCCGAAACGAGCGCTTCGGCAGTCGAAGAGGAATTGCAGACCCAAAGAGGTGGAAACTTCCGCCTCTCTTTGCTTTTGCCTCCCAAATGCCAGGCCCGCCCGCAGTGGGAAGAGGTTGCTTGGAACTTTTGTTAACGGTTCCTGAGTTCCGATGGGCAAGTAGTCATCATACCCCACGCCATGCCCACGGCAAAACCGCCATCGGAATTGTAACGAGACTCCTGAAAGAGGACACAATCCATTTCCGAAGCATTGCCGGCTGACCCTAGATTTTCTTACATGAGAATCTGTCTTGCGGTGCACCCTGAACGCATCGTCATGTTCCTTCACAACGGGATAGATTATACTGTATGTAGAGTACATACAGACGGGTGTCTAAGGCCATGGATGTTCATGCTGGCACGAGGGAGAAAATTTTCACTTTGCAGTGGCTCCATTGGATAGTTACATGCGTTGTCGCGTAACAGGCATAAACATCAGGTATGTATGCATCATTCATCATCAGAATCGATGTACTGTGTGTTAAGGAGTGGGTTCGACATGCACACAGCCTCCAAAGCAAGCGAGACGTGTTGAAATTGGACCGAATTCGTTCGCTCGAGCTATTACCCCACAAATTGTCGATCCGAGAAACATGGCGTCCCCGCTTTCTTACCACGTTCACTCTCTGACCGCGTCGCTACGCTTGCCGACACACCCATTTTGGCCTCTGACTTGCATGACGCCCAGTCGTCCTCTTGATCACCTCGACAGCGGCCGTCAAAAGCCTGTTGCAGCGGCCATATGCACGCAATATCAGGAGAGGCCAGCCACAGAAGTGCCCAACCTAAGCAGTGCAAGCTTCCTAGACTCAAGTACATATCGCAGACGCAGGCCCTTGTCTGTTTAAGTTTGCCTGGTTCATTCATGTGACACTCCTGACGCACTGTAGCTATTCATGTACTGTATGTTCATGTACAGTAGAGTACATGGGATCTGACGCATGCAGTGGGCGAACCGTCGACGCAACGCAGCACATGCTTGAATGATGCTGGAGGGGATTGATCACTATCTGATAGGTCTCTACGGGCCTGCACACTGCTTCTCTTCAATAATTTTTATTCTCTATATTTGTGACGTGAGGCACAGCTAAAACTGATGTTAGATAATTTCAGGAAGCCTCAGCCGCTCATAGATACATTTTCCATACTGGGTATCTTATTCATGGAAAAATCAGAGTCAAAGTGGCGTCTAGTTGACGAATACGGACAGCATCGCGAGTTTGATGGCTTTCAGGTAGTCCCCGTACGTTATTCCGCTACTGAAGTTCCAATAATTGACGCACCGTCATAGTGCCTCAGCCCAGAACTTAATCGGACGTCAACATCTGCATGTAAGAACAGGACGAGAACCACGCCGCTTCCCTGCATAATGCATACCAGCATTGAAAAGGCAATATGGCTTATCTTGGCGGACGCTGAAAATAAGCTGTAATGACCTCGGGTATCTTCTTTGAATGCAGCTCCGCACTTGAACAGTCGTGAAAGATATCAAGCAGATCAGTGTCCAGTCCGATGCGGGAGGGAACTTGTCACTCCAGCTGATCGACCATGACTTGCTTTGAGTTTGTCGATCGCATCTAGACCTCTACAGCCGCCCATCATCTAGAAGTATGTCTTGCTATCTCTGACGAAACTCTGAGGCCAGGTTTAATTAAGACTTGCAATGAAGGGCCGACCATCTTGTTGATCGGTCTGCCGTCTTCAAAGCCGTGTTTCCTGCTGACTTATTGGAGCCTCCGAGCTCTTGATGCCAGCCTTAGCAACCATTTACCGAGACAATCCCGCGGGATGTTCTCGATTGCCCACGCAGACGCCTTTCAGGAACGCTCGCAAGCGTGGGATGCCAAGAAATTATGAGAGAATCTCCAGAGAACATCAGTTTTGATCCTTGTTAAGATGAGAATATCACGACTCAACAAAACCCAAGGAGAAGATATTCCGGAGAATTTGCCATTTTGCATTTGCCCCTCCATCCCACGCAGAAATCACCACGCCTTTGATCCTTGATGCTAGGACGTCTTACGAATGTCACGACACCAAGAGTAGCAATTCCTACCACTCATTGGCGATCGATTACCCTCACGAAACTCCAAGTGCACCCTCTTCCAGTTGTTTCTATTATTCAGAGTCCACCAGGAAGGGAAAAATTCTTTGCGAGGGTAGTCTTCAGCTGATCGTGAGCAATCTCCGCCAATCGGATTCGAAGCAGTCAGTGAGCACACGACCAATATTGGAACCAAGGTTTCCAGGTACATACTCGAATTCCTTCATGAACTTAAGTCCACACCCAAAAGAGAGACTTCTGCTTTAGATTTGAGATTCGGAAAACCCCGCAGACACCTCCACAAGTACACCTCGGCGATGGGAGAGAGCGGCGAAAATTACCTGATGAGTGGGTCCAGCAACTCTATCCTCTTGCCCCGCACTCAACATTACATCCGGCGACCACACCCATTGTAACCTGGGGTCATACGAGTACGACGACGCCTCTCCTGTACGATATTGGTAAGGACGCTAGTGCGCTTCTCCGTGGCCATGCCCTTGCAATGTGGGGAGGCCTTGGTGCGGAAACACGGATTTGAAAAGCCCATCTTACGTTTCAACCGATGCTAGAATTTCTCTTTTCAAATACTTCCTCTGGGCAACTGGCCTGCAAGTATGCAGCGAACGGCATGCGCGATATGGAATGACGTTCCCCCTTCCTGCGCAAGTCTACACAACACATCTCCTCATCTAGCTAACATGCTGAGGATATAGATTTGAGCTCATTGCTATCGCCGACTTGGTCATCTTTCCTGAATCTCGCTTTCTCTTCATAAGATTTCGAACATGCATTGTCAAGTTCCAAAACTGAGAATGGTGTCTCAGGCATAGTGATTATCGGGAGACAGTATCCTGGGCTGGGTCCATACCACTCTAAAACGCTATCTCACTTTCCTAACTCTAAGAGGTATCAACATTCTTCTTATCATTTCACTTACAATTTCGTTATCTATATTCTGACTTTCGAGATATCTCGAACCATTTCTCTTCGTCATCATCATCATCATTCATTCACGTGATCTCCGTTTCATCCTTCAGAAGACCGGGAACATACGAGATCAGAATCCTAGCATCGGAAGACTCTTCATCTATGTATTGTTTCGGAATGGTTGACATGTTCAGAAGATTGACTTACACACATTGATGCATATTAATCTCTCCGAGTTGCACATATGCCATCGACGAGCGCCGAACGCACTGGCTTCAATCCTTTTCCGGTTCAGCCACTTCCTGAATTCAGTCGGCACCTAAGGAGCAGCTGGATTCTTTCATATGGGGTCAAAGCGGAACACCGTGTTGAACCCAATTGGCAACAAGTGATCGCTCTTATTCCATCTTGTATCGACAGGGAATGCCCTTCTTCCATGGTTTGGACATGGATTCATGATCGTATCAAACTTTGGAATGGATTTTGGAAAAGCAAGTTCTAAATACACTCATATTCGCCCGTGCGCCATCTTTGGCTCTGCCCCTCGTCTCTCCTCTATCTCGGTTACGGAAGCGGGCCCAGTCTCCGATGCTTCAGCTGGAAACGCTTAAATCGACCCTGACCAACCTTGCCAGAAATCTTTACAAATCGTGGGGTGCCCGTCATCCAACTTATCACAATGGCATCCCACCATAGCGCACGACCTCCTTGCGCAACGACTCCAATTTCCCTATCAGTCATTATCGCGTGTATGATCGTCACATCAACACAGACCTCCATCAATCTTTCTCCTAGGACAACGAAGCAGCGGTCAACATAAGTACGGTCATCTTGTCCAAATGCGGGTCAGTCTTTGTAACTGGCCGAGGTCATTGGCGAGCGTTATCGGCCTCTCCAAGCTTCAAACCGGATCGCAACGCAAATCCCTGCGACATATTTCAATGAATGGTACTGCGAGTTCGAGGGTGAAAACCCCGGTCCAATCAACGTGACATGTTGTCATCCTAGGGTCTTATAGAAACGTGCAAGGCAGAGCCACGCACGACTGCATTGCACGAGCACGGATTCCGACCAGTAGTGCAAGGCCAACCGATCAATGTTAACCTGCGTGGACGCATTTGGTTATTGAAGGCTCTTCGATGCATTCTGCAACGCGACCGCTCTTGCATAACTAGATCATGCATCTGCTTAGGGCAGTTGATCCTGTTGGTATGGTGAGATACGCAGGATAGCAATTGTGTGTCCAAAGTATACGCTCTTGAAAGATCCCCAGAGTTCACCTTCAGTTGCTTATTCCTGATCAGCATCACTTCCTGGGGCGTTCTCACCTCCAGAGTCGGGGTTCGAGAATGAAAGTAATAGCAGGATGTCATAAAAGTGCCTTACCCCCTTGTTCTGACTAACAATACTGCACGTTGTAGTCATGGCTTGTCCCTCCGCACAAAATTCCCTTAAACGAAGCGGCTTGAATCCTCCAACATGAGCAGAATTTACTTTTGCGTCTGCGGAAGTGGCTGCGGCGGGCTTATGCACCGACAACGTGTTTTTGGGGAAGCTTTGCCTACCAGGATCCCACGTTACCACATTGCTTTCTTTTTTTCGAATCATGCGTACCTAATCGCCTCTTGCTGCATCGGCGGAAAGGCCTTCATACATGTTCTTCGCTTACGCGTCGTGATACCGTCGTGTCGGGTACTTGTCCTGGTCATGCTTCATCCATTGAAGGGGAATAGGCATGTTTGCTTTTTGGACGCCCAGCGACAGGGGTGGCTTCCTCAAGGACATTCGCCGATATACTCGAGAGCTCGTCTGCTTGGAGTACGAGATGATCTTTTCGAGGCATTTCAGCCTGTCATGCAAGTTATTACATTTTTTCTCCCGGTTCTCTGCGAACTTTTGACACCAGCCTGTTCACTGACGTCTTGCCACGCCTGCGCCTGCATTCGTGATGAACTTGCTTACCTATACTATGCATGTATTATTCTGTTACTACTCAGCCATGGAAAATTCATTTCTGAGGGGGGCTCTCACTTTGCAACCATGAAATTCCCAATTGAGGCTCATAGGCGTCGGGAAACCTGCATCCCTTCTATCGATGTTGCGAAGCGGTAACGAACATCCGGTCTTGGCAAGGTACCCTCTGCCTGAAAGGACTAAAAAAAAGCAATGTGAAATCATGCTATTCTACGACTCACCGCTTGAAGTCACGAGTCAGATGCTCTTTGGACATTCTCTTCTCAATGGCTCAATATATTGCCTCTTTCTTCTTAGTCCGGTGAATGAGAAGGCTTTAGTTAGCTCATTTCATGGAGAGTGATGAAGAAAGACTCCAATAGAAACGTGGCATTTTGTGTGAGCAACAACGAACTTGGTTCATAGACCTATAGTTTCTCTACTATGGCTTTCCCTATGACTCTACAGATCTACGGTGGGCGTTCGTGTCCGGTGACTATGGTGCTGCATCCATATCACGAAAAGAAAAGAGCAAAACTAGGAGGTGACGAACCAGTGCTTCTACGGAAGGATGTCGTAGATAGCATTGCCTTTGTCGTTTACTGGTTCTTATTTCGTGTGAGTCGGACTATTACAATGTGAGGTTCACTTGGTATCCCTCGTGTGAGGATGAGAATGACGTAGACTGGTATGGTTGTAAGGACTTCGTTGAAGTTCCCCTCACGGGTTCAATCATCGATTTTGGAACAGCCCCCAGGGCTGAGAATGCTATTATCTGAATATTGGTCCCATCCAGTGCAAAAATCCTGGATGTGACAGATAAGGTAAGTTTGCAGATGCGGGGAGTCTTCATCAATCTCCCACAGGCTAGACACTTATCTAGCGATATTGATTATATGTCATGTATCTGTAGGTATACTAATTTTGGCCTTTTTTTCTTCGAGCCTTTCCCAACTTAGCTCCTTGGTCGCCCCAGAGCGAACTCTCTCTTTCCTTCTCGCACGCACAGATGCGCCGTGACGGAGCAGATGCTTGTTCTTCATTCATTTGCCTACAGTCCGAACAACACCACACATCTCCATCACCATCGCATGATTGACATACCACCAGGACCAAATGACACATCGAGCCCTTGCATTTCCCTAACCTGTCTTCCGCCACGTTGCAGACATGGCAATTTGAGACTTTGTCTCCCTCCGTAGGATCCGCCTCATCCAATCCAATGGCTCCACGAGCGTCAAAGACGTAGTTCTTGCCCTTGAAGAAGCTATCATCCTTGGTCTTGTGCCCCGCCTCAATCTCCCTTTGCATCCATTCCTGATACGCCACGATGCCGCCATGGAGCGTGTACACCGGAGCATCACTGCGCTCTTCTTGCGCGGCAAGGGCCTCCTGCATCCACCTCGCACCTTTCTCGCAGCGGATACCCCCAGTACAATAAGTTGCTATCGGTTTCTTGTAAATGTCGTTTCCAAGCACGTGTCTGGACACATATCCGGGCCATTGGCTGAATCTCCGCACAGCGGGCCGGACAGCGGCTTCCCCTTTGCTGTTTACGAAGTACCCGATCCGGGATTCGTAGTGGTTCCGAACGTCGATCATGGGTATTGAGCCCTCCTTGCATAGTTCGTGGAATTGTTCTGGCGGTAATGATATGACATTAGACCATGACGTTGGTAAGTAGTCTGTTATCCCCAGGGGAGTGATTTCTGCGGTGACTTTTATAGAAGCCTTTCCCCCGAACGCACATGAGCATCCTGGTGTTGGCTTGAAGTATGCTTTTCTGCTGTCTTCTGATGAGAGATCAATGCCGCTGAACGACCAGTGTTTAGAGCATTCTTCGATACATGTTGTGATGGAAGAATCGGTGCCCCCGAGGGTGATATTGAAACCTTCGCGGGCTATCCTGAATTTACCACCAAGATCTAATCGCGATGCTAGGTCTTTGTGAAAATCAGCCAGTGCTTGTGGTTCTGATGCTTTGCTCTTATGCTCTGCTGGAAGCGCAGGCTCGTTGTCCCAGTAGCGGTAGAAGAGAAGGACTTTGCCACCGGTCTGCCGTGCTGTGCATGTGCATTCATACGAGACCGGATCTGAATTATCTGGGGGATTGGATATCATATTGAGCTGTCCCTAGTCTTCGCCTGGAATAAGTTGATATCTCAGACGATCGTAAAACATTGTAGGGTTATTTTAGGGAAGTAGCGAATCAACGCTAACGGAATTAGGTAAGAGCGCTATGATACGACTGCCTTACAACATGTCAATTGCATCGATCCTGATTCATCCATCTTCATTGACTATTCTTCCGTAGCCATCAGACCTTCTGAAAAGGTTAATGGCCTGGTGCTAAATTAGGTGTCGAAGTGCGCAGCTATCCACAACTTGTAACGTATGCTACCCGTTAGGGCGGCATAAGATTTAACATTTCTTCTTTTCTCCTGTTTTCGTTGCTATCTTCATTGTCAATCGATATATAGGGATTAACAATGGATCCCTTTACGATTCATTCAACTCCGTCATGTTCTAGCAGCGGCCCGAGTTGTGCCGATATTACTGCTGGATTCATCCGTCAACATCCTTACATCTCAATATTGTCAAGCTTTGCGATCATATGTTTACTCACAACCGTCTGGTCAACAAGAAGCTTCAATGCACCGAGAAACAACAAAAGTAAGATCACACAACCACCTACTATACCGTATATGATACCCGGTCTATACCACGGATTTGGTTTCTTGATCAATGGGCTGGCCAAGTTCTTCACCATCATCTTGTAAGGAAACCCTACAGGATAGCTTCTGTGAATATGATGATTGATTGAAGAGAATTTGTTAGGAGAGAATATGGCGAACGAACCCCCTTCCTTGTCCGACCAGGCCCAATGAAATTCGCCATTGTCACTGATGCCGCCCATATCCGAACAGTATTCCAGGCCAAACAGATGTCTATCCGACAGCTCCACGCCCAAATATTCGGCAAGCTTTTCGGAGCTCCGAAGTCAGCTCTCGAAGTGTATACCAAGGACGCCTCCCACTTGCCTGAAGAACAGAGAATCGAATACGCACACATCAGTCTTCCAAGGAGGTACTTCACAGGCCCTCATCTCAACACGCTTTCCGAACGTTATCTGGCTGATTTACGACATAATTTGGCCGCCGTGCATTTCAAAGAGGGAAATTGGGTGGCGATAGAGGACATGTTCTCCTACTTCCAGCGGATCATCACTCGGACGATGATCGATGTCATCTTCGGTACCAAGTTCCTGCAATTGTATCCTCGCACGATCGCGGATTTCTGGGAGTTTGACCGTAACCTGGACACGTTTTCTGCGGGGACGCCGAGATTTATGGCGAGCGCTGCGTACGAGACTCGCGATAGGCTGTTAAAGAACTTCGTGGAGTGGGAGGACTTAATGCTCAAGGCCGATGGTGTGTTGGATGACGAAGCTGACTGGAACGAATGGGGCTTGAAGTTCATTCGGGCGAGACAGAAGGCATTTCTCTCGATGGAGGGCATGAACGCCGAAGCAAGAGCGAGCGAGAACCTTGGAATATTGCAAGGGTAAGATTAACAAGTTCCGCATCCTGAACGATGACCCACAATGTAATTAACAATTTGAACCAGATCGAACTCCAACCTCCTACCCTCCGTATTCTGGACCGTCTTCGAAGTCCTCCGCAAACCATCCTTGAAAACGAAGGTCACAAAAGAAATCAAACAACACCTCGCCTCCAACTCCAACACAATCGACATCTCCAAACTCGGCACGATCCCCCTCCTCCAATCCCTCCACTCCGAAGTCCTGCGCCTCCGTCTCGCCACCGCAACCGCCCGCACCGTCGAGCAAACAGACGTTCAACTCGACGACCAGTACAAACTAACAAAGGGCACGACCGCGTTCGTCTTCAGCCGCCCCCTCGCCCTCAACCACGCACTCTGGTCCCAAGCCCGACCCCTCACCGTCTCCAAGCCATTGAAGGACTTCTGGGCCGAGCGCTTCCTCACCGCCGACGGACGGTTCAGCGTCGAGGGCATCTCCGGCTGTTGGGTGCCGTTCGGTGGGGGTACGCACATCTGCCCCGGACGCCATTTTGCGAAGAACGTGGCACTGTCGACGTTGGCGTTGCTGCTGGGGGAGAATGAGGTGGAGTTGGTGGATTGGAGTGTGTTAGACGAGGTTTTGCCCGAGGAGGAGGGGTTGGCGATGGGGTTTATCAGGCCGAAGGTGGATGTGCCGGTTCGGTTGAGGAAGAGGAAGGGGTTTATTCAGTAGGATGTGATGGAGATTTTACAGCGAGGCTGCCGGCGTATTCTTCAGCAAGCGAACGTATACTGCATTTCCTCAAGATGTCAGCATTCATGGTGGGCAAACCGAAGCGTTAAACCAACAAGACAGAAAGTCTCGATTGAGATACTGGCTAATAGAAAATCCTTATGTCACAAGAAATGATGTTTTTTCGTCTTCATCGCTATGCAGATGCAAGCCGCACGCATATGAGAGATGTTCCCCAAGATATACGCCTAACACCTCCTCTTTCAATGACCCCACATCGTCTGACACTCTCTATTCCACCCTCTCTTTCAATCTTTCCGCTTGATAAACCACCGAAGTGTCGCCTCCTGTCCCTCTCCCGTGCCCCACATTCCCAGACCACGACACGTAACAATGCTTCTTAGTTGATGAAGTTGACGCAGAAGAAATGCAGCAGGAAGCTCCCGAGCACGAAGTCGGCGAACGCCCGCTCGTGCGACGTGCCCTCGAACTCCTTGCTGTTCTCCGGGTTGGTCTGCATGCGCAGGCTGGCTGTGAGGACGAACTGGCCGACGGTCGCGCTGAAGCCTGATAGGAAGGCGTTGAAGGGCTGTGGGGTTCCGTATGTGTTAGTTTGCTGACATCCTGTGCGGTTGCTATACTTCGTGGGGGAAATCGGGAGGATAGGTATGGGGAGAAGAAGGGTTTGAGTAGGTGAAGAGGGAATTGGTGTATGTCATTTGTTGAGGAAGAGAAAGACAGGACTCGACGTACAAAGTTTCCAACAATGATGCAGTACAGGAACTGCAATGCGCCGACGACGACGAGGAACGCCATGAAGGTGTCGAGCAGCTTCACGCGCGACGGCGTCTTATTCACGTAGTTGTTCCATATTCCGGTGAGGATGTCTTGTGGAGCTGATGAGCTTCCTGATTTGGAGGACTTCGCGGGGGTGGATGCCGTGGTGGTGGTTGGAGCTGTTGTCGATGGGGTGGTTGCGGGGGCTCTGGATTTGGGCGCCATTGTGGATGATTTAAGCGTAAAGGAATTCGAGGTATGAGTTGGAGATAGAGAGAGTGTGGCTCCGTGTTGGCACGGTCAATTGGGCTGGGGTTGTTGATTCGGAATGGATTGTTTCGTGGTGTAGTCGTCGTCAGTGTTCAGTGTAGCTTGAGGCCAGAAAGGCACATCTGAACGACGGATGGCCCGTGCACTTCAGATGGGATGGATAAAAGCGGGTTGCTCGTCTCGCCAAGCAAATTTAGGCTCAGCCAATCCAGGGCGGGCAAGGAGACAGGGATGGAGCTCTCATAAGCGAATCGGCGGTTCGGCGTCTACGGACAGCGGCCATCTGTGGTTTGTACGAGGAAGTACGATGATTGGATTGGTTGATCGATTGATGATGCAACGGGAAGGGAGAGCTTCCCCCGCCATCTGCATCGTTCTCCGTTCTCGTTTCTTATACTCCGCGTTGTCCTTCTACTTACTTACTTTGTTCGTTCTAGAACGCGAAAGCAATCAAATCATCTCTCGATTCCTCCGTACTTCCATCTCGTACTTCGTCCGCCGTCACAGTACTTGAATTCCTTCTATCCATCCATTCTTTACAACCCACTCTAACCCATCACATCTCAAGCAACAATGGTAAGCGCGTCTCGAAAATCCCCATCAACTACACCCATCAACAACACCAATCGCTAACCAAACACCCCCAAACACAGTCCCTCGACACCGTCGCCCTCGTCCTCGGCTCCCTCACCGCCGGCGGCGGCACAATCGGCTACGTCCGCACCGGCTCCATCCCCTCCATCGCCGCAGGCCTCACCGTCGGCTCCCTTGTATGTCCCCTTCCCTCCCTCTCCTCCCCCTTCCCCTCTCCTTAAATCCATTCAACCCTAAGAACCACACATACTAAAATTGAGCAGTACATCCTGGGCGGCCTCCGCATCCGTAACCGCAACCCCTACGGCGTGGAGCTCGCGCTCCTGGCGTCCGTCCTGCTGGCCGGAAGCTCGATTCCCCGCGCCATCAAGAGCGGGAAGCCGCTGCCTATGGGGTTGAGTGTTCTCGCGGCGTTGGGACTGTTTGCGTTCGGGAGCGCGTTTGCGAAGGGGGGGAGGAGTGCGGCGTAAGGTTGGATTTGGGTGGATGACGGAGGAGAAGCAGGGGGGAAGGAGAGTTGGAATGGGATTGCCATTTTCTTCTTTCCTCTTTTCTTGGGGAGGATGGAATTGGGGGGGCATTGTAGGATTATGTAGTGGGAATGGAAATGGAATTGAATTGAATCTTTTCTCTTTTTACTCTCTCTCACAATTGGTGTAAGAGGGGGAAGCATTTTGAGGGAAAGAAGAGATGTGATGGTATTGAATGTTCGTGTGTCTGAAGTAAGGTATGTTTATATTTGCTATTTATCAAGACTGTTTGAAGTGCAACTACGAAGACGCTTCGCCTTTCGAGATATTTTACGACTTTTTTTCTTTTGTCTGGGAGCCAGATTCTTGCGTCCCGAAACAAGTCATTCTTCCAATCTATCGAAAAGGAGGACTGAACTCTCCTGGATACAACACTCTTTTCGTTTCCATCCATGGCATTCATTAAATCATATACCTCTCCCCGTCCCATGAAATGAGGAAACTTTCAATCATCTCAATGCCCATTCTCCTACTCCTTACCCACCAACCCAAATTCCTCCCTAATCGCCTCGCCAAACCTCTTGATAGCCTCATCAATCCTATCCGCCGGCGCCGCAGCATACGTCGCGCGGAAGAACAGCGTATCATGCTTCTCGTTCCCATCCGCATAGAACCAACTGCCCTTCATAAGCAACGCGCCATGCTCGATATTCCGCATGAAGATCTGGTCCTCCAGCGTCTCGATGTCCTTGGCCGGGTACTCGGGGTGCTTCTTAAATTCTATCTTGAGCCAGTGGAACATGCCCGCGGACGGCGGCTTCCACGAGACGATCGACTTGGGGAGGTGTGTTTCGCAGGCGGCCAGGATGACATCCCGGCGCCGCGTGTACTCCATGCGGATGTGGATGAGCCAGTCGAGGTACCCGGCGTGGCCCCAGTGCTCGTCGAGGAGCTTGAAGAGGATGAGTTGGGAGGGCCCCGCGGGGCCTTGCGTGGATACGTCCGCGTGCTTTTGATAGCGTTCTACGAGCTGCTCTGAGGCGGTTACCCAGCCGACTCGGGAGCCCGGGGAGATTACTTTGGAGAAGGAGTCGAGACGCATCACGCGCCCGTCCACGTCCATGGAGAGGTAGCTGGGTACGAGGCGGTGGAGGAAGTCGGCGTGGGAGGTGGGTGGGGGAACGGCGGGGGCGTCGGGGCCGGTGTAGGGGTTCATTTGGAGGAAGTAGTAGGGTTCGTCTTCGATGATGATGACGTTGTGTTTCTGGCAGACGCGGTAAATTGCTGCGCGGCGCTCGGCACTCTGGGTGGCACCGGTTGGGTTCTGGCCGGTGGGAACGGTGTAGAGGAGATGGGGTTTCCGACAGCCACGGGCGTTGACGTCCCAATTGGTGAGGATGGAGTCCATTTCGTCTGGGAGGAGACCTTCGGTGTCGATGGGTACTCCTACGACACGTAGACCCAGAGGGAGCGCCGTCTCCACTGCGGCGGAGAACGTGTATTCTTCTGAAAGAACCACATCACCGGGTCTTGAAAGAAGACGGAAGCTCATGTCGAGAGCAGAGGTACTGCCGATGGACAGCGTACATCTCCAATCCTGATACGGTGGGTCGTGGACGAGCTCAGTGTGCTCAGTGACCCATCGAACGAGCTGTGCTGCGCCAGATCCCTGGCCATAGTTGAAGGCAGTGGCAATGTCGAAAATCGACTTCTCCTCTGCGAGATCGTGCTTGCCAGCCGTGAGGACGACGCCGGAATCCTTGGTCTCAGCTTCGGAGAAGTGGCCAGCACTGGGCACCTTGACACTCAATTCCTCGAATGGGAAGTACTCGCTGGAGGGAAGACCTCCGCCTAGGGAGATGATGCCGGGGGTGGCTAGGTATTTGGCTGCTTCTTTCAGGGAATTGCCCTTTCGAATTGTAGCTTCATGGGAGAGATAGTCTGGAACGATAGTGTATTAGCATCTTGAGCTAATTTTATCAGTAATGGAGAATCTTGTAGACATACTATCCCACCGTTTTGCCTTGGGCTTGTGGTCACATGAACCATGCCTAAAATGGGCACTGTTGGAAGGAGCAGCTACACCCCATTGTTTCTTGTCAGTCTTCCTCCGTCTCCCGTAGATCTCGTTGCTTTTGAGGGGGGCCGCCAGAGGATTGGGGAGTGTGACTCCAGTGGTATCTGTGACGGCTTCGACTTCAATGGCCGCAGGAGGTGCCATTGCGGAAATGTGTGTAAGTGAATGAGTCAGGTAGAGGGCGGAACGTGTGTAAAGGTATGGTGGACCTTAGTCAATTGGAAAGTGAATTTCGGTTACTCAGGTAGTTGATGTGTGTAGGTGTGACACAACAGTGACCAGATATTTGTCTCGGGAAGTAGGTATTTACGTAGTAGATAGATAGCAGCGTGTGAGTCGTCTTATCTAAGTAGGAAAGTAGGTAGGAATGACTTAAGTTCCCGCACGCCCTACCTAAGTACACCTCCATCACGCCCTATCGTAGTAGGACTAGCGAAGGAGTATGATTACTGAGAGAAACCCACATTAACTCGCAATTGCACGATTTGATTCCCTGAACTACCATAACCAGACCAGGTACGGAGTAGTTCTACCTACACAAATCATCGGAGACGCTGCTTTGTCTCCTTTGCCCGTTTAGGATCGGCTACCTGCGGATTGGGAAATCGGATGCTCCTCCATCGCCAATCACATCGAGGGACTCGACACCGATACACGTTCCAACGTTGCCAACCTTACGCAAAAGCCATGCAGATCAGATGTAGCGTCATCGGATAACAGCTCCTCGCGCGCCCTGCCAAGTACACCACTCCGACTCTCCGAGTTCACGCCGTAGTGAGTTGATAGATAGGTGAAAGATAGGCTGGGCGGTGTGAAGACGTACATACATAGATTATACATATATGTACGTGCGTACCACGTACGCACATGTGCTTTTCCGTGCTATGTGTATGTGCGAAGCGGAGCACGGATTGCAAGACTTCAACTCATACTCCGACAGCGATCTCGGCTCGGCGTGTTACTGGCCAATTGGTACAATGAACGTTGAGAGCGTGTGACCAGTATGTAGTCATGTACATGGCCATGGCACACTTTACTCCGCTCAACATACGTAAGAAGAAGCAGATCCATTGGTCGGAACTCTCGATCCATCATTTGGTCATGAGCCTTCATTCACCTCACACGTCTCGAGCAAAGCCGCGAACAACCGGATTAAACAGACATTATCCATCCTCTTTCTCATTTCATACTTTCGTTCTAACTACTGGGTAACTCCGCCATTACTCTCTGGTATCCGTGCCTAGACGTCAAATAACGCTCCTTCTGCCAAAAAGGACTTTACAGACTCCCGGAAATTTTTGCAACGAACAAACAACGGCCTGAAAATGCTATGCATTCCCCTCCCAATGCGAAACAGATGAACTCCCCAAACGTAGTCGTGGAAATAAGGTGCCATCGGAACTCCCAAGTCCCGAAGTAAAAAACAGACGCAGATGTGTGGAGATGGTTGGGTTGGGGAAAAAGAGACAATAAAAACAAAGAGATCATGACAACCCTCCCATCTAGAATCCAAAATATGCATTGTCGGGTGCTCACATTACGCAGCAGTTTTCGTCTTTCCCATCTTTCCCACCCTTCTTGCCTTTGGTCTTTTCCAGGGCGGATGGACTGACTGGTTGCCCGGATGCCGCAGCCTGAATAATGGCCAGTCGTTGCTTTGCTCGGTCGTCTCCGTGGTCGGCGGCCTTTACATACCAGACATTGGCTTCAAGAGGATCACGACGGCATCCGATGCCCATCTCGGTGAAATAGCCAATCGCATATTCTGCCTTGGGAAGTCCTGTAATTCTTAAATTAGCAATGGGCATACCGTATATTGGAAGATTATGACTTACCGTGCTCAGCAGCTCTCTTAGCCCACTCATAAGCTTCGTTCTCATCCTTCTCCAGGACTGGCTCTGCTCCGACCATGTACCACGCGCAGAGGTTCATCATAGCTTCTGGGATATCTGCCTGGGCGGCACAGTTGTAATAATGCACCGAAAGAGCGGCATCCTTCGGACAGCGGAGCAGCCCATGCTCGTAGGCCTCGCCCAGTCTCAATGCAGCTTGAGGATGTCCCAGCTCGGCAGCTTGCGTGAACAATTGCACGGCGTAGATCTCGTCTTTGAAAATGTCGTCTCCGTATCCCGTCTCGTGCAATTGACCAAGCTCATAGGGAGCCGAGTTGTACTGGTAGTCAGCAGATTCCGTGGCTCGCTTGAGCCACTTCACGCCCTCTCTGTAGCGATTTTGCAATCCCATGTCTCCTGTCAAACACGCTCTGCCCAAGCGCGTGGCAGCTCCAGGGTGATTCTTCGAGGCTGCAGCGCGGAAGAACTGAACTGCCTTGGCGTAGTCCTTGCGGCAACCCCACCCAAATTCGTAGCAAAGTGCTGCACGATAACCCGACTCTGCGTGTCCGTGTTTGCTGGCCGCAACGAAAAGTGGGAACGCTCGATCGTAGTCAGGCTTGTCTTTATTGAAGAGACCCGACGCATAGCCGTCGGCAAGATAGTATTGTGCGAAGGGGTAGCTCCGGTCGGCCAATTTTTGCAATATTTGTCGGGACTCTCTTAGAAGCTCTAATGGAGATAAACCATGGGTATCAGCACCATGGTCGGATGCCCTCAATTCCCGCGCAATCTGCACCATGTACAAAGCAAACTCATACTGTACAGCACTATCTTGGGTCTTTTTCACATTTGCCTTGTACATATCCAGAGTTTTCTTAGTATCTTGAAGAGACGCATTCTGCCCCACCACATTGCGAAGCGCAGTGTTACCGCCAAGATTGGAAGCAGGGGCGATTTGCTGATTATAAGGTAGGTTCAATAGATCGACATAAGAGGTAGGTCTGGCGTCAGGAGAGCGTCGATTCACGGCCAATTGTCTACCAAAGTTGACAGGAGAGCCTCCGCCTCCGACGGAGAGACGTGGGGATTGTGCAGCCCCGGGGTGAAGTTCCGAACCTAGCGTGTACGCAGAGCTGGGTCGTTGGACAGTGCTACGGGGCACCTGGAGGGGCACCTCGGGTCCAAAATCAAAGTTACCGTTTCGAGGGTCACTATTGTTGCTTCTGGAAGAGTGCTGGGAGCCGGACCTTGGCGATTGCACATGTTCATGAGGTGGGACCGAAGGTGGTGGAGGTGTAGGTTGACCATAATAGCCACCAGACTGGTAGTCTGGCCTTGAGTCTACCCTTGGGCTGTATACTGAAGAGTCCTCTTGAGCACTTGCCATGTCTAACTCGCCTGCATGTGAGTATCTTGCATTGTACGAAGGTGTGCTAATGTTGAGCTGATGGAAAGGAATGTCTTGCGGCATTGGCACGTAATCTGAAGCTCCACTGCCTCTCTGATCCGGACTGTCTCTCGAGGGCGTTCGCGAATGGCCCATTGAGCTTGCTCCAAAAGACGACTCCGACAGTCTCGATTCGCGCCCCCCGGCTACAGCGTCTTCGTGTTGGCCGAAATTGAAAGAGGGTATGGCAGGCTGCTGTGCAACGTCGGGGACAGGTTTACGGCGGAGCGATAGGGAGCGGCCCTCTGAGCTCGAACGACTAAAATTGTCGTCCTCTCGGTGCCTAGAGACGCCATTGCTTTCGTATGGAGACGGTGGCAGCTGTTTGCCTGACGGATGAGTTGCTGTATCCCCTTGGTATGCCATGACCGCTTATGAGCTTTAAGACTCCTCTATTATGGGTCCTGCCTTTATTTGTGAATATGTAACTTTTTTGGTCGAGCCTGACTTGGTGCAGTGCGGGGAGAAAGTTTCAACGAGGTATAATGGCGGGGGAGGAGATGAAGCTCGAAGCGAAGACGAATCGATCGAAAGTTACAGCGCACCGAGAGATCGGTGGATTATGGCATGAATTGCCCACGAGGAATGCACTGTGACCAGTCAGTGTTTCGTCCAGGAGAAGAAGAAAAAGCTGCAGTGCGATGTTTGGATCTGCGGAATAGGCGGATTGCGCCGAGCTTTTGGATCTGCGGGAACCTGGTAGGGGGAGGGAGGGAGGGATGGAGGGAGGCTCACAAAGGCGAGACGGGAAGGAACGCTCCAAGTGGCTTAAAGCTGACAACAATCCGAGACGTGGAGGCTTTGAATCACGACCAAAAAGCGAGTGAGTTGCGTCGTGCAAAGCTGATCCGGTGAGCGAGAAGCGGTGCCCGCGCGGCGGAGCAAATGATGCAAGTTGGGGTGTAGTATGTGAATTGGTATGTCACAGATTGGAGATGTAGGTCAGGGCGAAACGAGGTCGCCTCTACGAAGACAACGAGACAGGGCAGGCCAGGACGAAGTACGGCACCCAAGTATGATAGTGCAGCAGCGTACCTCAGTAAGTACTCTGTACAATAATACAGCAAAGTGTAGGTAAGTGCACGTAGGTAGACGTCCGGCAAGGTTCCTCAGCGAGAGGGCACAGGAGGACCCTTAAAGGAGACCCACTCGACTACTGACTCTCTCCAGTTACGAAGACACCAAACCTCTAGCGGACAGAGGTAAGAGGGCGGCGCGGAGGTCCGGCTTCTCTGCTTTTCGATAGCCGCGTTATGTTTCTTGCGCGAAGAGCCACACCGCAAGAAAAAAAATTGGAGAGAAGAGGGACAATTAGAGGGGGAAAGAGACTGAACTGCCGCACACTCCCCCTATTGCACCGTGGCTAGCTCGATCGATGGAGTAATTGCTGTGTAGTCTGCTGCACCTGTGGGGATGTCCACAGAATAGAACTGAACGGTAGTTTATTGCTATTAGCAATAATACACAGTAGGAGAAAGTAGCCAGTGTGCTGCCTACGTAGACCTTCGAGCTTTGGGGGCCTATACAAGACGGGCAAGCCTGGAGGCGCAATTGCGTTATGGGATGAGGTCAGGCGGCTGAAAAAGGACGAGATGGCTTACTCGGGCGGCTGCTGGCGCATTGAGGTAGCTACCCAGTAATGGAGTCCCGGAGAATAGAAGAGCAAGAGACTTGAGACATCCAAAGCTGATCTTGCAACAGATATTGATGGAGAAGAAAAGCACATAAATCGATAGAAGGTGGAGTACTCCGTATACTGACCCAATTTTTGTAGGCATGCCGGGTTTTTGGATGCCGTGTAAATAATGCTTATGAAGACCGTCACCTTGTTTTCCTGTCGTATCTTGATTTCTTTGGGACCTAGTTGCTGCCAGACTGCCTGCCATCATACCCTGTGAGGCTTATGAGGAATGTATCAACGAATGCAGGACATTCAACGACCAGGATAGCTCGTTGCTGAAACGAGGTGCGTGGCCGATGCTGTGGACAGCATACACCTACCTAGGCAGAAATGTATTCGACATAATTAATAGTCACAGACAGAGAGAGAAGAGAATAACCAAGAAAGATGGACGAATTACAAGGGTGCGAGGCGAGGCGAGAGGAGTAGGTAGAGCCTAGAGGGGGGTAAATGGAATGTGGATAGACAAGAACGACGGGGCCACCCCTCTAGCTCGGCGCTCCACATCTTCTTGTCAAGAAGGCTACGAGCGATCTTGGTAGGGCAGATACATTGAATGTAATGATATTGGAACATGTCTCTTCATTTAGTGATCGTTGTGCTAGACGTCGTAGTACGACTATGAGGACCAACCTTTGAATGGAAGCGAAGGATGCCACTACCGACACAGTACGTCTTGGAAGCGCGGGGATGTGGTAACTCACCCAGCGATCATCTACTTGGCATCGTGGACTGTCACTTTAGCCTTTAATAATGCACCAGCTTTCTTCTCGACCGGAGATGCATTTGATCCTGTTATTTGCTCCAAAAAGTATGGAAAGTTGGCAGGAGAGACATGGAAAAGCAAGCATCAGCCTGGCTGAAAGAGCTGAAGAAGCTGAAGAGTGAAGAAGATGCAGAAAAGAAGAAAAAAAGAGACACAGCATCGTTTGAATTGCCGCATGGAGTTAATGTTGAAGGGTGGCCGCCCATAGTCACCACGATTGCAGAATGCCAGCCCCAGCATACAGCATATGCCATACAGGAAGCCCGCATAAATCAAAGTCCCAATAAAGCCATGTCAAGAGGTGGGTGTCACAAATAGGTGCAAATACGATGGGGGAGGTAACGCAATCGATCAGAGCACCGAGTCTACCGAAGCGAGTGGCCAATGAAAGGACCGTGTCGAATACATTTCTTGCCCGTGCATCATCCGCGGCTGGGCTCTGGACTTGTCTGTTTCGGTCTGTCGCTGATTCTCTTTTTGAGTCTTTTCTCACTCTTCTCAGATGGGCTTGGGCTTGGTTCGTTGGCCGAGGAGGCGTTGTGATCTCCAGAGAATCCAGTAGCTTCTGGCCTGGCCTGGCTTGTCCTTCTCTTCTGGAAATGAGGATGCTCGCCTAAAGCAGATTACAGTTGTTTCATACCTGTACTAAAAGAGGGGATGGAATTGCTGTTTGGATCTGCCGTACCACGGGTATGAAGGTGTGAATAATAATGGTACAGAGTACTGTGAAGACAGGACTGAATGAACAGATGATCGAACGGAGATGATTTGACGAGCGCGTTTGAAAATGTAAACCATTTTTACAAGTAATATTGCTTGGCCCACCCAAAAAGGCGGTGGTGTATTGGGGTAGGCATGACTGAATGGGTAGGCTTGTCAACTCCGTAGCGCACGTAGCGTACGCAGCCTGACTGTCATCGACCTGTTGGTGTATTCTCTCCTTGTCCTGCCCTGCGCTGGCCTGAATTTGGCGCCCCGTAGGTGCAGGTGCAAGTGCAGGCACAGGCTGCAAGCATAGACATGTTGGACAGCGGGAGACTGGCGTGCGTGCTGCGTGCTGTGTGCGCTGCGTGCCTGTCGTAGGAATAGCTACCCAGGAGCAGTACGACGATTATTAGGGGAGAGAGAGGGATCTTGAGTAGTGGACACTGGGGTAGACTTTCGAAATAACTTGATGCAACAGGGCTTAAGCACACTGAGGTGAGACAACTCACTGGCCATATCGTGTTGAGAGTCCTGCATCCATGGGATAGTATGTATATTTGCCCCCGTGTATGGGAAAAAACCTTTGAGTGGCATCATGACGGGAGGCGGACGCTCCTTTTTTTTGAAGCTATACCACATCAATGCCCGTGTGGGCTATAAATAAAGTCGAAACGGCCTCATACGAAGTCGCGATTAATATTCCTACAATACTTGTACTAAGTAGTAAGTCCTGCCTATGGAGGATGTAGTTAAGGTTGAGTATTGTGTATACGAGTAGAATGGTAGCATCGAAGGGAAGGTCACCTTCTCGAATGTCAATAATGATAAATGGATCTCTTTCTGATGATCGACATCGTATGCTGCGAGATAAATCATGTTCTACTCCTGTCTAGTGGCTTTAGTAAGTGCTTAAATCGGCCGAAGCGGGACAGACGGCCAGAGGCGACAAGCGACGGGTCACAGGCCACGAAAGAAAAGAGGGGAGAGAACTGCGCAACGGGCGTATTCAAAGCCAGAATCTTGCTTGCTATTTGTATTACTGCAACGATCTTTGATGAAACAAGAAAAGGTGGAAAATGGATTATTATTCCTGCAGAAAATGACAGTGTTGGGAGAGAAAGATGGTTTAGGCCAGCGGGCAGCGTATGGTTTACATGGGTTGTGTTGATTAGTCCGTTTCTAGAGTAACGAGTGTGTATATTTAGTTACGACTTAGCTAGTACCCTTTAGAGCTCCTCTAGGCTTGGACCATCACAAGGAAGTACTTGCATTTGTATTATTCGTACTCCGTACTGTATTTTGTAGACGAAGCGGACATAAGGGGGAGGCGAATTTATTATTCTGTGCTATACCAAATGCTACTCCGTGCTCTACTATGATTTTCTCCTTGCAGTGTATGTCCCGTTGCTCTCCATACTAAAGTATGCTGCCAATATATACCTCGTAGTAGATTTTGACCTCATGAATATTGGTCCTTTGACTATCCATTTGCCAATTCTTTCTTTCCATTGGATGGCTGCGGCTAATGTTTTAAGATATATGGCCGCGTATAGTTATTTATATTGTTGCATGTTGACAGAGTAATACAAGTATTGCCAGTGGTAGTGGTGGTGGTGGTGGTGGCTCACGCTCACGTCCCTCCCATGCTAATTGACGCCAATTCCAGGGGTTATCCGTAATGGTTGGTTGGTCTCCGTAAGTCTCCCCTCTAGGCTCTCACGGCTCTGTTTCCCCCCCTCGATGATCCCATCCTCCCTAATCCTCCTCTCCCTCCGTCCCCTCAATCCTTCTTTCTCGCCCCCTACCCAATCCTGTCCTATCACCCTTACCCTCGTTACTCCCCCTTCCCTGGGACTTTTGTCTGTCGCTGTAACAACCGGACCTCAGCCTCTTTTCTCCCTGGTCGCCCCGTTCCAGTTCCTGTTCCAGTGTTTCTGTTGTTACCCAGTTTCCAGTCTTTCGTTCACGGTACTCTTCCGATCGTTATTCTACCGCACCTGCATCTTTGTACCTGTGTATCTGCATCTTGCTCATGCTCATGTTCATGCTCATGCATTCTGCCGTCGCTCCTTGACCCTTTGCACGACAGACAAGACACTCCACATTCTTACGACTCTGTACCCTCTAATCGCTTCACTTCACTTCACAATCACCAATACTCTGTATCCTCACCGCTCACTATAATACATACTCAAACTACGCCACTGCCGACGACGGCACCCGCCGCTGTTCATCCCTTCGCTTTGCCTCGAAGCGCTGTTTGCTGAAAGGCACAGCTAATTCACAGTAGATCGCGAGGCTCCATACTCTCATTTGTACGTCCATCCCAATCAAGGGGTCGAGTTTAATTGCGGGACCCTTGCTGTGACCTCTGGCACGCACTTCAACTCGCCTCTCGGCAGCCTCTCCTTGGTACAGAACTCTGATTTGCATTCCTCACAGTATCATGTCTCTCCCTCAGCGGCCCGATCCCTCCTCGCCGGGCAGAGAACAGCGACCTGCATTTCGAGAATCGCCCTCTCGCCGCCGAAGAACTTCCGACCTCGAGAGCTCCCGCAGACACGATCGCACATCCAGCAAAGGCGGATCCCAATCCTACTCGAGGGCTCTCCCATCACCTGGCACCCCGGTGCCCATGGAAAGAGATCCCATCATGCGAGGTGGAGCAGGTACACCTGGAGGACCTGACTTGGGTAGGAAACGAAGTCTTATCCGGCCAGAACGCCAGCGAATCGATCCCAGTCACCCCAACTATCACTACCGCAAACATGCCCAAAAGATGCACGTTCACCCCTCGACGACAGGAAACGACCCCATCCTGGAAGACCGCATGGAGGCGGAGACGGTCAGCTCGGACAGCACCGACATGAAGCCTTCGCATCTGCGTAATCCTTCTAGTGCAGGCTACAGCGACAAGCAAGCTCCCCTCGACGAGAACACCCGCCCCCAGCGACGCCTGACCAGAAGCAAGACCATGGACAAGCTGGAGAAGCAGAAACAGAAGGAGAGAGATGCCCTGCGCCCACCTAGTCTATGGAACGTGTACTGCGCCATCGTCACCTTTTGGTGCCCAAACGCAGTATTGAAGTGCTTCGGAAAAGTTCAGAAGGCCCAGCAACGCGCTTGGAGGGAGAAGATGGGCCTTGTCAGTATCATTCTCATGATTTGCACAATAGTTGGTTATCTTACCTTCGGTTTCACGGAGACTGTCTGCTCGAGCGGTGGAAACGTCCGCCTCCGCGTCAACAAGGTCGACAGAGGTTTCTTGATTGCTCACGGAAAGGCTTACGATCTCACTGGCTCTGCACATCCTCTGGCTCGAGGTGTCCCGGAGGGCGCTAACGTGCTCTTTGACTTGCCCGAGAAGCACGGAGGACAGGATGCTTCCTTCCTCTTCCAGAACGTCAACGGCGCCTGCAAAGGCCTGATTACCGCCAAACCAGGCTCTAACATTACCACCAACGCCAACAATGACCTGGCCTGGTACTTCCCATGCCAACTCTTCAACCAGGATGGATCTACAAAGCCTAACACAACTGTCCCCTACTACAATGGATTCCAGTGCCACACTAGCGCTACCGCTCGACGTGCTTTCTACGGCCTGGACTCGTCTGGTGATGTCTACTTCACCTGGGATGATTTGAAGAACAGCACCCGCGACCTTATGGTTTGGGGCGGCGATGTCTTGGATCTCAGCCTCCTCGACTGGCTTGACCAGTCGCAGGTCACCATTCCCAACAAGTTCATGGAGATCAGGCAAAACCAAAAGCTCCGCGGCCTTGACGTAACCCGTGCATACTCTTCAAGCTACGAGAAGCAGGTCGCCAAATGCTTTACCCAGATCATCAAGGTTGGCTCCGTCGATACTGAAAGCATTGGTTGCATTGCTTCCAAGGTCGTTCTCTACGTTTCGTTGGTCTTCATTCTCTCCATCGTCACTGCCAAATTCGTTCTAGCCCTCGCCTTCCAGTGGTTCATCAGCAGAAAGTTCGGTGCAGACAAGACATCGCAAGGCAAAGTCGATTCGAAACAGCGCAAGCAACAGATTGAGGAGTGGAGTGATGACATCTACAGACCACCGCCTAAGCTTTCTGATCCAGCTGGACCCGACCGATCCAGCAAGCGCGGTAGCGCTTTCTTGCCTTCCACCTCCCGTTTCACCAGCCCGTACGCCATGGAGAAGTCGTCGAAGACCCGCGCTCCGCCAACAACCATGACCAGCCAGAGTGCTTCCTCCCGTCTCATCTCATCCAACGCCATGTACAGACAATTGAACACCAGCCATGGAACACTCCCCACCTACGATGGAAAGCACTCAGCGCAAGACAGCCGATCAAGCACCATGTACCCCGGAACTTCGGACACTCGATACTCCACCGCGATGGGCGAAGAAGGCCCAGGACCCGCTGGATTTGTCCACGAAGCCGTTGTGCCCCAACCTCCTTCTGAGTGGCAGCCTTTCGGCTATCCCCTGGCTCATGCGATCTGCTTGGTTACTGCTTACTCCGAAGGTGCCGACGGTCTGCGCACCACTCTCGACTCTATTGCTACCACCGATTACCCCAACAGTCACAAGCTTATTCTGGTTATCTGTGATGGAATGATTAAAGGAAAAGGTGAAACTTTGAGCACGCCCGAAATCGCCCTTGGAATGATGAAGGACCATACAATTCTCCCACACGAGGTCGAGGCTTTCTCCTACGTCGCCGTTGCAAGTGGTTCCAAGAGACACAACATGGCAAAGATCTACTCTGGTTTCTACAACTATGGCGAGGAGAGTGCGATTGCCGTTGACAAGCAGCAACGCGTTCCAATGATGGTCGTAGTCAAGTGCGGAACCCCCGACGAGGCCGAGAAGTCTAAGCCTGGTAACCGTGGAAAGCGTGATTCTCAAATCATCCTGATGTCGTTCTTGCAAAAGGTTATGTTTGATGAGCGCATGACGGAGCTCGAATTCGAAATCTTCAACGGAATCTGGAAGATCACGGGAATGTCGCCCGACTACTACGAAATCGTTCTCATGGTTGACGCCGATACTAAAGTTTTCCCTGACAGTCTGACGCACATGATCTCTGCCATGGTTAAGGACCCTGAAATTATGGGACTCTGTGGTGAAACCAAGATTGCAAACAAGCGTGACTCATGGGTGTCTATGATCCAAGTGTTCGAGTAAGTTTTCCTGTCCATCGCCTGTCGAGGCGAGTACCAATACTGACACACACCAGATACTTCATCTCTCACCATTTATCCAAGTCGTTTGAGTCTGTTTTCGGTGGTGTCACCTGTCTACCGGGATGTTTCTGCATGTACCGCATCAAAGCCCCCAAGGGCGGCCAGAATTACTGGGTCCCGATTCTAGCTAACCCTGATGTTGTCGAGCACTACTCTGAGAACGTGGTTGATACGTTGCACAAGAAGAATTTGCTCTTGCTTGGCGAGGACCGATACCTGTCAACTCTCATGCTTAAGACCTTTCCCAAGCGTAAACAGGTCTTTGTGCCCCAGGCCGTCTGCAAGACAACCGTGCCCGACGAATTCAAGGTGCTCCTGTCACAGCGCAGGCGATGGATCAATAGTACGGTTCACAACCTTATGGAATTGGTGCTTGTCCGGGATTTGTGTGGAACCTTCTGCTTCAGCATGCAGTTTGTTGTCTTCATCGAGCTTGTCGGTACGCTAGTGCTGCCGGCTGCCATTGCCTTCACGTTCTATTTGAGTAAGTGCTATAGTCCCTGTTCTGGTGGCTTGGATACGTACTAACGTTTGTCAGTCGCGATCGCTATCAAGGCCGCCGTATTGCACACGGAAGCGCCCGTGATTCCTCTCATCCTGTTGGCATTGATTCTTGGTCTCCCGGCCGTTCTCATCGTCGTCACTGCTCACCGCTGGTCGTACATCGCATGGATGTTCGTCTACCTGCTGTCGCTCCCAATTTGGAACTTTGTACTCCCCGCATATGCGTACTGGAAGTTTGACGACTTCAGCTGGGGCGACACCCGAAAGACTGCAGGGGAGAAGACGAAGAAGGCAGGCATTGAGTACGAGGGCGAGTTTGACAGCAGCAAGATCACGATGCGACGGTGGCACGATTTTGAACAAGGTAAGAATCACACAGTTTGCCGCGGTTCCGAAGGTGCATTTTCACTGACATGTTTGTGTACAGAACGAAGACTCAAGGCGTCAGCAGGCGGTTGGTCTCAGCAGCACACTTCGGTGGGCGGCTGGTCGCAGCAGCACCAGCAACAGCAACAGCAACAGCATGGTTATGACACGTACTATGATAATTGATTTAGCAATGTGGCGTCCCGCGTAGAAGAGGGAGGAGACGAAGATGCCACCGCCGCTGCCGCCGCCGAGACGGGGACGGATAAAAAAGACTGCATTGTTGTACCACACTGAAGCGCGTCCTTGTCGTTACTGCATGGTTCCTGGGTGTTCTAAGGGTTTTCTTAATACGGCATCTTGGGATCACTTTTCCAAATCCCATTTTTTACCCTTCTCCTTCTCTCTCTTTCTCATCCATTTCTATTTATTTATTCTCTTTTCTCCATACATTCCAGCCGGTCAGGGCACCCTCCATTCTCTGTAGATGTGTATGTAGAAAAACGGCCATCATTTTCAATAATCGAGCCAGTAGCAGAGGGGCCCAAGGGGGAAAAAGAGGAGGAACAGAAGCCAATATTGCTCATTTGTATGTACAGTGGAGCGAGCAATCCCCCCCAAAAAACAGCTCGACGTAATTAATATCATGAATCCAAAGTCTTTTTTTCCCTCCGACCTCTCTTCTCCAAAGATTTTTAAAGGCCCATCCGTACCATTCACCTCCGTCAGGCATCAAGGGACTATCCAGCTACCCTACCCTACCCTTCCCTCTCACACATGAGCCAGACCACCACCAGCGGGGCCCGTGGCGCCTGTCGTGGACATCCCTCCGGATGGACGAAGGGCCCTCGCGCCGCGCGAGCGAGCGAGCGAGCGAGCAAGCACCGTCTTCAGCGAGGAGCGAGCTGCGTGCGCCGTTACACCTTCATCCCATGGGTATGTGCGCGGCGTGTGTGTGTTGTCCCTCCCCTCCCCTCCCCTTCGCTCCGCTCTCGTCCCGCACTCTAGCAGACGGATAGACAGGCAGGCAGCGCGTGAGAGTCTATCTATGGAAGGGTGGTACAGCAGTTCCGAGCGAGGAGGCTCGACACATAGTTCGCTGGAGGGTGCTTTGCGGGCCACCGCCATCACAACCTCAGTACCATCATCATGACCACGAAGAGTGAGTTTTGCAGGTCTCTGACGACGACGTCGTTGGGAAAGAAAGAAATAGATGACCACATACACAGATGGACGGACAAGCTTGAACATCACCATCACACCCATCCATACACACCTTCACACACATCCATTTCCCCTACCTTGCTTGCTTCTCCAATCTTGCTCGTTACACGACATGTTCCGCGCGCCCACACCCCCCTTTCGCTCTAACTAACGAACCTGGAGGTCCCTCCCCGCCTCGCACCCGAAGCGACAGCTGCGGGTGAATCTGGATTGGGAAATGACAAGTGTTTTCGTCGCCGTCGTCGGGTGTCGATGGGGATGGGATGTCGCAGGGAGGACGGATGGGATGGGGGAGGGAAGTGTGATTATTGAGAACCAGTCCACCGGTGAGAGGATGGTAGGTATTTGATAAGTTAGTTTATTGTGAATGAGATTAGTTTTTAAGTGTTGCTATTGAGGTTCTCATGTTTTAAACGATTTGACTTGCCAGTGGTTCTTATGTACGGCGGACATACAGTTCACACACTATGAAAACAGAGGCAGAACGTTTGACATGTGGAGCACGTATAAATAACAGAGCAGAGTGAGCACTCCGTAGAGCCAAAGTTGATAGCTAGATACAACTTGTGAATTACTGATCGAATGCCACAAAAGGAGCGCCAAACATGTGTCTGACCATCACCACCATCCACCCTCTACATTCGCTCACCCGCTCCACACTGCCACCTTTCATTGTACCACCACCCACCCTCACCAGCAGTACGACAATCAAATCCCTCCCTCAACCCCATAAAAAAACGTTGTGGAAGGCCCGCACCCACCCGCACGCATGCCAGCCAACACGCGGGCGCTCGCGCGCACATTCTCTACTTACACATAGCACAGCACAGCACACAGCACACAGCAACACAACTTCTGACTTGATGCAACACAACACAACACAGCACAGCACAACCTGACGCAACGCAACACGACACAACACAACGCAAATGCAAACACAGCCGCCGGCCGCCTACCTACGTAGGTATCCATTCCATCTGCTATTTCACAGGTGTACCGTACATACGGCCTGCTACTGCTTGCTACTGCCGCCGTCCACACGGACAGAACATCGCACGTCCGCCTTGTCTCGTGATACTGTGTGTATGATGTACCACGCCCCGCCACGCCGCCCACGCCACCCAGACGAGGCGAGGGAATGTCAACGGTGCTTGTACTTGTGCTCGCTCGCGAGCGTAGGGCTATGGCATTCGGCATGGCGGAGTAGAAAGCGTGTATGAAATGGTGGAGTAAATGGTGGAGTTAATGGACGTAACCACTCCTCTACAGTACGCGTACATAACTAAGCATCGTGATTACATACATACAAACCTACATCGTAGCAAAACACACTTGATACTTCACAACCATCTAAACCATGACAACATCCTCTCCGTTCGGCTTCCCCGCGTTTTCCCCCTCTAGATCTATCCAAATCTCACCTCACCTCATCATCATCATCCGCAAACGCAAAGTCGACAAAAGAAAAAGAACGTAAAACATCATCTGATGGGGAAATTTTAACTCCCCTTCTCCGCATTTTGCTCCCCCCGGGAGCCGTTCTCCATGTCTCACTCCCTCAAGCATCATCAGCATCATCGGCAAACTTTCGTTTCCTGATGGCCCGCATGCATGCATGACGCGTGTGTTTTCCCTCTCTCTCTTTCCCAATCCTGATACTCTCCTTCTCTGTATGGATGTATGTATGTATGTCTTGCTCTCTTACCTTCCTCCCCATGTTTTTCCGTTATAGGACGGAGGAGAAAGTTACGCATTGGGCGAAAGGGCATATGTGTGGTAGTCCGACCGGTCGGCGGTCGACGGTCGCCCTACGAAATTACCTACACAGTAAGGTGCTTTGTCGCACGCCGACTTGCCGACACATCACAGCACACACCACGCCTGCACGCACCCACCATTGAATTGAAACTTTCACATCTTGTCGGTCGTTCCCTTTCCTTTCTTCTCGCGCGGGAGAAAGCGAGGCGAGAAGACGCGGCGGCGGCGGGATCCGCGCGTCTGGGGAACTTCTTCTTTGTTTCTGGGGGGGCTCCGTGGTGCGTGGGTGGTTTGATGTTTGGCTTTCACCCTGTCATACGGAATGTTATGTATGGACATATGCACGTTGTATTTTCCGTATGAGGAGATTTTCTTTTACTTTGCACGAGAATAGGAGAGGAGTTATGTACATTAGTTACATTAGATTACATGCATGAGATGAAATGGAATTGTGCTGGAGGAATCCTTTCGGAGGGGACGATGGGGGGTGTGTGAGATTGGAAGGATGGCATGGTTTGGAGGTTTTTGCTGTTTAGCGATGTCTGTCTGTGAGATGATGGTGATGGGTGGTGAACTGGATGTGATCTGGAATCAAGCCGGGCGTTTTTTTTTTTTTTTTGGAGTGAAGGCGAGAACGAAGGGGGACATGCAGATGAGATTTGGCGTTTTGGGGTCCCAATGACGGTGATGATGGTGATGATGGGGATGGCTTTCGGCAGGTCCCCTCGCGTTCGCTTTTGATCTATGTGTTTGCTGGGTCGAATATCTAGATGCATGCATGAAGTGACTGTCCAAACAGTAGGCAGATGCTTACTGGAAATAATTCGGGGAAGAAGAATCGTAACTCGAAAGTCGACAAAGCCACCCTTTGCATAATGGGCATTACATTCATTGGGATTGGTACAGCATAGCATAACATACCAAAGAGACGGTGGTAGCATGTCCAACACCAACCATAGGACCGAATGCCAATCCCAATGTTCAACATCCAATATTCAATATTCAACAAACCTAATCACCTCCCATTATCCCTACGAACAAGCAGATGCTACATCAATTAACAACGATACAACATCGCAGGACAAGACCGAACGACCGTTACGAATCCATTTCCCCATTCTTTCTTCTTAACTCCTCCTACGACCGGACGGACCCAGCATCACGGGTCCATGGTCCCATCCGAATGAGGAAATCCAAACAAACATGGAACAGGTTTGTTCGACCGTTGTTAGAAGGTATGTGATGTAATGTCGAGCAGCACTATACCTACACAGTACGTACGTCGGAGGGTCGGCGATGGCGATGGCGATGGCGAAGGCGAGGGCGATGCTGGCGGCTTTGTGCTGACGGTTGGCGGTTGAGCCAATCCATGTGCACATGGACACATGGGAACGGTTAGAAGCCGGAGGATATTCGTCGTTTGGAGGGATGCTGGGTTGGCAACGCTGGGCTGGTTAGGCGGATTGCCGTTGCCGCCGCCGCCGCCGTCGTCCTGCTGCTGGTGGATGCTGGATGCTGGATGCTGGATGCTGGATGCTGGATGCTGGATGCTGGATGCTGGATGCTGCTCCCCCCTGGTGGTTGCAGGCGAGTTGCAGCCAGAGTTGCAGCCCAATGCTTGTACTCCCCCTTCGCATGGACTGAGAAAAAAATGGAGTGATCGCTGGCCTGAGGGAGATACCTAGTAGTCGTTGCAGTTACAGTGAATGTGAATGTGACAATGGGAGGGAGTAGGTACCTGGAGAGTGGGCCAATATATGTAGGGTACATGGCACATAATGTAGGTTCACCGTACACAGTACACGCTCATGACGGGTACGGGTAGGGAGTGTATGTAGTATGTTGATTACCTAGGTTCCTTGCCTTTGTGTAGGAATTGTATTACATACATATATACATGCATACATGATACATAATACATAATACAGGAACAGTGTCCCACCGAATAGACAAAATCAGACTTTGCTCTTCGCTTTTGTTTGCTCTAGATATCTCGTTCCCATCCTACTACCATATACAAACCAGTGTCTTTCCGAGGCGGCACACACTGTACCTATCACCAACCTGCACAGCAACATCACATCTTCTACACCTTTTCCACCTTTCCACGTATTCGTCGAGTATTACTGGATTGGTAGAGAGGAGACGTTATTTGGACAAGCAGTCAACGGTTCAGTCGGTTATTGTCGTGTGGTCAGCCAGCAGGAGGTGGTCGTGCGCCAGTCAGCCTGAATAGGCCAGACAGTCCAGAGGGGCAGTCAGTCGAGGTCTAGAAAGTCATCTCGAGGCAAGACGAGACAAGACAAGACAAGACAAGACAAGACAAAGGCAGCGGTTCATCGATAATGTATGTATGATTATTGTCCCTCGACTCTTCACTTTCTGTTACTACTTCTACTACTACTACTGTGTACTATCCACCATCTGTCTGCTTATAATTGCTGCCAACCTGTGCAAGCAAACATCCCATCCCGTCCCCCCCCCCCTCTCCACCTCCCCTACCAGTAATTCACTCAACCATTCGAATTCGATCACACATTTACCCACCACCAATCCCATCATTCCCCTCTCTGCATATTCACCTTCACTTTCACATTTCCATAAATCCTCCTGTTCACGACTACAACCTCATCCCACGCCCCTCTCCCACAGCCTGCTTTCTCACCCTTGACGCCTCATCCAACCACTCTCACTCACACATACAAAACGTGTAGCTAGCCAGCATCGACCATAACCGTTCAGTCTCCACTACTCCGTACCGTTACTCCTAACTCGGTTCTCCCTACTCCTTCAGTCCTACAGTCCTCCTCTCGCTCCTCGCGCGCCAGCCGCATCCTCGTCTTCCGTGCATCCACATCCACATCCACATCCACTTCCACTTCCACATCCACTTCCACTTCCACATCCCCCCCTCCGGCTCCACCACCGCCAGAACCACCCAAAACCAACCCAAACCCCATTTGTTGGCGAGAGGCACAAACTGGCTGCCACCGTCTGGGGTAATCACGGCCCTCATGGCCAGCTCACAACTACAACTCACCACCCACCTGGCCACACATGAAAACATTTCCAATCCCTCCTCCACCCTGACCTCATCATCATCCTCACCCTCGCCCTTGTCTACATCCTCATCCCCAACGTCGATCTCGACCTCGGTGTCGCCCTCGACCTCGACTTCCCCCATCATGATCCTCGACCCCTCTTCGCCATCCCCCTCGTTCGCCTCCTCCCAGATGCCAGGCTTCCACTCCCACGCCGACGCCCACCCACAGTCACATTCCCAATCCTCCGCGCCCACATCCGCATCGCCACCCTCTCCCAACGATTATTCTGCCGCTGCAATCCTCGCAACCCTCGCCGACAGCCGCCCCGCCACGAGCCACGAGCAACACCCAGGAGGCATCCATGACGATTGCGACAACGACGACGATAATGGACATCACAGTGGAGGTGCTGCATTGGACGATGCCTCCGAAGACGATATATCGTGGGCGTTTGAACCCACAATCTTGAGTCACCCCCCTCCGCATCTTCAGGACCAGGACGAAGACGACTCGAGCGACTTGGACCTAGATATGGAGTTGAATATGACTATGGACATGGCTATCGGCGAATTCATGAACGCATCCTCCATCGGTGCTTCTTTCATGAGCCCATTCGCAGACTCTCTCTTCCAGGACCTGCTCGACCAGCACTCCGCTGCGGTGCATTATGCCGCCCCCGCCACCGAGCCCCAGGCCATACCTCAACAGCAGCACCAGCACCCTTTTGCCCCATCTCTGTCGGATATGCTCACATCGCAGTACCACATGCCAGGATACGACACAGATTTCGAGGGCGTCTCAGGCCAGCCAGAGGCTTTCCTGAGCGTGATCAATAAGGACGCTTTCGTTTCCGTGACCACCTTCTTCAATCATTTCGTCCCACACAAGGAACCGCCCCTCGCACTGGACATTCGAAGTCCACCGGAGTTCATCACACGAGAAGACCTCCGCGGCGATCGATTCGACATCCAAGGGATCGATTGGGCGCTGCGCAACACCACACGTGCGAACGTTCGATCGAGGCGAGCCGCGTACGAGGAGTCCAGGCTAGAGGCGAAACAGTTGGAAGTCCGGGAGAGGATCGAGGCGACGCCCAACAGAGACAACTACTACTCATTCAAGAGACTCAATACCAACCATCAGGTCTTCATTCCCCACTTCCAGCTGCGCAACCTCCTCACGGCCACTTCGCACGACGACATCTATTACGCGGAACGAGACCTGGTCCTGCGAACAGATGCGTCCGGAGGAGCAGCTACGGTCATTCAGAATCTGACCAAAGAGCGCTTCGAAGGCAACCGGTTCACCATCACGACACTGGCAAGTTCGGATGACGTTCTGATAGCGGGCGGCTTCGAGGGCGAATACGCCGTCACCCACCTCTCCAGCTGCATCGACACGCCCACGACGATAGGCCACATCAACTGCAGGAGTCGGGAGTCAAAGTCCCACATCACCAACCACATTCATCTCTCCCATTCTCGCCATAATTATTCTCCACAGGCCGTGCTCTCGTCAAACGACAACCGCCTCCGCGTCCTCGACATCTGCACCGACACCTTCCTCGATTGCTTCACCTATACGCACGCCGTGAACTGTTCGGCTACCTCGCCGAACGGTCAGATGCGTGTGGTGGTGGGCGACTTCAGGGAAACGCTGATCACAGACGCTCGGACGGGCCGGCACTTCGAGGCACTTAGGACACACACCGACGACGCTTTCGCATGCGACTGGGCAGACGATGGTATTCACGTTGCGACCGCGGCACAGGACTCCACCATCGTTATTTGGGATGCGCGCAATTGGAGGACGCCGTTGAAGACGATGCGGTCGGAACTGTCGATTCCGCGTACACTAAAGTTTTCTCCGATCGGCGGGGGGCCTCGCACCCTTATTTCCGCAGAAGCAGATGACTATGTCAACATCATCAACGCGCAGACTTTTGAGTCTCGCCAAGTTCTTGATTTCTTCGGCCGCGTGGGCGGTGTCTCTATGACGCCCGACGGCTCTTCTCTGTTCGTCGCAAATACTGAGCCTACCTTCGGTGGCATCATGGAGTTTGAGCGATGCGGCTGGGGAGAGCGAAGACAGAGTCCTTACGGCGACGACTTCGAGAATGACGGCGTCGTGGCCGACTGGGCCTCGGACGAGCAGATGGAGATTGATTCACGCGTGGTGTGCGGTTTGCACGCGAGAGACAGGAGGGGACTTGATCTCGGCAACGTCATGGTATGACGATGCGGATGTAGATGTTTGAAGACGATAACGGATCCGGATTTCTATCGGAGGATATGTGACGATATTCGGGTATATTTCTTCTTCTCCTTCCTCCTCTTCCACCGATTATTATATTTGTCCTCGGCTCGATCACACCGACTGCCGACTCTTTTCTCTTTCCACGCATCGTTGGGTCTTGTTCTTTTCTTCCTCTATTCACGACAGGCGTTTGGCTCTTTTTTGTCTTTCTTTTCTTTCAGCATGAGGGGGAAAACACGACAGCAAACATTGTCCCGGTTTCCTCGCGTCCCATATCTGGAGTTTCCTTGGTTTCCTTTCTTCATGCATCAACCTCTCAAACACGGGCTTCCTTCCTATTCTTACCCTTCACATGTTAACCATTTACGACATTTTCCTTTTCCACTTTTCACTACTACTACAACGAGATACCACCAGGGATGCATATCGAGGGAACCGAGAAGGAACGAAAGAAAGAGAGAAACGAAGAGAAACTTTTCTTGTTTGCATTCTTACCTATCCATCTATCCATACCATTCGTTCGTGTTCGTGTCCGTGTTTGTATGTTCTGTCTTTTCCTTACCCGTCTGCTGTGCATCGATCGGGGAGGTGGGGGTGGTGGAGGAGGTGGAGGCACGTTGGGTTCAGAACGAGACGCAGATATCATCTATACACGAACGGAACGAACGTACACGAAGACGCGCACATGCACGCACAACGAACGCAGTTATATATATACGTTATGTTATATTATGTTATTACTATATTATTATAATTGTCTTGATATTTACCTTTATGTTCACCTCTATCTTTACTTGTAAGTTATCTTCATGTTTACTTCATCTTTACGTTCACCTTATCTCGTTCACCTTCATCTCGTTCACCTTCATCTCATTTACCTCTATCTTCACTTCATCTTTATCTTCACCTCCATCTTCATCTTGTTCACCTTATCTTCACGTTCACGTTCACTTCACGCTGACCTCATCTCCATCTTCACCTTTACCACTATCTATATACACATATCGTGCTTGACGTATCCCATATCTGCGTCATCTTTATTTAACTTACGAGTCCTTAAATTCTTCTTCCGTAGGGGATTAGATTAGTAGTAGGTGGGTATGGAAAAACGTCGTATCCTTACGTTTGTTCTTAGGGGTTGGATTGCTTTTGGTTGGTTGGTTGGTTGGTTGATGTGAGGAAGGGGGGAGGGTGAGGTATTGGGTAGAATGCTGAGTGTAGATTCGTTTTACGGGGGGGGGGATACATGCATGCATGCATGACTTCCTCCTATAGAGATATAGTCGTATGAAGTAGATGAAAACGCGATAAGAAATCAGAGTTAAGGAGTGTGTGTGCTCGTCATTTTCAGTGCTTAGAAACAGTACAACTACATGGAGTTCTCCGTACCACCACCACCACTCACCCACTCATCCAACCCATTCATTCAATTCCTTTCTTCCTCTTCTTCCTCTTCTTCTTCTCCGTCGTCGTCGTCATCGTCATCTCTTCCTAAAAACCCCTCCCAAGCGCACCCTCAACGGCCCTCCCAGCCCTCCACCCAGCCCTCCACCGTCCCAACCCGACCCCACTCACGGCCGCAGCCCTTGAAAACCTCCCCGCAGCACTCCACGCCTCGATACCAACCCTCTCCGCTTCCTCCTTGACGACGTCGTCTCTCCTATTCAACTTCAACTCCTCAATCTCCACCTCATCATCCCCGACTGCGAATAATTCGTCAACGCTCCTGTGGAATCTTGACTCGGCATCAAGGGAATTGAGGAAGAAAGGGGACGTCGAGGCGAAGCTACACAGCGTGTCCCTGGGGGGCAGGTCGCCGGATTGGAAGTACGCTTTCACGTGCAGGACGACGCAGGGGGTCGGGTTCGTGAGCGCGCAGTGGCCCGCGGCGTCTTGGACGAGGACGCGGGACCCGGGGAAGCGGCTGCTCATGATGTGTGCGGAGCGGAGGGGCGTGACGGGGTCGGCGGTGTTGGTCATGAAGAGGATGGGGTGGTGGGTGTTGGAGGCGCCGAAGGGGGAGGTGAAGCGGTGGATGGGGCGGATGGGCCACGCGGTGCAGGAGAGGCGGATGAGGGACCAGATTGCGCCGGAGGTTGGGGAGATGGAGGTCTGGGTCGTGTAGAAGGATTGGAAGGAGGTGAGGTTGGAGGAGGTGAGGGAGGGGATGTCGGCGCAGAGGATGGAGTGTTGCGCGGTGGAGGTCATGAAGATGGGGGAGTCGGGGGTCGCGGAGCAGTCGTATGTGTGGGCGTATTGGAAGGCGGCTGCGACGTATGTGAGGACGGGAGAGTTGGGGTCCGGTGGGTAGAGGGCGGAGAGGAGCTGGGCGACGAAGGGGAAGAGGATGTGTGGGGAGTAGAGGGAGATGAAGATGACGTTTCGGACGTCTGAGTACGTCAGGATTTCGGGACCGAAGGTAGAGGGGAGCTGGAGTGGGGTGTGGTAGAGGGAGGCGAGGATGGATTGGACGCGGTCTTCGATATCTCTTGCCGTGGAGGTGAGAGTGGTCAATGGACATATCTCAGGTCCCGCGAGCACGCAGAACGTGTAGAATGAGGCCATGGCCTTTTCGTTGTCGGCGAGTTCGTTGCCGCCCAATGCTTCATCGTAATCGTCCGAGTTGACTACGCCGTCGAGTATCACTCGGCCCACACGGTCGGGGTACATTGATGCAAAGGTCGACCCGAGATATGTGCCGTATGAAAAACCCAAGTATTGGAGCTTGGGGGATGGGGAGGGTTTGGATCGTGTCGACCAGGTCCCGGGATCGTTACTGCTGGGTTGCGTGGCTTGAAGTCTGGCGACGACCGCGGCATTGTATTCATCGTGCTTTTCGACCATCTGCAGCATATCGCGTGCAACAGATGCCGTGGTCATGTATTGCTTGATATCAAAACCCCCACTGGCCTCCGAAGCCAGCTTACACGATGCGCCAGAAGCATGCTCCATGGCCCACAGTCGCCCAAGTGCAGCATCTGAGTTATCGAGGTTCCCCTCGGTCGACTCTCTCAGAGCCCAAGACCACGTTGCCGCAGTACTCCTTCCGCAGTTCGCTGCTGGTTCCGTGTTGTTTATTCCACGGGGGTCAAACCCGATGATATCGAAATACTTGTCATCGTCTCCACCATCATCGGCAGACCTCGAAGGCGTTGGCCAGGCATCTACAATGAGCTGGAGGTCTCTGGCCGAATTCAATGCCTGCCAGACACCTGATCCTCCCGGGCCGCCAGGGTTGATGAAGATGGGACCGCCATATCGAGGGTCGTCCACGGGAACTTTGGCAGGAAGCTTAGCGACGGCGATGCTGACCGTCTCCTTGGGGAATGTGCCATTGAAGTAGTCCAGAGGCACTTTCAGTTTCGAGCATTGGAATCCGTCGAAGCAAGAATGGAACTTGAACGATTCGGTAGCCTCAATCTGTCAATGGAATTAACACGGCGAGCTGGGAATAGAGAGATATTGTCAAATGTATGAAAAGGCGAGTGCACTGTTTACACATGTTTATGCAAATGTATCATGGATCTGGGCAAAGAGAAGAGCTGATGTACCGATGACCAGTCAAAGGAGTAGTCTGCATCAATGTCGTGAATATGGTCACGCTGCGGACTCGAATGCAACCACGGGAGCAGTGAGTCCGTCTGGAAAAGGGCATATGTAGCGATGCAAGCGAAAGCAATAATGACGACTTTTCGGCGGTCCCGCGATCTCTGCGGAATACTGTGCGCAGGTTCTGGAATCGACCAAGTCTTCATGGTGCGTTGTTGGATGCAGCCTAATCTGCGCGAGGCTGCTACTACTGCGGCTGCAGAGCTGCTAAGAAGCTAGTACTTGGATGGATACAAACAAGAGGCCAACAATATTGGAAATGTAGTACATATGCTGCCTCACGTGCGCTGCGTTGTACGTTTGGATCGTGAGTTGAGGTTCCGAGGTTCTCGGCGGGTGTGGTGACAGTTGTCTGGTGGAGCTTACCACGCATGCCTTGGCGAGAGGTACGTCTCACTAGGTACAAGTCGATACCTCGTGAGGTTCATAACACCCCAGCCACGCGAGGGGCTCGTGTTGTCTTACGGGTACTGGCCCTACTGGATGCTGTACCTTGCCAGACCTGCCTGGGCTGAGACTATCCTTTTCTAGCCGCCGCCTGAGCAGCCCGGCGGGTCATCAATTGTGTGTGGCGGTGCGTCGTGCAGATCAGCCCCTCAATCCTTCCGCTAGGGAGAGCGCGCTTTTGTCCATGTATTGGTGGTGTGGGTTCTCATGTCGGTGAAATGCACTGCACAGTGCACCGTAAGGCAAAATCCCACCATCTTGAACAGAAACGAAACGCAACTCGCTGCGCTGTGCTGTGTTCCTGCAAGCCATTTGGGGCCCATCGCAAGCTTCCCCGCTGCACTCCCCGTCGCAAGAACGACTTGCTGTTCCCGGCGAACTGGTGTGTGCCTCAACGCAGTCGGCGGTTCTGGTCCATCCACCTTCCGCTTCACTTCCATTCCTACCCACTCCGACTCCCACTTGTAGCATACTGTCTCCGCTGTCTCCGTTTCGAATGGCTCGTGGATGAGTCTGGACGCCCAATATCGACGACGATCATGTCCACTTTCAATGATGCGGTCGCTGCCAGCCTAGACCGCATGTTTTCCCTTACCTGGGCACTTGTTCGTCTTGCTCGTTTCGATGGCATGCAAAGGACCCTGTCTCCGACCGGCACGGGCCTCGCAACGCCGGTCTGCTCTCTTCAGAGACACAACCATTCAGCGGAAGGGAAAGGCTGAGAAAAACTTGCAGCGCCAGATGGCCACGGGCAAGTGCTTCGCGGGCGTCCGGGACTTGTAGATAGGTGCCATATTGCAGCGATATTGGATGCCTCGTCCATATCTGTTTCTGAGATTGTGGGGAGCATCAACCGAGCGCCCGCAGGGGTGGTCGGTGCGATGCAGCTAGAGACTAAACCGCTTTGGGACGATTAGCTTCCACCTCACTCGTTCAGGTCTTTGGGAACTTGCAGCCCGTACTCGGGGTTCACACTTCATCCTATGCCGTCATTCTGTTGATCTACCGGGAATTGGTCAGGAGAGTGTGGAAGATGGTTCAGATAAGAAGAGTAAGATGGGGAGCGGCGTTGGCGATGAGCATAGAAGAGGTCAAACAAGCTCGATTCAGATGTGGGTATCAGTTATCTCGTCTTATCAAAGAACCAACCCAAATCACAGTCTCCAACCCGCTGTCCTGACGACAGCGAGGAATCGCAGAAGCTGATTGGATCGAAAGTACCAGCCCTGTTAGAAGCCCAAAAAGACAGTAATCTGAAAAATGCACCATAGCCTCGATCGTGTTCAAAGAGCTGGCAGTATTCCTCTAACGCACTTTTTCCCCGGGAATGAAATCATGTAATCGCAGATACTCTGGAAGCAAGCATAGAACAAGGAGGTTGAGAAAGCCGAGTAGCTCGTCCAGAGGACGTCTACCAGCGGCCGCCTCCTTGACCCTCTTGACCACCGCCATAGCCGCCCTGGCCTCCACCTTGTTGATAGCCGCCTTGCTGCTGGTAGCCGCCATCTCGAGGTTGTTGGTAGCCTCCTCCCCAGCCGCCGCCGCCTCCGCCATAGCCTGATGCGATAGTTAGAGCTTGTAACTTAGGATAAGGGAATGGGATATAGACTTACCACCACCGCGGCCACCACCGTAACCACCTCCTAAATCAATGATCAGAACGTGCAATGTAGAGGATAATAAGTCAGCTGTAGCTTACCACCGCCGTAACCTCCGCGGGACTGGTAACCACCACCGCCGCCGCCACGGCCACCGCCGCCACCAGCACCAGGGTTGGATGCCTTATCTACGCGAATGGTACGCCCATCGAACCTATGCGATCATTAGCCCTGTAACGATGGAAACGAAGTGATTCTGAGCAATTCCCTTTGCGGAGTGTAGAATCGCTATGCGAAATTCAGGTATACTTACTCGACATTGTTCATTTCCTGCATGGCGCGGTCGGCATCCTGCTCTTCGGCGTACCTAACAAAGCCGAATCCGCGGCTCCGACCAGTGTCGCGATCTTTGACGACGACCTGCCAGTAGTGTGAGCTTCAGTCAGGGTTTCGCGAAGCATTTCTGGGAATGGCTTACAGCCTCTTCGACGGTGCCAAACTCGGAGAACTTCTCCCTGAGGGTGCTGTCGTCGGTATGCCAAGCGAGGCCACTATTCGCGAAAACTGTCAGCGCATGTATTCCAGAAGTAGTACAAGTCATGAACTTACCCGATGAATAGTTTGGCCATGTTGCGAACGGGACCGGAGGGTCAGAACTCTAGATGGACTCAATTTCGGCTCTGGAGGAGAAGGGAGAAACGCGCGAGAGGGAGGGACGAAGGGGAGGACGAGGACGAGGACGGCGATAACGATTATGATGGGGTTGGCAGGTGAGTGAATGCGCGCAGCGCAGCGCGGTCGAGTGAAGTATAGCTGAACAGCTAGGTGAGAGAGAGGGAAACAAAGGAAAGCGGGCAGGTGCGGATGGATGTATAAGAGGCCATGGTGGCATCAACAGGTAACGGAGAACAACATGGTAATAACGAACTTTTCTGCTTCAATCTTTCGATGAAATGTTATGGTAAGGACCGGGACAAGCGAGATCCAGCGGGTCGGAGTTGGGTGGGTAGTTGTGTCGGACAAGTAAGCTGTGGGGGGCAAGCCAAGGTCAGAGACGAGTGCAGATATAAAGTGAAGGATCGGAATCGGTGGGTAAGGGACAGGAAGATGAATGTGAAGGAGAAGATTGAGGGCGCGAACCGTGAGAGTCAAGAAATGACTGTAGGAGAGAGATGAATTGGCGAGTGAAGGAGGAAGGAGCGGGGCAGAAGAAAGAAGGAAGGAGGAGGAGAGGAAGAGAGAGGGAAAGAAGGAGTAGGAAGGACAGTGTAGGTAAGTTAAGGTTAGGGTAGAGTAGAGTAGAGTAGAGTAGCAGGTAGGGAAGGGTAGGGTAGGGTAGGGTAGGTAGGTAGGTAGGTAGGTAGGTCTAGGTAGGTAGGGCAGAGTGGGATAGGGCAAGGTAGGGTATGGTAAAGATACCTGTTACCCCTCCAAGAAGAATGAAATGAGAGATGTGAATGGTGGATAGCGGGAAGGCGGATGGTGGGAAAAGATGTGAAAGAGGTTTAGTTACGACTTACGAGTACCTACCTAAGTAGTGGTGGTAGTGGTGGTAGTGGTGGTAGGGAAGGGGAAAGGCACGCACGCACGCAATAGCTTGGAGGTTAGAAGTTAGAGGGGGGGTTGTTTGAGCTGGGGGTGTTTGATGGTGGGCGAGCGACTGGGGGGAAATATGGATGGGGGGAGGGGTGGGTGGATGATAATAAAGGCGGCAGCCCGGGTTTAGAGATTTCGAACAGATGCAGTCAAGTAGTCGCCTTTTGGTGGTTATGTGGTGTGTGAGTGTGGAAGTGTATGGAGCATGTACGGAGTATGAGGTATGAGAAAAGCAGATGGAAAAGTCGGTGGTAGTAGGTGCTTGTAGGTATCTATCTACAGACTATTGTATGCGTGAATGCAGCAGGTAGGGTGTTTATGTATGAGGTCTCTGTACGTGCTTATGCCTGTGCGTTTGTCGTGCGTTTAAGGTGTGTGTGCGTGTGCCTCGATGTGGGTGGATTATTGCTTGAGAGCATAGGATCGTAGAGGCATGAATGGGTGGAATGCGCGTCGTTGGACAATAAATCAATTAGAGAGTCAGGTTCGTGGATCATTACTTGCGCATCTCAGACTGGCTTACTCCGTCTCAATTCTCTCCGACCCAAGACCGACGATGATGGGTAGTTGGGTAGTTGGGTAGGCATGAAGTATGGCTGCACATGGAGCTTGCCTGAAGCTTGGGCTTGGGATAGTAATTAACTAGGGAATATGGGATGGGATGGGACAATGGCATTATTGGAGAGGATGGGATCATTCTTAGGGCATAAACGTTAAAGAAGTTGGTGAAGGCATGATGCCTCACCAGAGCCATCACTTCAAACACACTTCACGCAATCGCTCGCCACACTACTGGTCCTGATCGGAGCAATTAATAGAGAGTGAGGGAATGAGATGGACAGACAGACAGACAGACAGACAAGTGGATAGATGGAGAATGTTCACTACGGAGTACTACGAAAGGCAAGGCGGAGGCGAAGGGAGGGGTGGGTTGAACTGGAGACTTAGGGACTAAACTAGGTACCAGGGACTACGGATACGGGTGGGAAAATGGTGCTAGAAGTGCTCACAAGGTACAGCAATACAGGAAGGAAGAGGACCCTTATGGATCCATCGCATGGGAGCTAGTATTGGAGAATCCATCTGTATTCGTTTAGCTGAGGTACCCAGTTACGAGGATGGATGATGAACAGAGAAGAAGGATGTTTGATGTGGCGTGTGTATGTGGAGTCGACAGTGATAGCGTATAACAAGCAAATAATAATGGGACAGTACTATTACACAGTACCTATCCTATCCCGCAGATGGTTGATGGGAAGGTAGATGGTCTTATCAGACGAAGACGGAGAAAAGCGAAGAGAAGAAAAAAAAAGAAAAAAAGAAGAGGGAGATTAAAGAACAGCAGCAGAAAGCGTGTACACAGTACATTGATTAGTTGGTTAAGGCAACTCGATGGTTATTAGTTGTTTATTAGTTTGTTAGTTGATAGATGATTCCTGTTCCCGTGTCCAGAGTGAGCTGCGGGCAGAGACTAGTCTCCCATTTAAATTCATCCAATCAGATTATAGCATTCCGACTCCAAGTGCCTGGCCTGCCGTGTCTAATGCGAAAAAAAGACAGCTGCATTTTCATGATAGGTTGCGTTCCGTAAGTGTGTGAGTGCATATTTTGTGTATGTGTGTACGGAGTATGTGCAGAATGTATGTATGTGCGTATGCGCATTATGTGTGTGTGCGTAGGTGTGCGTATGTGTGCGTGTGAGGGAGTGTGTCTTGTTGGTGTGTGGTGTCTTCTTTTCACTCTGATCCTCTCATTCTCCCATAACCCTGGCACCCTGGTCATCCCGCCATCGTAGGCGACACTTGATTGGCCAATGGCCCAGTTGCCCACGCAGATAATGGGCGGGATAGATGCACATAGGCGGAGATGTGCCTCTGACCTTCCATACCAACAAATAAACGTAGATACTGGTCCGCAAAAGGGCTCTGGCCTTACTTACTGTACTGTACATACTCCGTACACTTGCGCAGTACCGTCTTTAATTCCCGTAGTCGACGCAGATTGTGGTTAGTAGCTGCAGCCAACCCGGGCCCTTGTGGCGCGTGGCGTGTTCGCAACATGCAGCGTGAAGTCCGGCTCCCGTCGGTATGTGTGCTTTATGTTACTCTACAAACATGTATGTACTTATGTATGTACTGCAACGCAGAACGGTGAGAAAATGACTATGAAGGATTTTGGAGCAGAGTATTTGTACTCCGTAACTCTATGCGCTCGGGTTCGCCGTACATAACGAAGTGGATAATAAAGAATAGGCAATAGTCGTGATGGTTATTGGTGGTCTATAGCAGAACATGATTGGCGTGGAATTACAAGGACAGTGCACACCACTATGCACATCAAAAGGGAAAAGAAGAGGAAAGTAAAGGATAAACCACAGCCATCATGCGGCGCACGCAATAACAAATATCTCGTGAGGCAAGAGAAGAGACCGGTACTGCGCCCGAGGTACGGAGGATTTGCATAGGTTGGAAAGCTGAGGTGCTGCCAACTGGTGGGTAAATGGAATCTCATGCCAGAGCTGGAATAGATTATGGGCTGGATCGAGCTGGCGATTGGAAGTATGTAGTGGAGTGGATAGCACGGATGGGCTGGTTGGATTGGTGTCTGATGTGCAAGCAAGTTTTTCAGATTCTCACACTCGAAGACGGAGCACGGGAGTAGGTTAGGTATGCTTGTTGCAATAATGCAAACCTGCAAACCTGCAAACCAGCACACATGCAAGCCTTACACCTTATCAAGCCGATTATCGCCCCCCTCACCTCGCCCTAGCCCTGGGCTGCACTGCACGGAACTCTATGCAATCAAATCATCTTGTGTCTCTTGCTGCAAGCGAATGTGGAGTCGGCTTGGGACCCGTCGACCGTCTTTTCGACCCAGCCCAGCCCAGACTGGGGCTTGTGCAGGTCGTCCTATTAGGGAACGACTTCTCGACTACACCGTGACACTGTAGCCGCATTCAGCATACAGTAGGTACTCCGTTCCATACACTACTGTATGTACTGTACCGTATATTGTAACTACTGTACAAACTTGACGAGTAGTACAGTGCAATCCGGCACCAGAACTTGGCCATACAATTATTGCCCGTGATACCAAAATGTAGTACGGAGGAACTACCTAGGTACCTAGTTAGTCAACTACTCTATGTAATTAGTCAGATATCAGTAATGGTAAGTATTCGCTCTGCTCACTATCTTCCTTTTGTACTTACTCTTTTCTTTTTCCCCCCTTGCGAGCTACACATTCGACACATGGCCAATGGCGGATTTACGTTTGCTTATGGAAATGAAATGAAGTTCACTGAAATGCATGGGATCACGGTGAGAAAATCCATACCCACTATTGTGAACCGTGCTGTTTTGCGGTCTCCTTGGCCTCCCTTTTTGGGCACTTCGACACTTTGACTATATTACCTACCTACCTAATTACCTACCCAAGGTACCTAGGTAAGTTACTGACTACTACTGTTGGTAAGCCAGGTCTCCATAGTGGGGGCCAAACGCTTATAACACTGTACCTATGCTTCCTACCCTAATGGATTACTCCGAATCTACGAGTAGACTGACCCCTAATCACCATCACCACCTATACACATCTCACCACATTATTGTTACACACATGCAATAGCTACAAGAAGGGAAAGCTCACGAAACACAGATTCGCTGGGGAGGAACACACGGAATTTTGAAGCTTGTGTTGGCATTGTCCCACTGGTGATGCAAGATCTAAGGATGCCATGCGGCTTCCAGCATGCCCTACTGTGCGACGTTGCTGTACCTTTCCTTCCCTACTAATTAACTAGTCTTGTCGATTTCTCACCATCCTACATATACTCCTCCGACTTGACCACTCATCTGTGGATATCCTCCGTGGATGTTGCAGAGAGAGACTGCAGCTTTCATGCTACTGTACGAGGCACTGTGAAGGCGACACCTTCCGCCCCAATCAATGCATTGCTCCTCCACAGCTCTGAACTTAATGCAAGCAGTCGCCTGGACCAGGATCTGTCCGTGGGTGGTCTGTATCCCCATAAACACTCATGCCGCAGTCTGTGACAGGTCACTGCCGCGATGCCAGTATCTCCCCTTCTTACCCACCATCAAAGGAAAAAACATTCTTCAACTCAATTACTTATCTCTAGCCACGATGTCGACCTGGGTTTTCACTGATGAGAAATAGTCATATCGATCCATTGCAATAACCTCAATAATGGCTCGGTGTTCAATTGAATGGTCACGTTCGCTTGTATGTATGTACATACTTCGACCATCGTGCCTGCCATGAGTGAACCGCAACTTCCCAAGTGCCCCCTCAAGCTTTCCTCCCACAACTACAACCTCAATTCGAACTTTCTCTCACAATGCATTGAATCACGCTTTCAGTCCTTGATTAATGTGCAACAAGTACCCCTCCACCCCGTTACACAAACCAACCTTCCTCTCCTCCACTTTCGTTGTCACTGCCATCTGTAGACTTCCTCCGACCAGCGCGACTATAGCATGCAGTACTACAACAGAGAGGGCTCCAGAACCTGGCCCTAAGCCCCCAAAACGACGGCACGGCACGCTCCCTCATTCACCCGCTTGCCAGCCCCCATTAGGGCATGACTACTTTCCTTGGGCATCATGGATATTCGAAAATGGCTTGATGAGACTGTGACACCGGTCCAGTCTCCAATTCCCCCTAATCAATTCAACCTTGCTCCCTGCCTCCGGCCAAAGGAAGATATGGATGATCCTAGAGCGAGTCGCAAATACAGGAAGTCCAGGTCAGGCAGCTCACTTCTTGAACGCCGCCCAATACCACCACGGAAGACCTTGAAATGCGAGACTAGTGCCGAGCACAGTACCAACAGCAGCGACTGCAGTGAGGCACACGACCCCACCAGCAGGACCTCGTCGAGCAGGGTATCGAGCCAAAGATATGCACGAAAGGCTCGACGGAAGACACGTACGGACCGCTACGACCCCACGGTGAACAATGGTAAGACGCGAGAAACGCACATATATCGAAACCAAATCGACGAATCAAAGAAAAGAAAACGCAAGCCGAAGCGCAAGAGGTCCGATAAGTCAGGCGTGGGCTTAGTCCAGAGCTTCCGCGCCAAGAATGTTTCTCAGGATCGACTGACTGTGAGAAGTCCAGCATATCTCCAAAGACCAGGGTGTGCTGACAGTCGGTACAGTTGAGGCCACGGGACAACTTGGGTCTGTTCAACAAGGGAAAGGCGGCGTCCCCCATCAAGGGCCGTGGCTGTAAGCTACTGCTTCTCTGCGGCGCCCCGCACTCTTTCAGCTCATGCTAAGGCGTCTTGTAGTGCCCGATCTTGTATTCTCTGAGATGAAGTTCTTGCAGAAGCATAGAGCCCAACCAGAGCCCGCCCTTGATGCCGAATTGTCTAGAAAGCACCGGAAAAAGAGCCATACACAAGTGCGTGACGAAGAGATTTCTGCATATTTCACCTCTGTACGACCAGCTTTACAGGAGCAAATCCCCAATATCCAAGCGAACGAGAGCCACCGTCCATTGGATCCCAGGGCGTGCTTAAAGCAGCATGACCGCGACCGATCATCGTTGACAGCGAACGCATTTCCCACTGTGGAATCCCCCGCGGTTGAGCTGGAGCACTCGAAATTCAGGAATAGAGTCCCGCAACATGACAGTGGTAGTTATATCTCTTGGTCCGAATCGATCAGGCCATGGTCAAAGACGCCTCTTTTGTCTCAATCGAAAAGATCTTCTGTCCATCGTGACCGACTGGACAGTGTACAGTTGGCTGGAGGCAACTTGAGTATTCAAGATGAAGCTTCCCTGCAAAAGCCAGTGAGCCCCGCTGCCATTTCGAAGAAGTCGACACATGAGAACAGTCATATACGTCCAGTCTTTTCATTCACTCCAGTTGCTTGTCACCTGGCTCGCTCTAAATCTGTGCCTTTAGCAAGTGCCCTACATCATCAAGTGAAGCGTTGCAAGGAAGACGAAATACGGACTCACAACACAGGGACGCTCCAATCACCGATGGTAGGCCATGCACCTTCTCCCAAGGCAGTCTCTGACGAGGTCCCCTGCGAAGTCCCCCGTGATGTTGGTGTCGACGCCGATAGCAAAGATCGGAAGAGTGATGGCTCTTTCCCTGCAGAACATGAAGACGCTGGTCAAGGAATTCGAGAGACAACAGGCCAAAGCGAGAAAGAGAAGGATACGTCACTGGAACTACACACACCATCAGGCTTGGAGAAACTTATCCGCGAGTGCAACGCTGCTTTGAATCAAAGAACACACGACCCTCCCAAACTAATCAGCACAGATGCCCACCCGCCGCGATATGGTCGAGTCAATAGCAGATCACCAGGCCCTGACGTAGGCTCATATACCACACTGCAAAGGTTACCTACCGTGCGTTTTGCTGGTGGTGAGCTCCGGGTACCGATGTTTTTGAACTTTACGGAGCCAAGCATATACAAGGCAGAGGCTCTACGAGGACATGACGTGAATGGATTGGAGGGCGCAAGCAACTACCTCTATCGAGAGATGGATACCCTGGAAAGTAACGATGTTCTGGAGGTGGGAGATGACATAGGCTATGAATACGATGAGCGAGAGCAGATCATATCAGGGGCAAATGATAGGCCCATATCTTGGATGCCCTATGGTAGGTGCATGGTGGGTCAGAATGAATCTGGACCCGGTCTGGAAGAGGACGATGATTATGGACGAGACAACCAAGTATGCGGCAACAGGTTCTGGCGACCCAATAAACTATATTGATGAACGATAGAGGTGAAGCTGTCGTGATTGTGATTTGGATATATTTATGTATCAAAAGGTCTATCTTGGTGGGATTCTAGTACCTAAGATATTAGTATCATGATCAGCGTAGAGTTCTAGATGTCGTCTTCAGTGCTTGATCCGTGCGGCAACATGGAGAAAGTGGGAAGAGGAAGAAAATGGACCAACCAACCTCGGGATAGTCCCGTCCTCCAACTGATCAATTCCTGCATCCTCGGTTTTGCACTGAGATTCCCCTCAAGAAAACGATTGCCGATGATCATCTAACCGATACATTACTGTCTATACTGTAGTCTCTCTGATTCCTTCTGGATGTTCTGTCGTCGACATCCAACATGTCTCCTCTCAGCCAGGAACATTGTTAGCAACGGTGCCAGGAATTGGAGCAGTCGTCGATCTCATTCATCGTTCCCTTCGTCCCATCAGTCCATTGCTCCGACCGCTACCGATACCGCCACGGCTGCCTTTGCCTCTGCTGCTCCCAGAGCTGGCAGAAGGGGTGGACACCCATCGGTGAAGATTATTACACTGGCTGGTCCAAGGCAACAGCAGGGCCAGCGTTCCCCTGCGCGTGTGCCTATGCCCGCACCCGCCGCCGCCGCGCCTGCGTTTGCGCCTGCGAGTTCCCTTACTACCAGTGCCAGTGCCAGTCCCAGCACCAATACCAGTGCCAGTGCCAATAATAATACCGCCGCCAATACCAACACCAATACCTTGAACACATCATCCCCATCTGTCCCTCCTACTCCTCCACCCTGCCCCACCAATCCCGCCATCGCCATCAACAAAATTCAGTCTCGCACCCAGCAACTAGCTGGCCACCTCTTCTCCTCTTCCCCTTCCTCTTCCTTCTCTTCTTCTTCTTCTTCCTCATCACATTCCGCAACAATGGCCTCCAAATACACCACCCGCAAGATTGGTGCTCCCAACACCCTCGAGCACCGCATCTTCATCGAGAAGGATGGCGTCCCCGTCTCTCCCTTCCACGACATCCCCCTCTATGCCAATGAGCAGCAGACCATCCTCAACATGGTCGTTGAGGTGCCCCGCTGGACCAATGCTAAGATGGAGGTTCGTTCTCTCTTCGCAAACCCACTCCCACCCCTTCATCAGTGCTGCATTCGCCTCGCTGTCTCGACTCTGACCTTCCATTACCCCGCCGCTCCAAGAACACTGCTGACTTGACCTTCCCTTGAATAGATCAGCAAGGAGGAGACCCTCAACCCCATCAAGCAGGACACCAAGAAGGGCAAGCTCCGCTTCGTGAGGAACTGCTTCCCCCACAAGGGTTACCTCTGGAACTACGGTGCATTCCCCCAGGTACGCTTCGCAGCCCACCCGATATCGGAATAGACCCATACTCATTGCTTTTGCAGACTTGGGAGGACCCCAACGTTGTTCACCCCGAGACCAAGGCCAAGGGTGACAATGACCCATTGGACGTTTGTGAGATTGGCGAGCTCGTCGCCAAGCCTGGTGAGGTCATCCAGGTCAAGGTCCTCGGTGTCATGGCTCTCCTTGATGAGGAGGAGACCGACTGGAAGATCATCGTCATCAACGTCCAGGACCCATTGGCTCCTAAGCTCAACGACGTCGAGGATGTCGAGCGTCACCTCCCTGGCCTCTTGAGGGCTACCAACGAGTGGTTCCGTATCTACAAGATCCCCGATGGCAAGCCTGAGAACCAGTTCGCCTTCTCTGGCGAGTGCAAGAACAAGAAGTAGGAAACACCCTTGCATATTCTTTTACACGACACTAATAGAAATAGGTACGCTACCGACATCGTCCGCGAGTGCGCCGAGGCCTGGGAGAAGCTCATCTCTGGCAAATCCCCCCGCGGTGAGCTTTCGCTGTAAGTAATCCTTGAAACAACCATGACATATAGATGCTAATGTACATCAGCACCAACGGCACCATCTCTCACTCTCCTGAACGTACCGATACCACTCAGCTCAACATTCCCCAGGGCGAGAACAGGAGCCCCGCTCCCATCGACCCCAGCATCGACAAGTGGTTCTTCATCTCTGGTGCTCCTTCCAACTAGGAGATGGAAACGAAGATGTACGCAAAATCGGCGGAGATTCCCCAGACAGTAAGCGCGCTGCAAGGCAGCCCAAAAGTCGTAGACAGAAAATGAACATGTCGCCTTCTTTTGAACAAACCCAACCACGGCAGAGATAGAATAAATTCATCCAAGACCATGATTTATGGGATCCAATTAAATTTTTCATGCAATGCCGTGACTCCATTTGAATGCTTTCATCAACTACAGTAATTTTACAAGCCCATATCCGTCCCGTGGTATCACAAATTTCCATTCAGTTGCCAGAGAGCTCCTCCTTCCGCGCAAGGATACGTGAGTGTCGATTCACTTGCTCCATGACTTCGGGTATCCGCATCTTATCCAATTCAAGATTCATCTCCTTTCCATCCTCTGTACGGATGTTAGACTCAATTTTTTTTACACAGGCATCTATGCTGGCAACATACTGAACTTCAGAGCCAGCGTTGAAGGCTCTTTGCTTGCCCGTGGAAGGATCTTGGACTCGATCTTCATCCCCTCTGCGCGCGCACTCGGTGGTATTAATGACAGAAAAATGCGAGCAGGCTTTGATCGAGGAGAAAAGGGATTAAATTTGACGCGGACGTCTGTGATGAATCGGGTGATCATGTTGGCGGGTTTTGGACGAACGAGCGAGGGGCGATGGCGGTTGGAGGAAGGTACCTATTCGGTCTGAATCTTGATCAATTGGAGGCTCTGATAGCTTGCGAAGACATGTAGAACTTACAGAACAGGTGGGTAGATATATAACACACTCTCGACGCTGGCACACTGGTGGATGCGGGTCCTCATGTCCCCCATTCTCACATTTCCACAGATCAGACGGTCCGTGCGCCGGGACTTTCCTTCTACCAAATGGCCGCCCGCCGCATCTCCGTCATAGCATCCAAGAACATCTGGCCGCATCCCCTCCCCTCCACATAACCATGCCGCCTCTCCCTTCCACCACGCAATCCCTCACGATCCGCCTGAACACACTTTCCGAGTGGAACAAGGAGACACTTTCGCTCATACAAAGACTCTCGAAACTTGACTTCCAGCCGGGAGCTCTACCACAGAATTCCGACGAGGGGGATGCGCGATTGGAACTCAGCGCTGAGATCCACGAAAGCTTAAAGCAGACGGAAGAGGAGCTTGAGCTTCTAAAACAGGAGGTTGAGGACGTTGTTCAGGGTACTGGAGGTTCTGCGAGACGGAGAGACAGTGCGAAGGAGAGTGAGCGATCCAGACTTGCTGTGCTTCTAGCCAGGTTGACGGAGGACTTGAGATCGTATGTAACACGTAGAATGCAATTTACCGTTACATGTATATTGACTTGATTTGCAGTACTCGGACACAGTTTCGAAGAGCTCAATTAGCGGCCAAACACAACGCCGACAGAGCGAAACTCAAAGAACGCGAACTCCTATTCTCAAACCTACAATCAGGAACATCTACACCGTCCTCCGCCTACCGCCGGAAACAGAATTCCCAGCTCACCGAAAGCGAGATAGTGGGACAAGCTTCCTCGGATGTGACAGCAGCTCTACGTCGCACCCACCAGTTGATGCAAAACGAGCTTTCGCGCTCCAGATTCGCACAGGAAACACTCGAACAATCGACAGCCGCCCTTGCCGACCTCGGCGAGAAATACACAGACCTAAGCACTTTGCTGTCAAATAGCAGAGCGTTGGTCACGACACTGCTCAAGAGCCAGAAGTCGGACACGTGGTATCTTGAGACTACGCTCTACATCCTCATAACTACGGTCATCTGGCTGATCTTTCGACGTTGGCTGTACGGACCGATATCCTGGTTCATTCTCTGGCCTCTGAAAATCGTCTTCAGGGTTATATTTGCCGTCGTCCCTTCTGCCGGCCTTGCCAGTGCAGGATCAAGTCTATCTGCCCCTTCTGAGCCCAGCACCAGCTTGATCGTCAAGCCGAGCGCTACAGGAGCAATCCCCAAGCGAGATCCAAACCTACCACCACCTTACGTGCGTGTTGGAGGCGGAGGAAGAGGGTATCGTCAAGACCCCAGCCCACCGGGAAGTTATTCACAGCAAGTCGGCCAAATGGCGGAACAAAACCGGAATCAGCAACAGGAAGAGGAGGTGATCGACCATCCACAATTGAGGAATCAACCACAGGCTAGCGAGAAAGACGGCGAGCCAGTGGTACGGGCGGATGGAACCGTGCTGCAAGAAAGTGACAAACCGAGGAACCCGAAAAAGAAGATGTGGGAGGAGAACGTCGAAGCCGAGAAGCACGCACAGGCGCAACAGGAGCAGCAACAGGATGCTACCCAGGGCCAGCAGCAGCGAAGGAAGAGAGATGAATTGTAACCGTCATTGGACGATGCATGTAGTACACGAACGCAATGCCATATATTCAGATACCCTCCCCCCAATCACCCACTTTTTTCTCTGATCTAGCAACAGTGATGACCACCACCACCAACATTCACCTTTCATGTCAAACGACAACACCCACCATGACCGCACACACATGACCACATTCACACGCACACCCCATCTTGCGAACCCTCCCATCCCCATCCCCATTTCACATTCACCCCGTCGCCGCCACCTCGTGACACAGCATACAATCACTCCCCACCCCCCACCCATCATACCTATCATATAAACCCCTCCCCCATCCCCCAATCTTCCCTTCTTTTTCTCCACCACCTTACAACAACCATCCTCCTCTTCCCTACCTACAACATCCTCCCTCCTCTCCTGCTCCCTTCCCTATCTCTCTTCCTCCCCCCCCTCCCTCGAAAGCAACGAGGAATCCAGGAAGAAGCAAAGACTCCGAAAACACCACCACAAAATGTGTCAACCACCCATCGCCTATGGCAAACGGCCAGTTCTTCGCGAGAAGAAAAGCATAGTGATACACGGCACATGAACTGCACCCGAGTGTGTGCAACGTCCCGACAGAACCAAGCCCATGTTTTGGGCTGCTTCCCTCCCCCAAAAGTCAGAAAGGGACTATGGGGAGGGGAGAAGGGGGGAGCATGCATCACCGATGCCGTCTCCTCCCCCCCTACCTCCCTTTCGCCCTTCTCCCTTCTCGACACGACCTGCAGGTCCGGGTGATGAGGAGAAACCCAAAGTCGAACCTCAATGCGGAGGTTCGGCAGTGGGAGAAAGAGGTCCTATGGGGCCTGGCGTTTGCTTCTCCCCCTACCTCCCTTTCTCTCCTTACTCATCTCCTCAGCCGGCGGGCGAGCGGGCGGAGAAGCGGTCCGTTTCTCGATATGAGAAACAAAAGTTAATTCGGGAAATGCGGAGGTCCAGAAGTGACCGAAAGAGAAGGCATTATGGGGTCTGGCGTTGCCTTCTCCCCCTTCCTCTATTCTCCCTTTTCGACACAAAAAGTGTCTACAGATGTGGACATGAGGAGAAACGAATATTGATCTTCCGAATGCGGAGGTCCGGGACTTACAGAAAGAAGTTCTCATGAGTTCTGGCGTTTCCTTCTCCTCTTCCCTTCATTACCGACACCAAAGGATCCACAGATATTCACATGAGGAGAACCCAATATCGATCTTCCGAATGCGGAGATCTGGGACTTCACGATCAGAGTCCTATAGGGTCTGGCGCTGCCTTCTCCCCCTCCCTCCATTCTCAACATGGCATCCGGATCCAGAACATGAGGAGAACCCAAAGTCCACCTTCCGAATGCGGAGGTCCGGGACCTGAAGGCCGACCTTCATGTGGTCTGGCGTTCGGGGTTCTGCGCTGGAAAACATCGAGGGCGAGCAATTGATGGGAGAGCTTGTCTCTCGACTCCTTCAAAGAGAACAATTATGCGTGGGACTGGACTGATACGCATAAAAAGGATTTCTGGGACTGGGACTGGAACTGGATGAGATTCTCGAGGGGGATGAGAAAAAGAGTACCAAGCCAATCTCATGTGGAGGCGGAGGCGGGAGAGATAAACAACGACTACAACCACGTCGATGTGGAGACGGGAGAAAAATATCCCGACAAAAACCCCGAATGGCCTTTCGGCGTGCGTTTCTGCCTCTCCTACTTTGTCTTTCAACCGGAAAACAAGAGCCCAACGACTCATGGATTGACGAGGCAGAGCAAAGAATCACCTCATGTCCCTTCTGCCTCCTGTCCTTCGCATTTCTATCAAAGAAAGACAGAAGTGAAATATGGGACTCGGAGTGAGGAGGGAGAGAAAAAAACAGACCTCGATGAAGCCTTCATGAGGAGGTGGGAAAAACATGGTGATGCAAGCCTTCCATGAGGAGGCGGGAGAAGAAAAGGAAATGAAGGGGTGATATGTCCCTTCCTGTCTCTTGTCTTTCGGCTTTGCATCGAAAGGAAAAAAACCTCAACCGGACAGCCCATGGATGGAGGAGGGAGAATAAAAGGAAATGGATGATGTGATATGTCCTTTCTACCACCATTTCACTCTCCATTCTATGTCCTTCCCGCCTCTTGTCTTTCGGCTCTCCGCCGAATCGAAAAATATGAGCAACTCGGCCAATGAGGAGGCGCGAGAGAAAAGATTCCTTCAAAGCTCCTTCATGAGGAGCTGGGACGAGAAAGGCACTGTCGAGATAAGCTAATGCTTTGTGCGTCTTGTCCTACAACTATCCACCAGACTACAATGTCCTTTGGGCGGCGCGTTTCTCCCTCCTGTCTTGCGGCTTTCCATTAAAGATTTACAAAGCTGCACATGGATTGAGGAGGAGGGAGAATAAAAGGCCTAGATCTTCGTTTCATATGTCCTTCCTCACTCTTATCCTCCAGCTTTCCATCGTGGAAAAAAAAAACCAGAGACATCCGTCCTTATGAGGAGGAGGGAGATAAAAGCCACACTTCGAAGAGTTCAATGTCCTTTGTCCTTGTTCCCTTCCATCTTCCCATCGAAAGAGGAAAAACAACCACGATCAATTCGTGGAATGAGGAGGCGGGAGAAGAAGCGCCTATAGTCGAGATGCCGTATGTCTCTTCTCCCTCTTGTCCTCCTGCTTTTCAAATCGAAGGTTTGAAAAAACAGACATTCCACAGCGAATGCGCGGCCCTCGTCCGCGCTGAGTCGCTAAAATTTCTTTCACTGGAAAAACATTCTACGACAGGCATGATATGTTGTGTCTGTCTGTTTGCGTGCGAGAAAATCAAAACCACCACCATCATGGACTCCATGGCTGCTTCCCCTCTTTTATGCGACCGACCACCGAAGGCTCAATCACATATTGTTTCAATGTCTTTTCCTCAGGTGGAGGAAAACAAGGAATGGAAACGATAACGGCATTGCGACCAAAAGTATGCTTGCTCTGCGCTTCGTCTCCGAGAAACGAACATACCGTTGGACACATCAATGCTGTGTTCCCTTGGGGGAGTGAAACAATCCCCCAAAAAATGTATCCAAAGACTTGAGCAACAAGCTCAGCTGCAAAGGAATAGAACATCCTTCCGAATGTCGGCGTGGGCGGGCTCCTCACATTCATCTCTCGCTATGTGCGTCTCGAGACGCACACCTGTGGTACATGCCGCGGTGGAAAGAAAAAAGGGTGATGATGGTCTACATGGCCGCGTGGGAGGAAACAACGCTATAAAGACATGGCCAATGTCCTCGGAGGAAACAACGCTATAAAGACATGGCCATGTCCTCGGAGGAGGAGGAGGAACAACGCTATACAGACATGGCCAATGTCCTCGGAGGAGGAATTACGTAAGGCACTATAATGGCTCCTGGTCGTTTGCCGGAACAAATGTACATCTTCCCTCCTTTCCCTCCGTCCTGGATCCAAACCTCCTAAAGGCCAACAGGAAATCAGGATATGGGGGAAGAAAATAGGAGTGTGCTCATTGAAGGTTAGGTCTCGCTCAGATTTCAAAAATGTGGAGCCGAGAGCAGAGATCAAAACTATCCAGCGGGACTCCAGGATACTGGAGTCAAAAGGCAGAACAAATTAGGGCATGTGTGGGAAAAAAGAATCCTGCAAAGTAGATGCTAAAAGATAAAAGGGCGAACAAAAAGGGAAATGGAGGACCTTGTGCGCCTTGTCTGAGAAAGCAAACATCCAAGAAGGCATTCAAAGACGCTTTGAAGGACGAAATGGCGGCCAAAAACGCTCAGCTAAAAGCAACCCATGTGCGTCTTGTCCGAGAAAGCAAACATCTTTTGCCACGGGAGCGTCAACAAAAGGCGATCTTCGGTCACGTATGTGGTTGAAACGGTCTAACGCCAACGCGATGACGGACCTTGTGTGTCCGTTCGGGATCCAACTTTCCCATGATTCGAACCGATGTTTCCAAAGTCAACGAGAATCCGAACATGAGGTCGGAGAGTGGTGTAGCTCCACATCATGTGGGGAGAAAACAGCACAAGAATGGACAGATGGGAGTGAGAGGGCTCTATACAAAACAATAGCTGTCCGTACGGCAGGTATGATGGTTTTGTCTCAGGTTTCGCGGGTTGACATGCCCGGAGAGGTGAGCAGATTTGCTCACTGAGCAGTGTTCGTTCAAAAAGGGGCAGCAATTGAAACTATGGCTGATCTATATCCTATGGACGGCGAAGACTGAGAAATTTTCATACTGCCAAACACTACGAGCTTTGAACGTATGGGATTATTGGTGTTCATCAACCATGAACTATCCATCGCCACCAACCAGCCAATCATGCGCTGAGACCTTCCTCTCGCCTTACACCAACCATCCAGATGGACGCGGTGACCCAGACGCACATCGACGAAACCAACCTCAAAATTGGTGGTTTTGTCTCGCCTTATGGAAACCCCTTTCGTGGTTTTGTCTCGCCTTATGGAAACCCCTTTCGTGGTTTTGTCTCGCCTTACTATGGAAACCCCTTCCCATGCACTCCCGTCCCTGATGATGCTCAATACAAGTTGAATGTCAACAACGGTGGCATCTTGTCATGGAACGATTTTCCTCGTGGCGTCGCAACGACGGAGTTCTTCGGTTCCTCGTGTGTATGAACTCGTTCATAAAATTTATCCAGAAATCCTCCGACAATGACACTTCCAGGGCTACATGAATAAACGAAGATTCATTATCTACGCATGGACTGGCGAGAACACTCGTCTGTCCATAAAACAACAAAGCGTGATCGGGAACAGAACATGAGCGGCACGATTCATCTTCGTCTACGACTAATGGTCGTCGATGATACATTCCCATCACTCGTGAACGATGACTTGCGAGACAGTCATCAATCCTCAAGTCAGGACGTTTCCCAACCGAATTCTCGCTCAGAAAGTATTCTTTCCCTGCTCCATCAAATGATGGCAATCATTTACCAACCGTGACCTTCCAGGTCGAAAGATTCCTGCTGCTACCTCAACCAGAAGTCCATCAACATCGCCCCCCATCCTCATGCGTGTTCCGGAACAAAAGCACCATGCCTTCAATACTCATGAGCAGAAATACTTCCATGAATGGAAGTTGTATGTCGAGAAAATCCGAAGCAGGATAAGCCCGTATGTCCGGGACTGGTATACCAATAAGACTTACAATAAATGTTGGTCTTCGGAGAGGATGTGTTGCATAACATACCATGCAACGCCGAATGGTTGGAACTTGTCGTTCAAGGCATGGAATGGTGGAGCCATTTGGACTGTCAAGAACGACCATGTCTATACATGTCAGCCTTTGAGGCGGATGTGCTACATGACATTATTCTCAATGTCCAAACTGGAAAAACCGGGCTTACATGTCTAAAAAATGGATATTGAGCCCGTATGTCCAAAGCGTGGATATTAGGACCCTATGTCCGAAAAGACGGAATCCCAAAAATTGATGTCGGAAGATTGGAGATGAAGATCATACTGATGCCCCAAGATGGGTTCCTGTACCTAATTACTGTCGACCGGTTGCGACAACGAAAAAAACAATAGCACCAAAAAAGAATTCAATAAATGTCCCAATACATGCGAGAGCGATAAGATAACAGCAAGACAAATGAGACTTAGGATTGGCAAATGCAGTCCCTAAGTATAAATATCTTATAGAACGAGAGAATCGGTTAGGCAATGTGTCTGGCTCGGCTTGACTCCTACAAAATGATTGGCGCCTATGTGCAGATAACATGCTGGGAGGGAGGGAGAGAAATGAAAAAAGGAACGAACTAGTTGGTAATGTTCCTGCTTCAGGGCCATGTTACCAATACTGCGGATGAGCACAGCAAAATGAACCACATACATTTTCCACCCATATGTTGTATGTCTCGAACGTCAACGACGAAAACTACCAAAACGGCCTACAATGGCGGTTTTCCCCAAATGATCTAATAAATATACTGCTGCTGCTGCGCTTGCGTGTGTGTGTGCATAGACTGAAGATGACGATTGGAATGGAGGGCGACAAATGACATACTGAAGCGGTTCATGTGGTGCCCTTTTCTTCTCCTTCATTCAAAATATGCAATCAGAAATACATGACCTGTGCGCCAAAAACCCGGATAATATCGACGTATGACTGAAGCGAAAATATACTAGACCCCCTACATGTGTTGCAATCATCCAAGCAAACGAGGTATGACTTGCTGTGCGTTTCGTCTCTTCAGGAAAATCCCGCCATGTCCAATTTCCACTTTCCTTGATACTGAAAACTGAACAACAAACGGTGGACAAATGGGGATCGCGCCCTGTGCATATTTGATACTTGAATTGGTCTCAGAAGGATACGGACTCTTTCGTCAGGCAATCCAGCACCGTCGCGTGTTTGGGTTGATCAGGACCATTCCGATCCCAAACTCATCACAGTCAATGATGCAGCGCAAACAATGACTTCTGATGTCAAATTCAATACACGCACTAAACAAATGAGCATGCATTATCACTTCGCACACAAGTGTCATGCCAATGTCATGAGGGTAACGTGTTTAGAACCAGCCACATCCCGTCGACACATCCAATTCCACAGATGTCTTCCCCATGTCATTGCCACTCTCTGCCTTATGCCGGAACGGGGAGTTTGATGGAGCGTCAAAGAGCTCCCTCCGCCCAGCAACCGACGAGGAGAAGAACGTAAGGCATCTCTATGATTGCAGAATATGTGTGAAGAACTATGTCTTCAGTAAAGAGTCAGATGAGCTGATGGAGAAAGCTCTGCGGACTGGAAAAGCTTGTTGAGGCTGCTGCATGTTTGATATACGCAACCACTTGCTTACGGCCGCATGACCGCACACGCTCGACGAGATCGCCGAAGTTGGATATGAAGACTTCGATGAGCAATTTCTTGCAGCATGAATACATGGTTTTCAATTGCAATCAATCCGCATCCTAAGTCGAATGATCCTGAGTAGTATCTGATGGAGAATCGTTGTCAACCAAGAGTCGACAAAACAAAAAACAAGCAGGATGTCTACGTCAATGTCCGTGTCCTTGACTTCAGCGTCAATAGGGCGGGGTTGAAATGCCCCTAAGACAGACACTATGTGTAAAGTTCTTCCAAGAATGGCTATAATGACGCTCGAAACGGGCATGGGACGACTCAATGTCCAAACAAAAAGACAGCTACGAACAAGTATTGAGCAAAGCATCTTTTGAGACCTACCATGGATTGGGAAAAAGAAAAATTACATTCGCGGAAAATCGACTGTCCTTCATGTCATGGAGTGAGCCAGATTGCCCGATATTTCAAGCCGGCCCCGAGAATCTCAAGATGAATTTCATACCCTGAATTTCAAATACACAGAATCTTACGTTGACATGGTGTCAAGGTTGCTCTGATGGTAAGATCGGGCTGGAGGAAAGCGATTCGGCAGGCTAGGCTATCGTCGAAACAAATTGGTATCTGGTGTCATGGGGAAGAAGAGAATGAAGGTTTCCATAATGCGGAGGCTGCAGCTCTTGACTAAATGTTTTGCCACGCGAATGCATGTGCCGTGGGAGTTGGTTGCACCGATAAAGTGGGTGGGAGTAATGTTCCTTTTCTAACACCCGAAACTCTATACTTTCAAGATCTCATGCAGCCAAAGCCGAACTAGGGATTGGTCATGCAACTGAGAAGATCGCTACAGAATCGTGCGGTTTACTCCTGCTGTTGAGAGAATGTAGAAGAGAAAAACCTTCCCAGCCCAGCTGATGACCGAGAACTCCCTGGATCCCTTCTTCCTCACGACCGACCAAAAATGTCTACAGTATCGAACCATGGTCGAAATCTTTCTCCATGGCTCGAAATATTTCTCTTATTTTCAAACTTCGTCACGAGGATTGCACCACTGGGCGTTTTATTCAAGTACCACCAAAAAGCCTTCATGGGATTTGAACAATGGATATTCTAACGGGGAGTTCGGTAAACAGATAGGGTCATGTTTAATGGCGGTCCATGTGTCCGTACTTTAGACATTCTTTTCTCTCACCGATGAACAGGCAATGACAAATTTACAATCACTTCCTGCGCATGAGACGTTTGGTTCGCTTCGAATCCATATCGTGGAAACCCAGCATCAAATGAAAATACAAAAAAAACGAATGACTGAGACCTTCTGCTTCGCCTTCATCGAAAACATCGATCACAAAGAGAACATCACTTGCCTTATGATCTCGTGACCCCAATCTTGCGGCTGATGCTGGACTCCCGAAGAAGCTGGTATCATCATAGCGGAATACGAAAAAGACCTAGCGATCATCACTGCAATGTCTCTCCACCTTCGTGGCAGCTATATGTCAATTGCACACATAACATTTTGGAAACGAGAAATCTATGTCTGCTAGACAGAAGTCATTACTGCAGAACCGGAAAAGGAATTTCCATAGAAACCGAAACAAGCCCTCTCTTATGAGACTTTGGGTGCATCACAAACAATTTTTAACCCAGAGGCCAAATGATGTAGCGAAGAGTCCTCATACCACGATGCTCTAACGCATGGGACTGAGGTGTGCGAACCTGGCGACGAGAGAGGACGTAAAAGTAGGAACATGTGTGAGTGGAGGAGAAATAATACAATATCCGACCAACCGAATGCGAAGATAATCGTAAAACAGAGCATGCCATGGCCTCGACTGTGAAGATTTTGTCAGGCAGGGTCCGACTAAATGAACGTTGGAGGTTACAACATGACTGGATCTTGTTTCTATCGAACGTGCAATCGATTCCTTGTCATATGTGGAGAATCAGAAAGACGATGCCGGCTTTTCAGTTCAGTTGTTGAATTACACAAGCCAAATGGTGGATCACACATGTGTACCTATAATGTGTTAGTCGAGAATTGGGTCCCGGATCTGATCGAAAAACTACGGATGCTCTTACACTAAGAACTCCTGGGGTCAATAAGCAGGGCTTGAATGAATCCAAACAGCCGTGGAAGACAGGTCAATGGATTTTACGTCCAGAAATGGACGTAACCGTCATATGGAGAGCCGTGCTTCCTATGTGGTGAATACTAGACTGTTCAGGTCTGAAGCATGTTATCTGGTATCATCGGGAACAAGTATTACCTATGTTTTTACGCTTAATGCTGCTCAAGTCAACAATGTGAGCAAATGCTTCCTCCGAGTGTTCCAATGAATACGCGAGAATACGAGCGAAGATACAAAATACGGTCCACATATGTCTAGTCACATTCTGAAACTTGATCGCGAACATGGGGAGCTTCTCAAAATCTGGGAGGAACAACGGACTTTCAGCATATCAATGTTTTCAGTGTCTCGATTGCCCGATTTCTTACTATCAGATCGGTCAGCGACCCAAATATGAAGCCAACCTTTGCACCCCGATGCTCTCTTTCTGTTACACAAAATCTATTCTATAACTCACTATGGACAAGGAGGTTGGCTCCAAATGGTCATACACTCCAAGTAAGCGTCCGAATGAGAATTCGGACAATGACACACGTTATGTGCCTACAGCACGAAGCAACATAGGAATTCATTTCTGAACAGGCTCGTGCGTTGCAAGAGAACATCGAAATCCTAGGAAAATTCAATCGCATGTGCTCTGGGAAGAAGGCAAGGTCAAGAGATACCATGCAGCATGAACTATGCACAATTCATACCCATTTCCGCTGGACGGGACCTTTTCGTGAACCCCACACATTGCCTCATGAATGGATGGGTAATGACTCAACAACAACTTTTCCATGCTTATATCCCCGCAAATCCCGTCTATATCTAAGATGATCAAATATGGCAGCGGGAAAAAGAAAATTTGATTGTTAAGTCCATTTCCATGACCATGTTGATGGAACTACGTTCGCCATATGAAAAATCATAAAGGAAAATTAACTAAATCACAAGTCCCTTTGGTTGTGCATCACTGCGTGAATGGGATCGTATGTATGACGAGCCACGAAACGACGTTTTCTGAAGACTATAGTTCTCTCCTCTTTTTTTTTCCCGTTGAGACAACTTTTCCGAGATTTGGTTGTCGATACGACCATGAGTTGAAATTTTTTCAAAACGAGATGTGGCTTCAGGAAGTCACGACGATTTAGCCTTATGTTTAAATAAAGAAGGTCAAGTGAGAGAGGATTCCTTTCATGATCGGATCGATGAGAGAACGACATATACATTGGGGATCGTGGACGTGTTCTCTGGGGGCGTTGATTGCAATCCGCTTTAGAATGGAGATATGTTGCGAGATGTTCTCCCGCTACACGCAGGACGAGACATGCCAAAAGTCTTTGACCTGACTAAAAATGTTCCCTGCTGTCTCCACGTGAATTTTGACACCAGTGATCACAGAGGATCTGAATGGTTTAGACGTTTGGTGTTTATCTTAGGCAACAATAAGAGCAATGAGCTTCCTTGCTGGCCGGCGGAAGAGAACTTAAAAAAATTGACACACCACAGAAGAGCGTGACATCGCCGAAAGGGCTACAGAATAGCCATTCATGTGCAATTCTTTCCTGTTTTCAGTTATACGAAATGCGGACTACACATCCAGAATGACACATATTCCGGACGGCATAAACATGTGTGAAAGCACTTCCCTGGGCCCCGTCGATGCTTTCCACATGCATTCATTTGCCTCACTGCGGGATTGGATATCGGGAGGACGCAAGAATCTAACTCCCTTTCTTCTCGTCGTCAAAAATAGGATCGGAAAGATCTCTCTGTACCAAGCATAAGATAGAGCCTTGAACTTCAATGGATGATTAGAGCATTGTTGTATTTCCAGAAATGGGATCACACTTCTCAAACCGATAAACGCAACCAAATCTCGTACATGTGCGCGTCCTTGTGTGCAAAATCAAAGTATGCCATCCGCTGTATGAAATCTGACACTTTTCGATATAGATATTGAAATCTATGGGGGATCATACATGGACCAATGCGAAATACTGGAATGGGTTTCGCCATGACCTCCTGGATGCTTATGTCATCACCAGCATTAGGTGCCCATCAACGTCCTCTCAACGCGATGGTTTATACCACCATCGTAGAATCATGATCACTCCCATCGTTGCCCCAGGATGATGATGATGATTATGATAGGAAATTTAATCTCTTCATGAACAAGGGGATTTCACTGGGTGGAACCCAGTCTGCATTCTATGCATGACCTTTGCCTTTTCGAAAGATCACAAATGCGATTGATTTCTACCATTCTCGAAAAGAATCCCAGAAACACTATTCTGAGCCGCTTTTTTCTGCATGGCATGGTGGAACTTTGAATTCCAGTTTTGACTGCATAAACTTTTTCATTTTCTGTGGTGCACGACATTCTCCACAGTTCTCACATTTTATCGCTTTCTGGTCCTGGTGCAAAGGGTTTGGGCGCGAACCTTCGAAAGGGCTACATGCCTTCCGAAGGATTGCCCTTTCGAGGATAGGCCAGTCCTCGGAGATCACGATGAATACGTTTCTTGGGTATTCAGTCCGATGGCTAGAAAGAGCTCGAGCAAGGATTGTCGCCATGTCGCGCGGGTAGTATCATGCGCGAAAGAATGATTGGTTTTCAACGACTACCGACATAGATCGGAACATCTCGCATTTTTGAACATGGGTTCTTGCACGGTTTTTGGTTTTCAAAAGGCTAACTCTGCAATGTTCTGCTCATGCCGAAACCAGAGGCCGCATTTGAGTCGTATTTTGGTGAAACTGGAAGAATATCTCATTATGCCATTGTTGATTTAGTTCGATGCTTAGACTGGAACTATGAAGACTGAAATGTTCTTTTTGAGTTGTTGTGAGAGAAATTGGTTAGATAGGTGGAGAAGCAGAAGAATTGGGCAAGACGGCGGTTGATATACTTACTCATGGACTGGGCTGGGAGGTTGTGTTAAAAATGTGAGATGAGACAGGACGTATGCAAGGCAAAATACCCATTATTAGCGATAAATAGAGAGTGTTTGTAGATGGCGTCATAGCCATGGAAGCACTTAGCAGATGTGAATGATCCTGGTCACTACAGTAGTTTTAATCTAACTAGCTATGCAAACAGATACGCATTTCGTATGCTGATGCTCCTCCCAAACATGGTACTTAATACAGGTTGAATGGCTGCGAACCTACGAAGGACATAAAGCAGAAAAGTCGGGTATAAAATGCTGATCTCCAAAAGACCAACAAGCACTAGAAAAGAAAAGGAGGGTTGGGACGACCAATTTCAGTCGCTGTCATCATCCTCCATGAATGAAACCTCGTCCTCGACCTCTTCGTGCACAATGAGACCTAAGTTGGCTGACTCCTTTATGCATTCTCTCGCGGCATCCTTGCTGCATTCAAGGTCATCCATTACCAACCAAGTCGTTACCTCGGGCACCAACACTTTCAATATGAATGTTGCAAACCCGCCAAAACTGACCACCCTATCGACTTCATTTTGTTCTCTTAGCTCATCCGCTAAGTGCGTGGAGATGGTCTCCATCATTGCTCTCAAGCCCCGAGAGCCATAGTACCCTGTCGGTGACCCGACTGTTACGTCTTTCTGTATGAGTGTGCGCACTGAACGATCCTCTCCCGCGGCAACCCTTTCTGCGTGCTGATCGCGGAACACGCTGGGTTGTTCGTCGCGTAGTATTGCAAGTAACTTATGTCGGAACTGTTTTATCCTTGCTGGTAATGCTGCCCAGTCTATTGATGGATAGCCACTTTCCTTATACGTTGCTTGTGCTTCTCTTAACTGGTGTTCGTGACAGAACATCTGTTGATGTCGGACACTCATTTGCTTCCCCTTGAAGAATTTCCAGTAATGCTCTTGCTCCACGGGCTTGTCGCAAAGCGGACATTTATCGTCTGATTTCATTTGCGGAGCGTCTTGTAAGTATTGCTCGATGTTTTTAAGTTCCTCCGAGGATTGCCCTGTCCGGATGCGCGTTGCGGTGCCCCGCTTCGCAGGAAATGTAGAATTGTTGTCCGAATGACTTGGCTCGTCTTCCTCTGGGTCCGACTCTAGGAAACTTGGAGAGGCAGGAGCGTCCAGTGGGCCCCCGATATGAGCCAGCAAGTTGATGGGTACTTCTTTCGGAGGTGGCGTTGTGTTCTCTTTATCTTTATCTTTCGCCCCCTTCATACCTCGAGCGGGAGGAGGAGGTACATTATCTTCCATGGAAAAGTCAGATATGTCGGAAACGTCGTCTCCCTTCTCATTCTGCCTTAATGCTTTTGTGATTCCCGCCATGTGTTTCATCGAATCTTCATATCGTGAACCTAAGCCAATTTAGCAAGATATAACCTTGAGCCACGAGTACATCAAGGCAAGTCTGACCTGCAGAAGCCGTCGATTTCCCATATGTCTTCTTCGCGCTACCTCCATATGTCTTTTGCGCAGCGGGTCCCGGATTATGTATATTTTTTGTGTACGACCTTTGCGGAAGTCGCGCCTTCTTGACCTCGAACTCCATGCCCTTGAACGGATTGTCCTTTTCGTCATCATACGCCTTCCTCTTGCCCACAGAAACTTGAGAGCTTGAATCCTCACTCTCATTCCCCCCCTCTACCCCACCTTTAAGTGCCTCTGCGCTAGATTTCTTGTGCGCACCTCTCGGCGGGACCTTCAACGGAGCGTTCCTTTTTGTCCGTCCTTTTTTCGTCTGTATCTGATCGGCATTGAAAGCTCTCGGTGGCTTTGAGGACTTGGCTGGCGGTGCGGGCTTCGGGGCTGGAGATGGCGACGGTTTCCGCGTTTGGAGGAATGCTGGCGTCGCATCTTCGTCGCTTGACGATATCGGATCTGCGTTGACCTCTTCGTCAGAAAGGCGCTTTGGTGTTTTGACCGTAGACGTCATGGCTACTGGGGCCTCTCCATCGTGGTAGTCGCTGGTGGTCGCGTGGGGCTTGTTGTTGACCTGGCTTAAGAGCCTGGGCGCTCCTCGACGAAGCTGCGGCATGACGAATTGACGTTGGCTGCTTTCGTAGGTGTTATTGCGGCCCTTTCAAGGGCCAATTGGCCCAGATCGATCACAATGGTTGGTGGTTTGTGCTAGCATTTGTACCCTGCCGACCATGTTGCGAACGCGTTGGCGCGGTCGTCCGCCACCGCGTGTCCTCCGATCGCCGACCCACGTGATGGAATTTGGTCAATTCAAACAAGACATATTACATATCACGATTATATTTGGTATAGTAGAGCTTTATAGATGATCTGGAAGTATGTTGAAGAAACATATTTCCATAACTTTCACAAGCCCAGCGCAGATCCACTCTTCGAGCCGTTCCATATGATCGAATTCTTGCTCTAAGATTGGGTATCAAATCTGTGTAAATACTTTTCCTTTCCGTCTTAAAACACCGTTGATGCCTTCCGTTGCTACTCTTATCCAAACTATGCCATCTTTCGTCCGACGTTGCCCACACCTCTGCCCACTACACTGACTTTGACGATTCCTTTCTCTTCAATGTCTACCAGTCCCCAACCGGCTCCACCGAACTCCCTGAGGTCCCTTCCGAGCTGGATGACCTCTTCATTTGCGATCACATCCCGTCCCATGCCCAATCTACCGACATCTTCGCTTCCCATGGCCATTAATACAAGCATGGTCTCCGCGCTGATCGGTTCCGCGCAACCTCCCTTCTCAATGACCTCCAACAATTGGAGAGCTGCCTGTTTTCCAATCTCTTCGGGAGGCACACCACCACTGGGTGGACTAGCCATGTCGGCGGAGTAGAAGCAATTCGTCGAGCTCTCTGCTACAAGAGACAACCCAAAACCCACGGCACCCTTCTTCTTAGCTCCAGCAGGAGCGCCCTTCTCATACGACGGCATCAACGGCGCGCTCGACACATCCGAAAAGACATACGTATCCGGCACAAACTTATTCAACACCCCTCTCGCCGCCTCAATCATCCTAGCATTATTTCCTCCGCTGACACCCACCGCATACGCCACACCCCTAATCCTCTTCACCCTTCCAGGATTAAGCAGATGCAGCGTCTTAGGCAACCTAACCTGGTGATTAAACACCAGCTGCACCTCTCCTCCCGCGCTCTTCCCAGACCCAGGCGCACAACTCCTCTTCAAAATCCTCAACTCGATGTCCCTCTCGATGCCGAAGTTCTTGTACAGCGGGAGCAGGGCCGTGCGCACTGTATCCACGCTGACGTCGCCGCTGGGCGTCGCGCCCGTCACGCACCCCTCGCCGTGGAAGATGACATTCATTTTCGACTTGCTGAACGGCGCGAGCAGGCACAGCGGGATCAACCACCAACTCACGCCGCGGCCGGCGCACTCCTTGTGGATCTCGTGCCGGATCACGCCGCCTGCTGCGCCCAGGCCTTCTGCGGACCCCGTGATGAGGCCCGGTCGGTACACGAGTGTGGTTCCGGTCATCGAGAACTCGATCTGAGAGCCATTGGTTACGGAGTCGAGGAGGCGGAGGAAGGAGACCTCGTGCGGTTGGAGACCGGGCGTTGTGGTGGATGAAGATCGGATTTGCGATATGCGGATTGGGCGCCCGGTGAGCGTGGAGAGGATCAGGCGCGTAGTAAGGTGGCGGTGGCCTTCGAATCGCAGCAGTTGCTGCCTTGTTGTGGAGTCGGTCATTGTTGTGTGAGTTGTGGAAGGTCGGGATGTTTGGGGAGCGGAGCTGGAGGATTTTCTCGATTCAAAGATCGTTAAACTTTTTTTTGGGGAAAGCCGCCTTATCGATAATTAGCTGCAGACCTGGCCCTAAGCTCTCTGCGCCACCGCTAGTTAGGAACGTTTCACTTCAATTCACAATAATGCCATATACAATTGTTCACGGGACTTAAAATATTCCTTAAAATTTTAGATGGGCACCGTCAATGCTTATAAAACTCAGAAGTAAAACCCAATTCAACGCCTTCAAATGGTAGATACAAGCCAGTGCGAGCTATAGCATCACACGCAGAGTATCTATTGTCTCTTCCCCGCCGAGCTTGCGCTCGAGCTGCTGCCTCCAGTATCACTGTCTTCATTGATACCAGCCTTTTCGTTATAATCTCGCTCCTCGCGATCCCTGTATGGGCCCTCATCGCCGCTGTCACTCAGCAAGTCTTCATCGCTCTCTCCGGCAAAAGCATCATAGAGCTCTCCTCCTCTCCTTGCCCTCTTGCCCTTCTTTCCGCCCGCTGCGTTGCTAAGCATACCTGTCCTTGCACCGCCTTCATCGTCCTCTGCATCGTCAAGCATTTCGAATTCGTAGTTGTCACGGGTGGATTGTAGTCGCTTCCTGCGGGCAAGGTAGAGATAAACTGCTAGACTGCCACAGAAGATTAAAATTAGTCCCAGAGCACCATAGATCCAAATTTGGGTGCGCTTCGACACACCAAAAGTGGGGAATGGAGATGGTAAGAAATTCTCGGGGGCGCTCGAGGCAGTGGCAGAGGCATCAGCAGTAGGCGAAGCTGGCGTAGTCGAAACGGATGAGGTTGCGGCAGAGGGCTTCTGGTTTACAGGGCGGTCTGGGTGGTCGGATGGCTTTTCTCCTGGAGCTCCTGTGGCAGTAGGTACAACAACAGAAGTGGTGTGAGCTGGATGGTTGTCCACGACATCGTGATCATCATCGTCGTGCTCATCAGGAAGTGGGCGGAGTTTTGCCTTCTCGGCATCAATGCTTTCTCCCCACAGGCGAAGCTTCCAATCGGTAAAGCTTCCCGTCTTGTCATTGACCTTGACATCCTTGACAACGACTGTCCACTTGCCAATGCCTTTCTCGCCCCAATGAGCAACGCTCATGAATGTCCAGTCTTCATATCCAATAGCAGCTTCATCGTCACGACGAGCTGTAGACAAGTGGCTCACGTAGCCATCGGGACTGATTAAGTCGACACTGAGATCGCCACGGCGTTGGTGCTGAATGTTCATAGTCAAGGTAATATGCTCCACACGCTCAAAGTTAGCCTTCTTCAGCATCTCCTCCGTTACTTCGAAGACACTTGCAAGACCCTGATCGCCTTGGGGAATTGGCTTCTTGACATGCATCCAGGGAGAGTAGAACCAGGCTTGCGGCTTGACCAGCTCCCAAGTCTTTGCTGCTTCGACAATGGCATATGCATCCAGCTTTCCGTATCCGAACTGGTGACTGAACATTTTCCCAAGAGAAGTCTTGTTCCAATCGCTAGGCTGGTCGAACGGAACCGCAGTCATGACAGTGAGCCATTGCATGTCGCGCCAGGTCAACTCAGGGCGAGCCGACAACACAAGTGCATATGTACCGACCGCAATGGGTCCAGCAGCTGATGTGCCCCCATGTTGGCTAGTGCATGTGTTCGCGCCGACATCTGTGGTATGAATGGCATCGCCGCCGCCACTGCTGTACGTTACAACGAGTTGAGCGGAACAAGCTTCCGAGTAGTAGGGGTGGACGTTATTCTTGTCGATCGCGCCAACTGTAATGCTGTAAATGCTGTTCGTGTAGCCATCAAAGTTACAGTTGTCGTCGGCTGCAGCACCGTTGCCCGCGGCGAAGACGTAGATCGAGCCCTTTCCCCCTCTACCCTTTTGGACAGCAGTGACCATGGCCTTCTCAATGAGAATGCCTGGTTTTTGCATGGTCTTGCCATCGTCAGGCGGACCCCAGGAGCAAGAGTAAATGTCATTGTTTTGTAGATCGTAGTTGATGGCCAATGCCTCGTCTGCATCGGTGATGTCGCCGGAGAGAATGCGAACGCCTGAGATTTTGGCATCATAGGCTATGCCCACACCACATGCGTTGTTCCTTCCGGCAGCAACTTCTCCTGCACACCTCGTGCCGTGGCGGTCGTCGGAAAGTTTTGGTCTCGGAAGATCGGTATGATCGTTGAAATCGTAAGAGCCTTGAGCATAGAAATTGTCTTTCAAGTCTTCGCTTTCGAAATCCAGACCATCATCTACAATGCAGGCCGTGGCTCCTTTGCCGGTGATTCCCGAGAGCCAAACATCAGTGACGTTGAGATCATTCCCGGTATCTTTGACGTTGAAAATGTGCCATTGCTCCTCAAAGATTGGGTCTTTGATCTCGAGAGTGTTAGCGATCTGCCTCTGCAATTGTATGGCAGCCTTTGGTGAAGCCACTCCTTGGGGATCTTTTGGGATCACACTGCGTTTCACATGCCGGGGCTTTATCTTTTGTTTTTGTGTAAACTGTATGCTGTCCAAGGTATGTGGCTCTGGACCGGCTTCCCGCTTCCGCCTCCTTCTCTTGAGTTCTTGTCTTGCATCGTCAACGATGTCATTTGCATGTTTTGGTGCTTTGAATAGGTGGTGGTCGACAAGGGACCCGAGGGGGCCATCGTAAGTAAGACCGAGATGGGCGGCTAACTCGGATGGGGACGTCGACGGAGACAGATGGATAGCGTAATAATCGTGGGTGTTGTAGTTTCGAGGAGGGAGATGAGCTGCCGATGCCAGCGCTGCTGCCGAGAGCAGGTGCCAGAAGTTTAGAATGCGCATGCTGTGCGGGTATGTGTCCTAGCCACGGATCACCATGTGGAGAGCACCGAAGATGCGATGGCGCTGGTATAGGTGGGTGTCGATGCGTTGGACGGTGTGGATAGTGCTCTTGACAAGTCGCGGACTGTCCTGGGAGTAGAGCGGAGTAGATGTACGCTTCGAAAGAGGAGTAGACGCGGCAGATGACGAGGCCCCGGATATTAAGAATGAAGCAGCACAAAGGTTAGATCGCAACGTTGAGAGTACTGCTGGGAAAGGAGGTGAAGATGGAGTTGAGAAGTGAAAGAGGAAAGTGAGAGAGGACACGATACGAGGAGAGACAAAGAACAGAATCAGCTCTGTATCGGGGGGTTAGAGGCGTGGCCTGGTTTGAAACGGGCTCCGTGTCGCGACGTTGAATAACTAGAGATGGACGACGGGATGGGATGGGATTCTGGAAGACAGGTTGTCTATTCAGGTCGCAGTTGCCACACTTGGACCTAACCAAATGCGGTTAGAGACGAAGGTTCTCAATAAGGGAATGGCTGTGCAATTCGACTAATTGTCCATGACAGGCTAGCGGAATGCTATTCTCGGGTAGAATCATGGGCAAGTAGTCGAGGTAGAGCTATATTAACCTATCGGAACTATTTGAAACATGACATAACGCGTATTATTCTTCTAGTCAAGCCGAGTACAGGCAAAGCCCCCGTATCCAACAGCCACAGACCAGATCATAAAGCTAGTAGCGACGGGCCGCAAGAGCTGAAGGCCGGGGAAGTCGGATTATCGGAAGGGAAATAGCGGGAGGAATAGGTGGGTAAGGGTAGACGGTAGCTCGCAGTGGTAGTATTGGTATTAGCTATTAGCGGAGGTGGTGGTGGTAATTGGAGAGGGTGAGGGGGTGGTTGGGACGAGGCTGGTCCCTCGCCATCTGATTTTATTTCCAACGGCCACCGACAACGCATCGCATCATGACCACCGAAGTTCTTCCCAATATCTGCGGCCACCCTGCACCTCTCTTTCTTTACTACTTCTGCATTCCTCCCCCCTGTACGACAATGTTCTGATATTCGAATTGGCACAATCATCATCTTCCGCGCGTTCTTCTAGTCCTTAGCGATTGCTTGCTCGTGCTCTAGCCGCTGTGCTTCCATCCATTCATCCCTCGCATCATTATCATCACCACCTCCTGCATCACACCGCATAGCCCGCCTTTCCACTAGTCACCCTCCGCGTTCATACCTGCATATTCTTAGGAAGCTATACCGACAATTCGAGCGTCTTTTAATTTTCCTATCGTGAGGCGCATACAAAATTGTGCTGTGGATACTGCAGCGCCGCAATCTTCAGTCCATTCCGCGACATCACTCATTAATCTTCGCATACCTTGCTCAACCAACATACCTCGAATCCACTCATGAAGTTTTAAAAAATGGATCCCCATAGGAACAGTGTTTCCTTCTCGCGCACCGACAATCCCCCTCCTCAACCTCTGCCCGACAACTACCCCTCAAAACGTCCTGCATCATACCGCCGACCAGTCGACGCATCTCCGTCAACATTGCAGCAACCCGCTCAATCTCTTCCAAATGCTGTTCCGAGCAATTCTGCACGGACAGTCGCAAATGCTCCCATTTCCAATGTCCCAGCTCGATCTGCCTCGCACCGGCGAAGGCAAAGCCAGCAAATCCCTCCCTTGCCAACGGGTAGCATGTCGCCTCCTCCCGCACCCGATGTACCTCGTGGCCCTCCACCAACTTCATATAGGGACCCTTATGCTCCGAAAGGAAGCTCTCGCCCCAGCCGTTCTTATTCACGACGAGACCCAGCCGTTCACCTAAACTCGAGTAGACACCAGCCGACTATACAGATTGCGCCCGAGCGATTGCGTTCACCCCCATATGCGCCAGTTGAGAATCCCTCAGGGAACATAGACGGTCTCCTCTCCACGCAGCCGCGAGTCCCATCTGTACCAGACCGGTCTCCCCTCCAAAAACTTGAAGGAAAGCTGGATGATATAAGCAAAGAGGAAAAACGGGCCCGAATGCTCGAATTGGAACTCGCTGCCCAGGAGAAAGCCGAGGCAGAGATCAGGGCCAGACGAGCGAGGGAGGCCAAGGCAAAGCAGCAACAGCAGCGCAATGTGTCTGGGCCACTACCTAATGCAGAACGCATTTCTGCGGTGCCTGGGCGCGTTAACAGTCAACGGCGACACGTATCAATGCCTATAGAAGCGGTCCCGAGGTCCGCAGAGATTGGCGATATCGATGGCTCTGATGACGGAGTCATGTATGACCTGAGTGATCCCTGGGATCCTCAGGGGCAGAGCTCACAGCAGGCGGCTCCTGGCCGCAATAAAAGTGTAAAGGGAAAAGCACCCATCGCGGTAGCTCGAGGGTCTAATAGTGTACATGGCCGTCCTGAACAGAGGGGCCAGAATGTCGATAGGAAACCTATTCCCCAACCTGCCGGACTAGGTCTTTACGGAGTCGATGACCCTCCCCATGCGTCCAGGCAAAACGGCGCCCAGGTTGCCCGTTACGACAGCCACCGCCTCTCGAAAGACCTCCCACCGACACCGAGATCAACAGCAACCGTGAACGACAGGAGAAGGGATAGTCGAGGCATTATGGCAGCGCAGATGGAGATGGAACGAGAACGTCTCGATAACAAAGGCTTAACAAGAGTTATCTCACCACTCGATCCTTCTGCACCGACTACGGGCCCCATGCCCAGACGCAGTGTTGGTTTTGCACCATCTGTCACCGGACCTGTTACTGGGCCTGTTACTGGGCCTGTTACTGGACCTGTCACTGGACCTGTCACTGGACCGGAGCCCGAATATCTTCCCGATACTTATGATCAGCTTGACAAAAGTGATGTCTTCAGTAATCATGAGCCAGATAGGCGATACGTAGCACCCAAGATGTTGGAAGAATGGAGAGGTGCACCAATCGCATCTCTGATCGAGGAGGACCTTGATTTAGACGCCCCCGAGAGGTCTGATAGCACCAACAAAGCTTGGTGGGAGGAAAATCAATCCACTCGACGGAGGCGATCCAGCAACTATGCACAACCAACTTACGACGGCTACGTCGACGAGCCGACGAGCCAAACGACTTTCAACCCACCACTATATCTCAAGTGTGGCCCGCTTCTACGATATGCGGGTATGCGCCGGGAGAAAGGTCGACCTGGAAGAGACCGTGAAATCTGGCGTGGAAGTGTCATGATTGTGACATTGGACGAAGCTTCTTCTTATGAGAGACCTCCAACGTTACGTTTGTTCAAACAGCCCATGGATTTGTTGCCACCTCCACCTGCCGAGATCGATTCCGAAGGCCAGCCATTGAATCCGGCATACGTTGACCCGCTTGAGGGTCAAATCAAAATGTCGCGATCCGGAAAGACACTTTATGCTCGACCTGTGGACGAGATTCCAGAAAATCAGGATGTGTCATGGATGGAGAATGACAACGGCCTTTTCCAAGAGTCACGCCCCGTCTCTAATGGCAGCGGTTCTCATCAGTCCTCTCGTATTCGAAAGAAGGACGGAGAGAAGATTGGTAAAGTGAAGGAAATCGTTGGAACTCGGCTGCACGCTGAGCGTGGTGTGACTTTTTGGCGGTTTAATCTTGAAGTTTCACTCGGCTCAAGCCAAGCTCGAATTGCATACAGGATCAATCGTGGACCAGCCATTGGCTTCTGGGTGCCTGCAAAGGGAGAAACCATGAACATGATGTTCCACAGCTGCAACGGTTTCTCTTTGAGTGTGGACTCTAAAGAGTTCTGTGGCCCAGACCCAATGTGGCGAGATGTAATGAACAATCACCAGACTCGACCCTTCCATGTCATGATCGGTGGAGGTGATCAAATATACAACGATGCGGCAATGCGCGACACGACTTTGTTCCGACAATGGACCGAAAGCAGGAACCCCATGCAAAAACATCACACAAGCTTCTCTTCGGAGCTGCAAAACGAATTGGAGCAATTCTATCTGGATCGATATTCGATGTGGTTCTCTCAAGGGTTGTTTGGAATGGCTAATTCTCAAATTCCGATGATCAACATCTGGGATGACCACGATATCATTGACGTAAGTTCCCCACCGTGAAAATGATGAACATTTCATACTAATGACACACAGGGATTTGGATCTTATCCTCATCATTTCATGTCAACTCCGGTCTTCACAGGCCTGGGTGCTGTTGCCTTCAAATACTATATGCTATTCCAACATCAATCGGTGGCTTCGGAGACCACAGCAACTGAGCCTTCCTGGGTGCTGGGCGCGCACCCCGGCCCTTACATCAAGGAGCAGTCTCGGAGTGTCTTCATGTCCCTTGGGCGGCAAGTGGCCTTCCTTGGCCTTGACTGCCGTACTGAGCGCCAGCGCGATGAGATCATGACAGAGGACACCTACGATGTAGTGTTTGACCGTCTAGAGGAGGAAATCATCAAAGGAGAGACGAGGCATCTGATCGTCCTTCTGGGTGTTCCAATTGCGTATCCGAGGTTGAATTTCCTGGAGAATATTCTCACCAGCAGGATCATGGACCCTGTCAAGGCCATTGGACGTACTGGTTTGCTAGGCAACTTTGTGAACAAGTTTGATGGAGGTGTAGAGATCCTGGATGATCTCGACGACCACTGGACGGCTAAGCACCACAAAGACGAAAGAAACTGGCTCATTCGCGAGTTGCAGCATATCGCTTCTACAAAGTCTGTTCGAGTCACAATCTTGGGAGGTGACGTTCATCTGGGCGCCGTCGGTCAATTCTACAGCAACAAGAAGCTCAACATTCCCAAGGACAAGGACCACCGGTACATGCCGAACGTTATTAGTTCCGCCATTGTCAATACTCCTCCCCCGGAGATGATGGCCGATATCCTCAACAAGCGTAACAAGGTCCATCATCTTGATCCCTTTACTGACGAAGACATGATACCACTCTTCTTAAGCGACTCGGATGGGAAGAAGAGAAACAACACACACCTCCTTCCTCGCAGGAATTGGTGTAGTCTAAGGGAGTACAAACCTGGAACAACACCTCCTTCGACACCTCCTGGATCACCTCCGAAGTTGAGCAGGACACTCTCAGACTCCGCGCCTGGAAAGATGATACGCAGGATGAGTGCAGGTGGACGTCGGGGCCGCGATCGAGGACCTCCAATGTCTTACTACAACAACCCCGCCTATGCTGCAGCCGACGAGGGCCAAGCCGGCGTACAGTCCTCCTTCTCTCCTGAACCTGAAGAACGCCCCCGATCTCGTCGTAATTCGTTGATATCACTATTCCGCCGTCGTGCATCAGTCGATTCGGTCAACCCGCCTGGCTCAGCCCACAGCATGCCAGCGCCGCAACAGAAGCGTAATTCCATGGCCAGTGCGGGCGCCGTCTCCATGGACCGACCCAGTCCCTTCCATCGCCGACCTTCCCTGCTGGTCAAGAAGTCTCACAAGCAAGAAGGGGATTTCATTAACCTCGAAGGAGGGTTGGACATCTGCCTCAACATGGAAGTGTCTCAACATGACCCCGCTGGCATCACTGCGCCATATCGTCTCCTCGTTCCAGCACTCGATTATGGCCCAACTGAGACACCCAATGTCGAGAAGGAAAAACGAAAGTCTCGCATTGGCAGTATGTTTGGCGCATTCGGGGGTGGCCGACGACGACGCCAGCGAACAGTAGGAGACGATGGATACTCTCACTCTGGCAGCTCCATCCAGTCCTCGCGGGCACCCTCGATATCATCTGCAGAGGAGGAAGAGCTGGAAAGGCAGAGGTACAAAGTTGGACCACGCATTCTGATCCCAGGTTTTTCTAAAAGAAGAAACTCTAAATCAGGCGTGCCAGCTAACACCACTCGTGGAAAAGCAGCAGCACCGCATTCCGGAGAAGACCGTCGCGCAAGCGCCAGCGCACATGGCCGGCCGCAAAACTTAAACGACTACTCCGAAAACCTCGCTCCCTCCGCAGGTGGCTACGGCACCGCAGACGCACATCATCATCAAAGCCGTCGCGCATCCGCACACATGACCTCCTACGACGACCCTTCACAGCGATCCGCACAGCCAGCCACTACATCGTACGGGCACACACATACCCAAACCGCCGCTCTACCGCACCGGTCAGCCAGCACCCGGAACCCCAGCTACAACAACTCTAGCCACAAGTCCCAACTCCCGTCCGCTGCCGCTGCCGCCGCACCGCCGCCGTCCAACGAGCCCGAACCCAAGGTCTACCGCCGCAGCATGGGCGGCATCCTCAACCAGCACCGCGGCGACCGCTTCGAACACGACGCCCACGTCCTCGCGCACACCCCCAGCCAAAAGAAACGCGAGTCCTACCCCCCACACCCCGCGATCGTAGGCTCCGGCCCCGGGAGCCCCTATTCCCGCGGCGGCGTCGAGGCCCGCGACGACACAGGATACTTCGCCAGCGGCGGCCGGAACGGCTCCGCGGGCGTCGGCGCGAAGTACCTCGGCGGTGGACGCTACGCGGATCCCGACGAGATCGACGACGACGATGTGGGCAGGATGTACAGCGATGGGGAGTCGGAGCTCAGCCAGCCGAGCTTCACGCCGCCGAAGCCGAAGAGCAAGTGGAAGATTTGGAAGTGATGACCTCCAAAACTACCTCAGCTAAATCAAACATTTCTATTTCTTGTGCTTTTTTTTCTTTCTCTTCTCTTGTTCTTACATAGCTTTGCTTTTGCACATACTTTTAATTTCCAGTGGGGGCAAAGGGTGGTTGGATTAGGTACAAGGTACATACGGAATGACGAACGATGACGACTGAGACGAAAGGGACATATGGGTCGGATTGGTGGTAATAATAACACTCAAAAAGGGACGAGCATCTATGAGCGAAAGGCATTTGGGAGTTTGATTTCTTTTGGGGCATTTATCATCTTGGGCATCTTGTTATATCTCCAAGCGTAGCGTTTCTTTATCTGCGCTTAGTTATATATCTACCTTTTTGACCAGCCCTGCTTTTCGGAAAACGTAGGATCATCATCTTAAATCAATATTTATTCTGCTCTGATCGATTGGTGTCTGTGAGATTGAGATGATTGTGTTGTGTTGCCTCTTTTCGTACGGATCGAAGGAGTCTTTCCCCCCTTTCCTATCATAAAGTACAAAGCATATCTGAAGGTCACACTGGAGCATGTTGCCGCGTCAAGATCAAAATCGAAAAGGTATATTCATACAGTAATATAGTTACTCCAACGCCAACGACGAAAAAAAGACTTTTTGCAAGAAATCATCCAGATCATTAATCATTAATTGAAGGCTCCAGGCCTCATTTCGCGTGGTTGATGATTTCTTCGTACATGGCTTCGGGTATCTTGGCAACAAAAGTCATCGCTACTTGGATGATCTGCTTTGCGTGCAGACTCGGGAGATTGCGGAGGATCTGATTTGGACTATGCAGAAAGTAAGCGGAAATCCTGGGATGAAAGGGATGTGGAGAACTCACCTTGGGCTGTCTAGGATTTGATCTCGGATCAAAATCAGTTGGGCAACGATGCAGAGAATATTGAGGTGAGGACCATAAGCGAAGAGGAAGTCCCAGAGTTGGAGGACTTCAGGTAGAGGTGGTGTGCATGCGCACATGGTAAGTACGGAAGCAAAGGCGTATATCCTGGCTTCCATGTGGTTGTTCATGAGGTGGGAGTACAGCTTCGGGTCGACCACCTCCAACACCCTGTCGACCAACGCGAGACCCTTATGCACGCCATCCATCGACCCTCTGACATATCCAGGGCACTCAACCGTGATCAATCTTTCGAATCCAGCGAAAGCTTCGATCTCACTCCGAGCGGCGTATAGAAACGGGCCGCATAGCACGTTCATGCCCTGTACGTAGCCGATCTGCTCCGCGTCATTGGTGGTCGACGCATCTGTGCGCGCTCCCGTTGTGAAAGAATGTCGGGACAGCAGCGATGTGTCAGGGCTGCCGCCGAACTCTGATAATGTCGGAGGGGACATCCAGCCGTTTACGCGCGCCTCATGCGCGTCGTTTAGTCGCCACGCCACCGCATTGAGGACGCGAGTTATACTGTTCTGTGTGACACGACGACGGAAAAGAGGGTCGCCTTGGAAGGTACGGAAGGTGTCGTTTTGGATTTTGGTGTGCGCTGGTGAGGCGCCTTGTTGGACGAGATCGAGGTAAATATCGGTTTTGAGGGGCGGAACGTTCAGTAGGATAAGCCAGATGTACATGCGCAGTTCTGACTGTGTATATACCGTCAGTAAGAAGTCTGAGAATGTTTGCGACGGCTCATTATGGTCGAATGAGCGCAAGCCGATGTGAACTTACCATACCCTCGCTGTTCGCAGGGATGCCTTCGGAAAGGATTGTATGGCGCAGGTCGTTCATACCATCTTCAACGTTGCCGCTAGCTAAAGGACCTCTTAAGAGGAGTACGTCGAGGTTTGTCATGGTGTATCGGAAGGGTTGCGCCGCGCAATGGTAGAATTTCCAGGTTTGATTTACAGCTTGACGTTGATTGTTTGGGATCACATTCGGAAGTCGCGTTGCTTGGGCTTGGCAGGTCCCGGTTGTCAACCACGCTAATATCTTCTAAAAGTTCCCCGCATTCTTCTCTTCAATTCCTCCATTCTCTCAACTTTCCCGCTCCTCAATATTGCATATGCAATTCTCCCCGCCTTCGCGTCAAGAACGAGATTAAATGAATCAATAGGTTTATATGCAAGACTTGCATACGAGATCATAGCCGCCCAATGTTGTCTTCTCTTCCTGCTCATTTGCTAACTCCCAATCGGAGTAGAACCCTTTTACCGGTCACAAATTGGGGGCTTTATTTCATATCCGTGATGTCTCTAATCACGCGAAGGTCTATATTCCCTTCAAGAAGAACAAATACCCTTTGAAGTCCAATAACTCCACGTATGATCACCCATTGCGACCTTACACAGCACTACATGTTACCGTATGAACATGGGATCCAAGAGCGACCACGTGCCAGCTGCAGCTCGCCTGTGAGCTTATTTCAACGATTCCTTTGCGCCACACGTTTTTAACATACACGTGCGCTCATCTCTGACCTTATACACTATTGGTATATCGATGAAGATGTTCATTACATGCGCACAACTTGATTCGCACTGTGTCCATAGAGGAAACGCATTTGAATCCAAACAAAACAAAAGGTTTAGTTGATCGAAAGCTCTCGAGGGTACCTCCTGATAGTCAACGGGAAGCATCTCCGAGGCGAGTGCACAGAGATTTACATGACGCACGCCTAGATACCCACGCCCAGAAACAACGGGTAAGGCGGTCTCGGAACGATTGAATCTGACAACTCGACAGAGCATAGAGACCACGGCAGATAACTATGCAAGGGTAATGGGGATGTCACTGCAGATGCCTGGCCGACGGGCGAATTGCGCGGACGCTGTTATTGCTCACGCTTAGTGCAGATGATTACTTGTTTGCACAAGATGTACAAACATTGAACATTTGCAGGCCAGAACGAGAGAAGGTCAGATGGCGACATACAGCAAAGGGAGAGGTAGCCGTGGACATGCGAAAGAAAACGACATTGCCCCACAAAAGCACATCATCGTTGGTGGGGAATCGATGCCAGTTCATTGGAGTATCTTTCCCTAGCGAGACGGGTCGGTCACTCACTGGTCATCCCGACAAACCCTGCGCTCCCGCCATCCCTACCAATTGCATATCCACTCTCCGCTTGGAACGCTCTAACATGACTACATCACGCTTGTCACTTGCTCTTCCATCCACACCACATCCACTCTCCAAGCAGAATCCGCGTCTGCGCCAGTGCGGGATGATGAACCTTTTAAATATTTTTATTATGTCACTACTAAAAATATTGTATCAAACCAGCAAGTCTGTTGAGCTGACCTGGTCAAGCCCTTCCTCAAAAGATGAAATGTCTGCCCGCCGTTGCCGGAGTTATACTCTCATATTGGACTTAGCTGTCCCTTCGCCGTCATTCACCGCGCATCCTATTTGATATCAAATGAACGCCTCTTGTCACGCAATAGTCCCTTCAAATCGCCAAAGATTCAGCAGTGACATTTGATATCGCCAATCCTTTCTTTCTTGGGCCTACGAGCTGTTGCTGGTTGACATCCCTACCCCCATCTCAGATCGCCCGTTCTTAATTTCACCAATCCGCGGCTACATCGAGGTCTTCCTTTTCATTTCCTGCTCCTAGATCTGGGTCCAGGTGCCAGACGCAACCCTGGTATATCCCGCAGCCACGATCTCCTACGACATTCCTGGCCTAATTTCAATAAAACCAGACGCCATATACTTGCATGTGGTAGCTTGTGTGAGCTTATCGAAGCTTGTCATCCCTGCCTCGAACCCAGCCCGCTGGAGGTCGTGTGCTTTTTAGGGGATTTGGTTCTTAACCTTTATATTCTCTTTGACAGACCCATAACTCGTATTGCTTCTCTATCAACTTGGAGGTTCACCACGTAACCATGGCCTCTACAACCACCAAGATTGGCCATGGCCTGGCCAAGGTACTTGGGATTGATTTGCACTACCGCAATGAAACTGGATCGGAGCGCATTACCAGAGGAGAATCTGTGTTTTCTGTCACTTCGGCAGACACATATGTTGAAGAGGAACCCACCGCTATGGACTGGCTTCGCGAAGTGACCCCGTCAGGCCGAGATATCGTCAATTATCTCGTTCGACTCTTCCCATTTTTGAACTGGATTACACGATATAATCTACAATGGCTTATTGGAGATCTCGTCGCAGGTTTGTTTTGCATGCTCTGCTGTTATCGGCCAAGCTAAAAAGAATTAGGTATTACGGTCGGTGCCGTCGTTGTTCCACAGAGTATGGCATATGCAAAACTTGCTCAACTGCCTCCTGAGTTTGGTCTTTACTCATCATTCATGGGTGTGTTGCTTTATTGGTTCTTTGCTACCTCAAAGGACATCACTATCGGCGTAAGTAAAATCTCGATCTTCATACTCATCAGCATCTAACAATTCAGCAGCCGGTCGCTGTTCTTTCCACCGTCACCGGAAATGTTGTCCTCAGTGCTGAGAAGAAGCTCCACGACGTCCCCCGAGATATAATTGCATCTTCACTCGCAATTATCGCCGGTTCTATCGTTCTATTCCTTGGCCTCGCTCGTCTGGGATGGATTGTCGATCTTATCACCCTCGCGGCAATCAGTGCCTTCATGACCGGTTCGGCCATCAACATTGCAGTAGGACAAGTGCCTACTATGATGGGAATAACGGGTTTCTCCACGCGCGAAGCGACCTATAAGGTAGCAATCAACATCCTGAAGCATCTTGGACGGTCCGACCTGAACGCAGCCATTGGGTTGACTGCATTGGCCATGCTCTATATCATCCGTGGCGTCTGCACCTATCTGGGAAAGCGCTACCCGTCAAGGCAGAAGACGTTCTTTTTCATTAGCACATTGCGAACTGCCTTCGTTATCTTGCTATACATCCTCATCAGCTATTTGGTTAACAGGAGTCATAAGGCAAATGGGACAAAGCCAAAGTTCGCTACTCTTGGCAAAGTTCCGCGAGGTATGTAATAACGACCTACTGTACTATTTTTTGTCTAACTGTTTTTCAGGTTTTCAGCATGCAAGGGTTCCCCACATCACGACCGATATCATCTCCGCTTTCGCAAGTGAGCTCCCTTCAACTGTAATTGTGCTCTTGATCGAGCACATATCGATCTCCAAGTCCTTTGGAAGGGTGAACAACTACACTATCGATCCCTCCCAGGAATTGGTTGCTATTGGCGTCACTAACGTCCTTGGACCATTCTTGGGCGCTTATCCTGCAACTGGGTCTTTCTCCAGAACAGCCATCAAGTCGAAGGCTGGCGTACGAACTCCTTTCGCTGGTGTCATAACTGCTATCGTCGTCCTGTTGGCCATCTATGCCCTCCCCGCAATGTTTTGGTACATTCCAAATGCTGCACTGGCTGGAGTCATCATCCACGCTGTCGGAGATCTCATCACCCCTCCCAACACCGTTTATCAATTTTGGAGAATCTCGCCTCTAGAGGTGCCCATTTTCTTCGCCGGTGTTTTCGTCACCATCTTTAGCAGCATCGAGAACGGCATTTATACCACTATCTCTGTTTCTGCTGCCTTGTGGATATTCCGTGCCTTCAAGGCCAAGGGTCGTTTCTTGGGCAGAGCAAAGATTCATTCAGTCATCGGCGACCATCTCCTGGACCGAAGCGATGAAGCCAAGGAAGACAAGCCTTTCAATCCACGCAAGAAGAGTCCATCTGAGAATGAAGATTCTGTGCGGAATGTGTTCCTTCCAATCGACCATAATGATGGCTCCAATCCTCAGATTCAGCTAGAGGACCCGTATCCAGGCATTTTCATCTATCGGTTTTCCGAAGGCTTCAATTATCCCAATGCCAATCACTACCTGGACGAGTTGGTTGCGACCATATTCAAAAAGACACGTCGCACTAATCCAGCAACATATGGAAGACCTGGTGTAAGTTTTACTACTTTTTTGTCATCCATCCATACTAACAGAGATAGGATCGCCCCTGGAACGACCCGGGCCCACGCCGTGGCAAGGAGGTTGACCCCACCGATGAGCGACCTACGCTCAAGTCCATCATCCTTGATTTCTCCTCCGTGAACAACGTCGACATTACCTCCATTCAGAATTTGATCGATGTGCGAAACCAGCTAGACCGATATGCAGCTCCCGACACGGTAGATTGGCACTTCTGTAACATCAACAATCGATGGACCAAACGTGCACTTGCCGCTGCTGGATTCGGCTACTATACTCCGGAGCCCGAAGGGTCCGAGATTCATCGATGGAAGCCGATCTTCAGTGTTGCAGATATGGGAGGAAGCTTGAGCGCTACAACTGAGGCTGAGGAACGTGAGATCAGGCATGCTGCTGCATTGGCGGCTAAGCACGATCTAGAGCATACTACCCATCCCGCTGCAGGACGAAGCGCTTCTCAATCCTCCTCGTCTGAAGACCTGGATCATCAACTTGGTGCTAGCAAAGCGTACCATGGATATGGTAACCAAAAGCAGCAACGGATTGTAGTTGTACAAGGTCTCAATAGGCCATTATTCCATGTCGACATCACAGCCGCTTTGAATAGCGCGCTTGCTAATGCGCAGAGGAAGTCGCATTAGAGTTGATAAGGAGGAGGATCGTTATGTCGCATAATTTCGCATTTTGAGAGCTTGTTTTCGAAGATACCACACTTGCATGCACATGTAAATACTATGCATTTTAATTCTGCACAAAGCTATGTTCCGTTAATACTGGTGACACTCACTTGTTCTATTTCAGAAAGTATGTAACACTCGGAAGACGTTTGAACGATCCGCCACGTGCCCCTCGTAGTTCGATCCCCGAGGTGCTAACCACGAACGGTATAGTGGCTTCTTGTAATCTGACGGCAGTACCTGGGCCTGGAAGCTAAAACATTCGTGTATAGCTGTCCTCTATTCATTCAGCCGAACTCGCCAGCGCGCGACGTCAATCAATTCAAACTTCTTTTCTCCTCTGTGTAATGGTCCAGTTTCCTTAAGCACTGGTCGTGCTGTTCTCGTTCTTTTTATCCTTCAACAACCTCTCTGCGCGCAATTGCAACTGAAACGTTCAATTGGCCTTCGGTGGTCTAGGTCTTCCCCGGCGGTTTCCACCAGCATCCTGCGCAACGTCTCAGACCTCCCTCAGCAACAATCCTTATTCCTTCTTCTAGCATAAAATAGCAATCGAATTCAGGTCTACCGCACCCCTACACTCACAATGCCCGCGAAGTCGCGATTCACAAGGCTTGATGCCTTCACCAAAACCGTGGAAGACGCGCGGGTTCGAACGACGAGCGGAGGCATTGTGACGATAACGAGTTTGATTATTATTTTATGGCTGGCATGGGGAGAGTGGGCGGATTACAGGAGAGTCACTGTGTCGCCGGAGCTTATCGTGGATAAAGGTCGAGGAGAGAAGATGGAGATATCGATGAACATCACCTTCCCGCGGGTGCCTTGCGAGCTTCTCACCCTCGATGTTATGGATGTCTCTGGAGACCTACAGATGGGCGTGAACCATGGAATCAACAAAGTGAGGCTCTCGCCGGAAAGCGAGGGAAGCAGGGTCATTGAGACCAAGGCTTTGGATCTGTGAGTTATGCGCCTACAAGCACAGCTGGTGCTTTGCCTGGCGGAAACAACATTCTAATTTCGCAATAGACACAAGGACGAGGCTGCACATTTGGACCCAGGATACTGCGGTGAATGCTATGGCGCACCTCCCCCCAACGCTGCGAGCAAGCCCGGATGCTGCAACACCTGTGACGAAGTGCGCGACGCCTACGCCTCGGTCTCGTGGTCCTTCGGTCGCGGCGAAGGCGTGGAGCAGTGCGAACGTGAACACTATGCCGAGCATCTCGACGCTCAGCGTAAGGAAGGGTGCCGTCTCGAGGGCGGTATCCGTGTAAATAAGGTCATTGGAAACTTCCACATTGCACCAGGAAAGTCCTTCTCCAACGGAAATCTGCATGTCCACGACTTGGAGAACTACTTCAAGGACGAAACCCATACTTTCACCCACAAGATCCATCATTTGCGATTTGGCCCCCAGCTTTCTGATGCTGTCATCCAAAACATGCAGAAGAACCATGCTGCGACTGGACCTGGTGGATGGACTAACCACCATATCAACCCGCTCGATGATACCGAGCAGCACACCGAAGAGAAGGCATACAACTTCATGTACTTCGTCAAGGTCGTCTCCACAGCATACCTTCCCCTTGGATGGGAGAAGGAAGCCCCCCGCCCCTCAAAGCACGACGATATCCTCGGTGGTACTATTGAAGGCAGCTACAAAGGCAGCATTGAAACCCACCAGTACTCTGTTACAAGCCACAAGCGAAGCCTCGGTGGCGGATCCGATGAGGATGCCAACCACAAGGAGCGTCTCCACGCTCGTGGCGGCATTCCCGGTGTCTTCTTCTCATACGTAAGTGTTTCTTGCCTCCCCGATCTCCCGAATCACACAGAACTCATTCCGCAACACAGGACATCTCCCCTATGAAGGTCATCAACCGCGAGGTCCGCGCCAAGACCTTCTCCGGCTTCCTCGTCGGCCTCTGCGCCGTCATCGGTGGAACGCTCACAGTCGCTGCCGCCGTAGACCGCGCGGTCTACGAGGGTGCAAACAAGATCAAGAAGATGCACTCTAACTAAACCCCCACATCTTCCTGAACGAATCAAACTCATCATCTACATATGCACGTTTGTCGTATTCACCTGCATGGAATAGTCCATTGTCCCAATTATTTGTTTTTTGGTTTCCACAAGAGACTGCACGGCGTTATCAGGTGCAATGATCATTTCCATTGGGGGAATCAAATTTTTGCAAATCTATATTACTCTACTGGGAAAAGGGGGGAGGCATGAGGTCGAGCGAGCGTTGGGTGTTGTTGGAGGAACGAAGGAGATGTGTATCAAACGAGTACATTATTGAAGAGCACGGCAAACAGAGCTAAGGAACGAAGACCAGGTGTCGTAGACATTTACGAACGCCAACAACCATTAGAGGTTCATGAAAAATATCAATCACAAAAAAACGTGCATGCAGACGTCCAAACAAACTCAACATAACCGTGAATGTGAATAGCCAATACCACTTCCCACCCATTGCCCGCCCACTTTACCGTTTCCCATTACCATCGTGATGCATATACATACAGGATCCCCCCTCCCAACATCTACCTCCTGACATTATCAAACGCACCACCTCACCCCCTCATGACCTACTTACCAACGCCCCGACCTCCCAACATCTTCAGACGAAATCCCGGAGACCACATATGTAAACCCCCTACGCCTCCCCTTCTCCCCTCCTCCCTTTCCTCACACTTCAACAACTCCTCTCCCAACCAAAAAGCTGCTCTTGAAAACTCTAATGCTTCCCCGGGTCCAAAAACCCCAAATGTTCCATCGAGAAACGGAAAAAGTTCAATCCTTCAAAAACACATCGAGTATGAACCTCGGTTACACATCGCTTGCCTTCGTCAAAATGCGTCCGACGATCTTGCGATCAAACTATCCAAATCAGATGCCATGCGCTGGAATGAGAAAGTTCAATCCTCCAAAGGCATATCGAGTATAACCTTCGGTTATACATCGCTTGCCTTCGTCAAAATGCGGAGGTTGGTGTTTCGTTCGAAACATCCAATCTGACATCATGAGGTGGGATGAGAACCAGTCTTAGCTCAAGCCCATGTGTGCGTCGAAAACCTTGCGTTATATGCAAGACATGTGCGGGCTTCGTATCTGCTTCGCCTCGATGAAGCGGAATGAGAACCAGTCTTAGCTCAAGCCCATGTGTCTGTCGAAAACCGTACATCGCGTGCGCCATGTGTGGGCTTCGGTTGCCGTCTTGACAAACGAACCAGCAGTTGTAACATGCTGGATTCTCCTTTCGAGCGGGCTGTATCGAAACTACTGCGACGTAAAGATGATGTGGTGCCGTGACCGAAAGAAATACAATGTTTGGCGTCGTGCTTTGTGGGACCGAGATCGAAAAAAAAAATCAGAAGGCAACGATGATGCTTCGTGGTCTCGAGATCTTGGCCCATTGTGCCAGAAACAACGCTCTGGAAAAGTAGCCATGGACGTCGGACCAGTCCGAAAAATTTGTCCTCCCACTTGCATGTTTGGAGGACCTGTGGGATCGTGAAACTAATGAAAACTGATTTTGGATTCAACGCATGTTGTGCTCTCGAAAGCATATGAAGGGGAATAATGCGGTTCTCGAGATCCAGCAGAAAATGCAATTCTGCAGCACGAATGGATCCTTGTCCCTGCGTCGAAACAGGGTCTTGGAAATTGAGAATGTTGGAGCACTGTCTGTCCCAAAAACGAAGAATCCATCAGTTAGGCAAGAGAGATCATGATTCTCTTTCCGGTGAAAATATCCAATAGTCGGAGCATATGTGTGTCTGTGTGACAACAATAGAAGCAGTCATAACATGTGCTGGGAAAGCTTCGTGGTTCAACAACCTCCTATGATTGTGCCGTGTCTCCTTTTTTTCGAGAACATGAAGATTCAAACCATGTCGGTGGATCTTCTTTCGAGTTACGCCATCATCCGAAACGATAAGTTTATTTAGCGATCTCGTCCGCCACAGATGTTAGAGTGTCTGAAAGAGTAATGGCAGATGGGACATGTCTGGTTTTGGCGTGCTCTATAAAGTCTGGCTTCAACTTTCGACTAAATATGGGCCATGAACATGTTCCGACGACGCTTGAATGTGATTAAATGGAGAAGTGTTTCCTGCATCATTGGTACCTCCCAACGTACATGAGATTTTAAAACGCGACTGACGTTCATGGAATGAGACTCGCCTGTTCTTTGCTTCACTCGTACCTATACCAGCTGTTATGGTCGTTTATAATGATTGTATCTACTCAGTACCGAAACTGGTAGCTGAATGTCCTGGCGTTGGCTGTTTTGACAAGCTTAAGGTTTTTCTGGCAATGGAACTTACTACTACGCCACATATGTCCTGACCCATGTGGTCCGGTATCCGGACACACAAGACTCAATCAGTTTCTTTCTGGGCTCCTGCATTGTTCAGCCAACAACGATGATCACCACCTGTGAGAATGGAAAACACAACAATTACTCGAAACATGTGGAGACCCACGAGTAACAAACCTATTACAGAAAGAAAAGCATGAGCTGCTCTCGTCGGGCAAAAAAGAAATGGTCGGGTTTCATTCATGTGGAGAGAAAAGCATAATGGAGACGCCTTAACATTCCTGGCACTACTTCGCAATAATGAATTTCTTGTCGTCATATGGTTGGACTGTCTTCCACCGATAAATTTGTATCCGGCTATGCCATGTTTGACTGTGGACTTGACTAAACCATAGTCCTGAGAAGGCTGAAGATCCAATCTCGCCGCGGCCTGGGGTATGTGCGGGTTTTCATTGATGGCTTCACTATCTACAGTGACTCGCTGGGCAAACACGAACCAATGCAGCACCTGGATTCCTCTTCAAACAATTTCGAGAAACGGAAAATGCTCTCGCCCGAAAAGATCCTTTTCCTATATCAACCTGCTTGACCAAAAGGTCGATGCATATGAACAGTCCCCGTGAATTCCACGGCCATCGAAGTCCTCGGAAAACGAGGGAATGTTGGATAATCGAAGGCTGTTGCCAACTTAGACATGTCCAATGACATGACTGGCTACCTATGTGACAAAGTCCCCTATGTGGCGGCCCTGCAATCGTCCCTCCACTAACTCAAGAGGACAGCCTTCGATGGCCTCCCGAAGGGAAAAGGCACACAATGCTGAAACAAACAATGTATGACCGTTCCGCGGACCGGACTCGTAATCTCGATACAAAATTGTGCAGACGCTCAGGAATGGTCTGTCGTCTCCTGCTTATCAAGCATTTGGACATGGCACCATGCTTGTTTCCATGGCCAGTAGATTTGGAGGCTGCTTCGGATTACAAGAGGAAGGAACATGAAACGAGGAAGAATTCACAATATGAGCTCGACTTTCGAGATCTGTGGTTCATGACCCAGACCCCACGAACGTCGTACCCGATAATGATGCCATGCTTCTGCTTCGAAGCATGCTCGTCGGTAACAAATGGTTCGTGGGAAGGATTTAATGCATACCAAATTGAAATGTTCCAGAAGCTGTACAGCGTTCATGGGATGTTCTTTTGCGCGCATAGTTCGTTCATCAATCCCTTGCCACTAGTCTCAGCATAATTACCTGCATCAAAGAGGCCCAAAACCTTCATCAAAAGAGACTGATGGTTCTGCCTTGGAGCTGGGCTCAAGAGAATCGATAAACAAATCAATACGATGGAACGGATGACTGGTGTTGTCGAACAAGATCTGATACGTATGACTTATGCGTTTCATGTGACTAAAAAGCATAGACATGCCTACATCATCCACCGAATGTGGGAGGTTTGGACGTCGACTTTCCAGTTCAGCGAAATGAGAAACTCCGAAGAATGAGCGACTGTATTTCCATGCAGAAGTTTCATGCTATGAGCCATCAAGCAGCACCTAACAGCAGCACTACGAAAGTACAATGTTTCTGTGCTGGGAGGGCCCTCGACTAGATCGTCATTTATCAATGGCACAGCACATGGCGATGAAACGTGCAATTAACTCACCTGCCATTCGTCTGAATGACGGATAGAACGACTGAAAAAACACAAGCAAACAAGTGAATGTCCACTTCGAGATCCGGTCTACATACTTGTGAAAAGGCTATGTATGGTTCCTTCATGTTCGAAGTTCTGGAGCATAGACAGCCTGTTCGCAAACCTCCTGATGTTCAATTCCTTGCAAAAGGATGGCATTAATGCTATGGTTTGTGGATGTCCGTACATCACCGTAATGGACGGATTATCATACTTCTATGTGAAGCGCGATTGGCATAAGTTTACATGAGTGAATCCGAGAAAGGTTTGGAGAAAAGAACCTTTACTCCCATCACATGAGAACTTCTTGGGAAACCTTAAAATGTCCTTCTAGAAGGCCTTAGATTACGGAACAATGTCCTTTCCGAGAGCAATGAGCAAAACCCGCATTGAATCTAGAAATATGGAGCAAGATATATTTCACGTGCGCGTCTCGTATTTCGAAATCTTACACATACTCATAACAAACTGCCGATGATCGAGAATCTGGGAAGAAAGCGTTTAGACCACGCTGCAATATGGTGACTCGATTTGGTCTATACTACCTACCGCAGATCAATGTGGATCGCGCCCTATTCTTCACGACTTCCCGCTAAACAAACACACTCTTTGCGTAATTATGAGTGCTTCTTGCGAGGTAAGACCTAGCAACATGTCATTTCGACTGCACAATGATCTGGCACATGTTTAGACAGTTTGAGAGTATCTCAAGTATGATACCAAAAGTGGTTCAAGTTCAAAATATTGGGAGGCGAGGGAAGCTTTCACGATTCGTGAAAAAATCTAGCAGAACACAAATTTATAGACAGAAGTGATTTACGGACGGTATTCCAGAGGCTTTCTGCTGCTTGGAGTGTAGTCATGCTGAAGAAAAAGTTCGCCAAGCTGATGTTCAATCGAATAGCTAGCGGTGGTATATGGCAGTAAAAGTGGCCCTGGAATTCATCCAGGTTACATAAAAGAAGATCATCCCGCTAATATGACGATCGAAAGAAAGAGGCTTTGCATGTATGTCTGTTGGACTACGATCCATGACATGGGATGCATTGATACGAAATGCTATCGAGAGCCTATGGAGAAAGTCTTATGACAAGTATGTTACGGGTTATGAGATTCCCCTAGAGCTCACCCCAATTCTGGGGTGAGGCTTCTGGTTTGATATGGACTTGGTCGGTGGATTCAGTGTTTTTTTTATTTTTTATTTTTTACTTTTGAAGGATCTAGTATTTAATAAATTTTAGTATTGATTCCATTTACTTAGTTCTAGCTTTCAATATATAGAACTCCGCAATACTTGGAACTATGTGGACTTAAACTACTGTCGACCTTATATCATGATTCTACCCTGGTTTGTAACTAAGCCTGCATGACTCCGGTTTTCTTCGTCCCCATTTGCACTCCATAATGGACCTGATTGATAAATCCATGTGACTCCATCTATACATCAGCAATCCACTCTTCGGCCCAGAACTCGATAACACATCTCGCAAGTTCAGGGCCTAGTAAACTCTCAACCGCCTGTCTGGTACCTTCTTCCTTGATTGCACGCAACGATAGAAGCATCAACTCCTTCAAACTTCCAGCCACGTCGCTGAGAGCTATGACTTGCGGCTCGCTTAGGCGACCTGTCGCCGTGCACCATGGTAGGAGGTCCGTAACATTGGCAGGTCCTCGGACGGGCGGATGGTTGGCTGGCCTATTGGCTATACCAGATGCCCGGAGTGCTGCTGCTGATGGTGTTTGTGTGAAGAATTGTCGGATGTCACTGGAGCCATCGAGGTGGGGTGGATATCTCAAACCGGGTAGATGGTTGTGGTCACTGGCGGGAATTTGCATTCGGTCAGATATGTGAGTGACCTGGCTTGATCGAAGATCTCGGTTGGCGAATCCTTGATGGCTGCTCATGTTTCCTGGAGTGAGGGGCATTTCCTAGGATCTTGACTAGTATTAGCAATTGATGGTGTAGAAAGATTGGCGTTTGAGAGGTGTTCGTTATTACCTGAGCCTTGTTAAGTCAATGTTCTCTGGGATTCTCGTCTTAGGTCTTCTACAGCACCACGCCTTGAATTTAAGCAGACGGGAAAGTGGGTTTTTTTGCAACCAACTGTGAAAGGTGGAAGTCTCATGCGTAGGAGTGAACTTTGAGAGCTTCTTTCACGATCCACGCCGCCAATTGAGGAAGGCACGCCCTGGCGTTACTCGAATCTCTGATTCACACGTGATTGTGGAAGTTGGATCCGATGCGGAAGAGCAGTGAAGAGACAAAATAAATCAGGAGAGAGTCGTCATGAGACATTGTACTATTCATACATGATATTTTTACATGCTAATGCATCCGGAGAAGAAAACAAGATCTATATACACTGGTGGAGATTCATAAAGACATTGGTCTACCTGTGATCCAAACGGGTATCGCGGAAGGTGTTAGATGATGCGGTCATGGAGATTTGCGGAATGGTTTTTTTTTTCCCAGTTCTACTCTTTCTTGGTGTCCGGAGTCACTTGATGCGGGTCTAAGGCTTGTGTTGCTTCCGTAGGAATGGATGATGGCTGGAGGTGCGGTTGAGTTTTCCCCTCCTGTAATTCCTCCTTTTGTTTTTCTTGATTCTTATCGTCCGAAGTTTGGTTTTCTGGTTTTGATTTCCAGAAACCTAGAAGTTTCCCGCCTGCTGACTCCAGGCTTGAGGTCGACGATTGTTTTGCCTTCAAGTCATCAAGCTCGGCCTTGACTTTCTTGAACTCCTGCTGTAGCTCTTCTAAATCTTCCCTGATATCGTCTCGCGCGTTTTTCGCCTTGCGTCTCTGGCGCCATTGCTCAAACACAATCACACTAATGCCCACAGCGAAAATGAATGTCTCAGCCACGAAGTTGGCTCCCGTTTCAATCGCTTTTGCTTCGGAAAGTGGCCGAATACGTGGTCTGTGAGAAGCTTCTACTTTCTTCCTTGCTGCTTCCTTCTCCTTCTCCGTCATGGCCTCTTCTGCTTCCATCTCCGCTTCGGTTTTGACAGTAGGCGCCTGTGCCTTCTTACGAGCTGCCTCCGCTGCCGCAACCTCTTTTGCTATCTGCCTGTCGATCACAGCAGGATCCTGTAGAAGGCCGAGTCGCATGCGCATGTCGATCCGATGAAGTCCTTGGGCGAACTTAATACACAGTCTGCGAAACCTCTCATGTTCGTGAGCATTGCGCTTAATGGCATTCTATAGAAGATAATTGATCAGCCTTAGAATCCGAATAACAATAGAGAAGACTTACAGCCATTGGCTTCGCGGCTGTCCGCACGAACAACGATGTTATCTTAAGTGTAAGAGACATTGCGGCGAGATAAACGTTGAGGCGGAGCTATAAGGTATAGCACAGGAAATCTATGATCTGTGGTAGCACGACGAGGCTTTCATAGTACTTTGTAAGGTAGAAAAAGACTTCCGCATAGTGCAATGCCAAAGGCTGAAAGCTTTTGAAGCTCGAAGCGGGCACATTGGCTTATGACATGTCGTCGCGAACTAGGTATGCTGCCTTCGGCGGTCGGTGGGAACTGAGGCCGATCCAATGTGTTCACGCTAACCCTCGTTCAGCATAATCATAACAATATACACAGAGCAGCGAAAGCAAGTATCTGATCAGTAGCATATCAATCTCAGTAAGAATAAATAATAGATGATAATATTGCTAAAATGCATAGCATTAAGCTCATTATTTATGCTATGTCATAAGTTCTATGGATCTCAATGAGGTATTGGGAGTATTGGAAAACAGCCTTGGCACTGGGGGGTTCCCCTGCCAACTGCACGGCCCGTTTGTTTAGTTACCGCCTCTTCGACCTCCAACACATTCTACTATCAATTCATTCTCGACATCTCGACAAACACAATGGCGGCCCCTCCAGTACACGCTGAGCCTCCACCTGAGGTTGTATACGATCCAGAAGGACTCCAATATGAAACAGGACCGCAACTGGGAAAGGGTGGCTTTGCTATCTGCCATCGCGCAAAGTTGATGGGCCATGAACATCTTAGCAACAACATAGTGGCCCTGAAAATTGTTAGGTCGAAGATGGAGCCACCAAAGTTAGCACAGAAGGTGCATTCACTCTCATAATTTGGTACATTGACCATGTTACTGACGCGTTTTAGTTTGTGACCGAGCTTCAAATCCATTCTAAATTGGCGCATCCAAATGTAGTCGAATTTTATCGCGCATTCTCCTTCCAATCGAGCACATACGTCGTCCTAGAGCTCTGCGAAAATGGATCTCTAGCCGACGCGATTAAGAAACGAAAGTACTTCACGATGCCCGAGATCCGTCGATTTATGATCCAAACTTGTGGTGCCATCAAATACTTGCACCAACGCAACATCGTTCACCGCGATCTCAAGACGGGAAATCTGTTTTTGGATAAAGATATGAATGTCAAGGTTGGAGACTTTGGACTCGCGGCGTTGCTCGTTTCGCAGAGTGATTTTGGTGCAATCCGAAGAACGACTATGTGTGGTACTCCCAATTACCTTGCACCCGAGGTCCTTGAAAAGACTGGAAAGGGTCATGATGAGAAGGTTGATTTATGGGCCATTGGTATCATGATGTGAGCGCGATGAATGATTCGATGTGTATGATCAACAACTTACGCGTTCAGGTACACCCTTGCTGTTGGCAGAGCACCTTTCCACGCGGCAAAGCGTGAAGACATATACCGCAAACTCAAAGCACGAGAATATACCTGGCCTGACATTTCGAAATTTCCCAACGAGATCACCGATGACCTGCGCGATGTCGTCTCCTCCTTGCTCGTTCACGAAGATGAACGTCCCACCCCAGACCAGATTGTTAGCCATCCGTTTTTTAAGCTCGGTCATGTTCCTCTCAAGCTAGACACTTCTTGCACTTCACGTGTTCCAAAGTGGCCCAAGATTCGACCACCAACCGCTTCCACGATCAAACGAGGCTATACCGACGAATGGTTCATCCTGTGCAAATCTTCCGCAGTTGGGGAGTACGAATCCGGGAAATCATTTGGGGCATACGGTAGCAGAAGGAACAAGACCGTAGCGAGGGACTGCCAGAAGGAGATCGAATCCGGCAAGCAGCCCAACATACCATTCGCGAAAGACACGGTCTATTTACCATTCCCGGAGCGCACACACTGGCCATTCCAAGCTGCTGGAGGGTTGAGTGAGATTCCGGAAGAAAAGGAATCATCTTCGGAAGGCCAGGCTCTTCTCGATACGTCTGGCAACGACAGGACCAAAGGCCGGCTACCACGGGTGACAAGAAGGGAGGCAGCAATGCCTACACTGAGGGAGAATCAAGAACCTGCGCAGGAACCAGAGCCGGCCAGGAGAGTGGTGGACAAGCAGCCGACTCGCATGCGCGCCGTTCGCAAGATCTCCAATCCAGGCCGTGTGACCGCAGCTACGGCTGCACCAGCTCCATTGCGTGTGCCGAAAGAGACGCGACCAGCTGTGACCCGATCGAAATCGACAACGGATGCAGTGAAGCAAGCACTACCGGAACTGGAGCCACTGCGAGTTACCAAAACAATGTCGCGATCCGTAGCGCGACCGGAGAGTGCACCAGCGGATCCTTCAGCAACTACTAGAACTGCCCGTCCTTACAGAATCATGAGTACAACTGAGGTGCCTCTGACTGATCCTGGGACCGTTCTAGCACGCCTTCATTCCTTCAGGGACAATGTAGCTCGCGCACTCCAGAAGAAGAAGTCAATGTCCAGGCGGGAAGATGCACCACAGTTGCCATATGTTTCGAAGTGGGTGGATTACTCGAGGAAACATGGTGTTGGATATGTTCTCGAAGATGGAAGTGTCGGCTGCATCTCAATCGCTTCAAAGCATCACCCAACAACGGTGGCTTTCACACATCAGGGGTATTCACATCTGTCCAAACTCAACAAGGATCCCGAATATCTCAGTCAGGTACCTCTCGAATTCTACGCATCTCCTTCTGACACAAAGGGGTTGGTTCGCATCGACGTAACCGACAAGCAGAGGAGGGAGGGTATCCTCTCCATTTGGCAAAAGTTTGGCAAGTACATGTGCGCTCAATTGGGTGTTGATGTCGACGAGCGACCTCGAAGAAGCAACTCGGCATCTCCCAATTTCGTCAAGTTCTATCAGCGTCTCGGAAGTGTTGGTATCTGGGGATTTGATGATGGCTCGTTCCAGGTAAGGAGTCTTGCAAAGCCGTGTTCCTTTTCAACGACTAACTCTTCATAGGCCAACTTCCCTGACCACACCAAGCTTGTTTTGTCCCCAGATGCTGGGTACTGCAACTTCATTTGCCTTTCCCTTGATGCATTAGACTGGCTGAATGACAACGAGAAGCGTCAAATTCCATGGAAGTATATCAAAGATCGCGAAGTTCTTCATGGCTCTTTGCAACAACTTCTATATGGTTCGGCCGACAAGGCAGACGCCTATAAAGAGATCACGGAAGCAAACAATCTCCGAATGAAATTGGAGTTCATTCAATCCATCGTCGACGGCTGGGTGGAAGGTGGAGGAATTGGATGTCTTCTTGAACCCAGAAATTACATTTGGCAAGGAAATCAACTTGAAGGAAACAAAAAGCAAGACTGGGTCAGTGTCGGGCGTTTTGGTGGCGATGTTTAGTGCGGTTTGGGTTATTCGATGTTGTATCGGCAAAGCGACGGCGTTCTTCGGTTTTTGGCATAGGCATTGCACGGCGTTGCTTCATGGTAATGATGTCCACGTCAACCCTTCTTTCTCTTCGAGTTCTTCAAGCTCTGCGACTGAATGATACTCCTCCTCTTGACTTTTAGGCTTCTGTTGATTTTGAATTTTCTTCTCTTGTGCTCAAGGAACGTTGCGACTCAGACGATATGAAATTCTTGCATACTGAACTACATCGCACCGTGCTTGCTGCCTGAATTATCGATGACGCGTAAGAGGCAAAGTCGTGCGGAACTGGTTGAACATCAAACGGTACAGTGCTGATATTTATTCCGGAACCATCGATGACGGCGGCAACGAGCTTGCGAGTAAGCTTGCGTACGCAATTGCAGGCGAGATGACTTGTGGCTGAGTCGTGGCTCCTTGCCAGCCAGGAGTGCCAGGATACGAGATAGTTCCGAGAAGGCCGCTGTACTTGGCACTGTGACGACGTTTGGGAACGCTTGCCCGCCCACCGCCAGCCATCACACATCTACATCGCACAGTCAACGACGCCCGTTGCTTGCGCATTCACTTTTACTTCCGACCTTTGACGCTCGTTCGCTTTGGAATTCGAGCGTTCGTCCATTACACATTTCCATCATCCCTCCTCATCCCCCGCAACGACACTGCTATCCCCTTGTGTACTGAGCGCTATTTCGGGCATCGATCATGGTATGCCACCTCGCACAATCCCGCACCTTGGCCACGAATGCGCAATTGCTAACGTTTTCCCTCCCATACAGGCGGTTTCAAAGCGTGCGGGGCGCAAAAAGGACGCCGGTGGTAAATCAGGCGCCAGTGGGGGACAGAAGTCACAATTCTCGAAGAAGGCAGTCTTCGAGACGACCAAGAAGAAGGAGGTCGGAGTGTCAGATCTCACACTTATCAGCAAGATCTCAAACGAAGCGATCAACGAAAATTTAAAGAAGCGCTTTGAAAATGCGGAAATCTACGTGCGTCGAACCTCTGCGATATCAACCCCGCCGATAGCGTGATACAGGAGAAGTGTGGACAAGGGCTGACTCGGTGGCAGACATACATTGGACATGTGCTTGTATCCGTCAATCCTTTTCGGGACTGTAGGCGACATTCCGATCCAGACTGCGCGCTGTTGCTGACTTTAGACAGTGGGAATCTACACAGACCAGGTCCTCGATAGCTACAAGGGCAAGAACAGATTAGAGGTACGCCTTGAAAACCCCCACCTAAATTCGATACTGACGAGATAGGTTCCTCCTCATGTTTTTGCCATTGCCGAGTCATCCTACTATAACATGAATGCATATAAGGAGAACCAGTGCGTGATCATTTCAGGCGAGTCGGGTGCAGGGAAAACAGAAGCTGCGAAGCGGATCATGCAATACATTGCGAATGTTTCCGGAGGAGCCAATTCGTCCATTCAGGAAACCAAGGACATGGTGCTGGCCACGAATCCTTTGCTCGAGTCGTTCGGAAACGCAAAGACGCTACGGAATAACAACTCTTCCCGATTCGGAAAGTATCTCGAGATCCAATTCAATGCGCAAGGAGAACCTGTGGGTGCGAACATCAACAACTATCTGCTGGAGAAGTCAAGAGTGGTTGGCCAAATTACCAATGAACGTAACTTCCACATCTTCTACCAATTCGCGAAGGCGGCATCTTCGACCTACAGAGGTATGTGAGCGTACATGGGTGTCAAGAGCCAGTGTCTAACAAACCTAGAACAATTTGGCATACAACAGCCACAGGCTTATGTCTACACGAGCCGATCTAAATGCTACGACGTCGACGGTATTGATGACCACGCCGAGTTTAACGACACATTGAATGCAATGAAGGTGATCGGTTTGAACCAAGGCGAACAGGATAATATCTTCCGGATGCTGTCTGCTATTCTTTGGCTCGGAAACGTTTCATTTCAGGAAGATGACTCGGGAAATACGGTCATCGCTGATCAATCAGTCGTTGATTTCGTTGCTTACCTCCTGGAAGTGCAATCGGCACACGTCAACAAAGCCCTTACGCAACGTGTTATGGAAACAAGCCGCGGTGGCCGAAGAGGTTCCGTCTATGACGTGCCTTTGAACATCGCTCAAGCGACTTCCGTGCGCGATGCGCTTGCAAAGGCCATTTACTTCAATCTGTTCGACTGGATTGTGCAAAGAGTGAATGTTTCCCTTAAAGCGCGTGGTACCGTAACTCAATCGATCGGTATTCTGGATATCTACGGATTCGAAATTTTCGAACGAAACAGCTTCGAGCAATTGTGCATCAATTACGTCAATGAGAAGCTCCAACAAATCTTCATTCAGTTGACGCTCAAGACAGAGCAGGAGGAGTATGCCAGGGAGCAGATCAAATGGACGCCGATCAAATATTTCGACAACAAGGTGGTGTGCGAGCTCATTGAAGAGAAGCGACCACCGGGTGTGTTCGCTGCGTTGAACGACGCTTGCGCGACAGCCCATGCGGACCCAACTGCCGCCGACTCAACCTTTGTTCAGAGACTTAATGCGCTATCATCAAATCCCAACTTCCAACCACGCCAAGGCCAGTTTGTCATCAAGCATTACGCTGGTGATGTGTCGTATGCTGTTGAGGGCATGACTGACAAGAACAAGGACCAGCTCCTGAAGGATCTGTTGAACCTGCTCGGTCAGAGCTCGAACACCTTCGTGCACACGCTCTTCCCTGAACAAGTGGATCAGGACAACAGGAGACGCCCTCCAACGGCTGGTGACAAGATCAAAGCATCTGCCAATGACCTTGTTGCTACGCTCATGAAGGCACAGCCATCGTACATTCGAACGATTAAACCGAACGAGAACAAGTCACCGACAGAATACAACGAGCCTAATGTACTCCATCAAATCAAGTACCTTGGTCTCCAGGAGAACGTCCGCATTAGACGTGCAGGCTTTGCGTCCCGTCAGACCTTTGAGAAGTTCGTGGAACGCTTCTTTTTGCTCTCTTCGAAGACCTCATATGCCGGAGAGTACACATGGTCAGGAGATTATCAATCTGGTGCTAAGCAGATCCTCAAGGACACCAACATCCCCACAGAAGAATGGCAAATGGGCACGACCAAGGTTTTCATCAAGACACCAGAGACTCTCTTCGCCCTCGAAACGATGCGAGATAGATACTGGCACAATATGGCAATTCGAATCCAACGCGCATGGAGAAACTACCTACGATACAGGACCGAATGTGCTATTAGGATACAGCGATTCTGGCGACGTGTCAATGGCGGCTTGGAATTCATCCAGGTCCGCGACCAAGGTCACAAGCTACTCCAGGGACGTAAGGAGAGAAGGAGGTTCAGTTTGGTGGGATCGCGCCGATTCATGGGCGACTATCTCGGCATTGGCAACCGTGGCGGTCCCGGTGAAGTGATTGCCAATGCGATAGGAATCTCTGGCAGCGAAGAGGTTCCGTTCTCATGCAGGGCTGAGGTGCTGGTTTCCAAGCTCGGCCGATCAAGCAAGCCTGAGCCTCGCACATTGGTTTTGACAAAGAAGAACATCTATCTAGTCAAGCAGGTTATGGTCAATCGGCAAATCCAGATCCAAGCTGAGCGAACAGTGCCAGTGGGATCTCTGAAATTCGTTGGCACCTCGACGCTCAAGGACGACTGGTTCTCCCTTGGAATCGGATCGCCGCAAGAGCCCGACCCCTTGGTCAACTGTGTTTTCAAGACTGAGTTCTTTACGCACTTGAACACCGTTCTGCGAGGATCACTGAACCTGAAGATCGGCGAAACGTAAGTCAAAATTCCCTAGCATCCAGACTCACTTTGGACTGACATGTGACAGGATCGAATTTAACAAGAAACCTGGCAAGCTTGCACAGGTCAAGGTGGTGAAGGATCCCGCCGTTCCAAGAGATGATATGTACAAGAGTGGTACTATCCATACAGGCCCTGGAGAGTCGCCTAATTCCGTGTCGAAGCCAACGCCCAAAGGCAAACAAGTGGCAGCCAAACCTATCACCAAAGGCAAGCTTCTGCGTCCTGGAGGCCCGGGTGGGGGTCCATCAAAGCTTGCCAGTCGGCCGAAGCCCGTGCCTGCAGCCTCATCAATGACCTCTACACCAGCTGCCGCATCCCAATCAAGGCCAGTGCCGCAACCCGTTGCGTCTTTATCGAACGGCGTAGGCCACGCACGCAATCAGTCATCGTCATCTGTGCGAGCGCCGCCTCCACCGCCGCCTGCACCTCCTGCAGCACCCCCCGCTCCGAGAGAACCGACGTTTCGTGCGCTATACGACTTTGCTGGTCAATCAGCAGGCGAGCTGAGTATCACGAAGGGCGAGGAGGTACTGGTGACACAGAAAGAGGGTAACGGTACGTATATCCGATGCTTTGTCTACATATATTCACTCGTGTCTGACCAAATTTGTAGGATGGTGGCTCGCAAGCCGATTAGACAAATCAGCGTCTGGGTGGGCACCGTCCGCTTACTTGGAAGAGGTAGTCAGTAAGCCTGCACCTCCCCCAGCACCCCCAGCACCCCCAGCACGCCCCGCTTCCAACGGCGGTGGAATTCGCGCCAAGCCGACACCCCCTGCTCCGCCTGCGAAGCGCCCATCCGCAAAGAAACCCGCCCCAGCCCCGGTCTCCAGGGACAGTGGCTATTCAGGAAGCGGAGCTAGCAACATCGACTCTGGAGCAAGAGACAGCAGCGGAAGCATCGCGGGAGGTCTGGCAGAGGCTCTGAGGCAGCGTCAAGCTGCAATGCATGGCCGCAAGCCGGAGGAGGATGATTGGTGATGGATCTGATATGAAATGATGTGATAGGAATAGATTAGATGGACCAATTGCATATCTGGAAAGGTTTCTTGATGAACACTGGTTCATCTGCATGGAAACTGTTGAAGGGTGAAGAGCCGAGGTGGTGCGTAGCGAAGCAGGCCCTGATTAAGTTCGTTGAGATTGGGAGGTCGCAAAGCTGCTTCACTTTTTTCCTTGGACCTAGTTCTTTCCGACACAGGTACCAGTACAGGTATTGCAGGTACAGGTACAGGAACTAGCTGCCACAAGCCAGGAATTGTGAAATGAACATGCGCCTTTTCTCGGCGGTGACTGAAGCGGAGGTAACTGTAGGTAGATAGGTGTGAGCGGTAGCCCCGGTGGGTATGATTCCCGGATTTGGCTACTGTGTTAGAAGCGATGGAGTGTTGGTTTGATAGACGGATGGAGCTTCGGCACGATGTTGCTAGAGAGTAAATTTTGAGATTATACATATAGATATTGCTAGCTTCAATTCTACGCAATCTACCCAGAAGCTACCTTCGCGACATGAATGATCTTCATGTGACAGATCGCTTGTATGATCGCCAATAACCATAACTTGCCTGAGCAAGTAAGAGGTACCTTGGCTCTGAAACTATCGGTGATAAGGTGCTGGATATCAGAAATTGGGGAATGGTAAGGACGGACGGATATCTGGAGATTGTGGATAGATTGAGTATGCCATTATGATTATTATTTGACAGGATGGGGTGAAGATAACTTAGATGGTGGAGAGAGAGAGGATCCGCCCAGACTGCGGTATGATCGAGGCTCATCAGCGACTGTGTGGGATGAAGTGAGGAGACTCCAGATATTCCCGTATCCACTAATCAGTTACGAGGAGATACATGGGGGACGGTCAGTCCACACGCTCCGCGAGTCGTCCATGGTCCACTCAAGTCCAGTACATTTGGTCGGAAAGCTATCGCATGGCGGGCCGACAGTGAATCACGTGATCGGAATATAGGCCCTACCATCCGCCACCAGCGATCCTGACAGCCTCTCAACGGCCTTCTCTGAAAATTTATCCGCCCATTTGATGCTTGCAATTGTCTTTTGTACCCGTTCAGCATGCGTTTTGGATAGGCTCTAATGCTTTCCAATCTAGCTCCGGACCAGTCGTGCCCGGGTCGCATCTCAGGACCGCTATCACCGTCTGTCAGAAGTCAGAAGGGAAACCTACCTCACATGTCCGTCGACTTTTGGCACCGGCTGTGCTGAGCGTCCCGCATACGGCAGCAGCATGCTTGCACCTTGCAGCCATGTCTGGATCGCTCGCTCAATATGCGATTCCATCAATGCCCTTTTCGATGCTGCTCACGGATCTATAGCTGCAATTGGGACCTTGGGGCCCCTCAACGGATACCGGTTGCTCGTACGCTATACGCATCGGAGCAGCGCCTGATGTACCCCCGCGTATATTGAGCGCTGTAATACGTCGCGTTGGTGAATCGCCACAGCACCAGCCTTGCAACCCAATTCGATCTAGATTATTGAACACACAGCAAGCGCGGCTCTCGTAGGCAGATCCTGATGGCTCGCGAACACTTCGGGACATGGTACATTGCCGTTCCACCGGCCAATGGTGCCCAGCTCGTCTATCTGAACTACGTCCCTGCGAGCCGTCACTAGGTACCAGGCCTGTTCACAATGTGTCCGGTTATTCCAGCTCCATACTGGTCCCACCGCTGCTTGACCTGAGACAGTTGATGGTTGCATTTGTGGTGCCCGGGTACTAAAAGATGACAATATACGTCGATTGCGCTTCCAGTCTTTTGAAGGTCCATTTTCGAAGTTTTTTCGTTGCCTTGCCATCTTGATTCTTCCTTTCCACCTTCGCTTGTCTTTCAAGTCCTGGTAAATTGTGAAACTGTTTGCAAAGTGGCGAGACCACTGCGGCAACTCGTCCAGACACTCCGAGTACTCGAAAGGTTAATTCCTTCCTGAATCAAGTGATCAGCTGACCATGACCGATATCAACGTACTCAACCCATCCTTGTTAGATGCCACGGCCATCAAGCAGATCGATATAAAGCAACAAGCCGCCATCGAAGTGCAGCCGATCTCCTCTTCTCCCACTCTTGCCCCCAGTTCGGATTCAGAAGACGACAAGTTTGACGACATGGCTGGCAAGAAGGTGTTTACACTTGAGAAGCCGGATGACCGGGCAAAGGAATTGGCCGCCAAATTGACACTGGAAGAGCAAGTACGTTGAATTCCATTTCCACCATTTTCCAATTCGACTTGAAGAGCGTGGCGTCTTGAGTGGGGTAGATGCACGTCTCGGGTTGGATAATTGCCCTGATCCGGGGCGCTGCGGCATTTTGCATGTCTGTCCAGCGTGTTCTACGTTCGTTGGTCATCTCGGATTCATCCTTGCGGATTCTGCGTCCACACGCGGCAACAATTGTAGCTTGACATACTATAGACGGCGGGGCAGGGTGAACATGAAATGAGATTTGCAACCAGGAAACCAAATACACCCTTACTAACATTACCAGATCTCCCTGCTGGCAGGTGCAGACTTTTGGCGAACAGTTGCTATCCCAGAGAAGGGAATTCCCTCAATCAAGACTACAGATGGACCCAACGGTGCTCGTGGAGAGTTCTTCACAAATGGAACACCGGTGAGTACCTGTCCCGTGACCTAGAGTATGCGAATCTGACGATTGCAGGCCGCCCAGTTTCCTTGCGGTGTTTCTATGGCCTCAACCTGGAACTTGGACTTGATGGAGGAAATTGGTCGACACCTTGGAGATGAGACCAAGGCACGTGGAGCTAATGTCCTTCTTGCACCTACCGTCTGCATGCATCGATCGCCCCTAGGAGGACGGAACTTTGAGTCCTACTCGGAGGATCCTTTCCTTACCGGTAAATTGGCCGCTTCTTACATCCGTGGACTCCAGAGCAAGGGTGTTGCTGCCACTATCAAACACTTCCTAGGTAACGAACAGGAAACTGAACGCCAGGCATACAACGCCGAGATTGCCGAAAGACCTTTGAGGGAGATTTACCTTAAGCCATTCGAGATTGCTGTTCGGGACGCTTCTCCATGGGCGCTTATGAGTGCTTACAATCTCGTCAATGGAACCCACGCCGATGAATACGAGCATTCGATCAAAGAGATCCTTCGAGGAGAATGGGGCTGGGATGGTACCATGATTTCTGACTGGACGGGAACATACGCTACAGCACCATCAATCCGTGCCGGAACAGACATTGAGATGCCAGGACCCTCGAAATGGCGCAAACTTGACCAAGTACTCGAAGCACTCGAGAAGGGTGAGCTCACCCGAGAAGACATTGAGAAGAGCGCCGCACGAGTGTTGTATCTTGTCGACCGAACCAAAGGACTTAACAACATGACACCGGAGCCTGCGGAAGCTTCTAACGACAATGCCGAGACCAGGAACTTGATTCTTCAAGCTGGAATTGAGGGATTGACCCTACTAAAGAATGAGAACAACGTCTTGCCCATCAGGGGTGCAAACAAGATTGCTCTCATCGGACCGAATGTTAAGCGAGCTATCTCTTCAGGTGGTGGCAGCGCTGGACTGAACCCCTACTATAAGACTACTCCATATGACGGTGTCAAGTCCAGATTCGATGGCGAAATCATCTTTGCACAGGGCTGTGACAGCTCCAAGTGGATGCCATTGGCATCTCCATACTGCGCCTATGAGGGCCAACAGGGTGTGAGATTGGAGTACTACCGTGGTGACAGGTTCAAGGGCGAGCCAGCCGTTGTCCAGCACAAGGTTGGTACAGACCTTTGGCTTTGGGATTCTGCGCCTATGGAGCTTCTTCCCGATTTCTCCTTCAAGGTCAAGACGAGTCTGACGCCAAAGTCTACTGGAAACCACACTTTCAGTTTCGCTTCTGTCGGTCCCGGTAGGATGTTTATCAACGGCGAGATGTTCATTGACAATTGGGACTGGACTGAGGAGGGTGAGGCTATGTTCTCAGCTTCTCAAGATGTGGTCAAGTCGATTCAACTTGAAGAGGGTAAGTCCATTGAGATTCTCATCGAATCCACCAGCGAGGTCCGTCCTGCTTCCAAGGTCTCTGTGATTGGCCGTCGATATGATTACGGTGGCTGCCGTATTGGCTACCAGGAAGAGGACAAGATCGACCGCATTCAGGAAGCTGTGGATGCTGCGAAGGCAGCCGATGCCGCTGTCCTCGTGGTTGGCTTGGATGCTGAATGGGAATCCGAGGGTTACGACAGACAGACCATGGACCTTCCCAAGGATGGCTCCCAGGACCGACTCATCGAAGCTGTTCTCGCCGCCAACCCACGCACAGTCGTCGTCAACCAGTCGGGAACGCCCGTCACCATGCCATGGGTTGACCGCGCACCTGCCATCTTGCAAGCCTGGTACCAAGGCCAGGAGGCTGGAAATGCTCTCGCTGATGTCCTCTTCGGCAATGCCAGCCCTAGTGGTAAACTCACAGCAACATTCCCCAGGCGGATAGAAGATAACCCTGCGTTCCACAACTGGCCTGGTGAGAACCTCAAGACCGTCTACGGCGAAGGTATCTACATCGGCTACAGGCATTACGAGCGCTCCAAGATCGAGCCTCTATTCGCCTTTGGTCATGGTCTGACATACACTTCCTTCGAGTACGGCACACCGGAAGTTGACAACACCGTCCTAACGGAGTCAAACTCCATTACTGTTACCATCCCTGTCACCAACACTGGATCATTCGCTGCCCCAGAAATTGTCCAAGCATATGTCAAGGACATCCGATCCACCCTTCCTCGACCGGAGAAGGAACTTCAGGGCTTCGCCAAGGTTTACCTTCAGCCTGGTGAGACCAAGACTGTCACTCTTAAGCTTGACAAGTACTCTGCAGGATACTTCGACACAGCTCTTGGTCAGACTGGAGCTTGGATAGCAGAAGAAGGCGCATTCGATGTTCTCATTGGCGCATCAAGTGCTGATATCAGGTTCGTTACACCTTTCTACTCCCCATGTTAAAAACAAATGCTAATTATTCAACTAGGACGAAAGTCAGCTTCGAAGTCAAAGAGTCTTTCCAGTGGATTTTCTAAGTTATCGAAGAGCAACGATGTGTGATCGAAAGGATTGCTGGTGTGGCATGAGTGTTTCTCGTGATGACGCTTCACGACCTGAAGCGGGCGTTTTGGGAGTTTTACATTTATTTTCATTATGTTATACCTTGGACTCGACAGAAGGACACGACTATTCGTCCATCTTACTCGAGGCCTGCAACTGGAAGTGGCCAAAACATAGGGTCGTGGTGCGAGATTTTCGTAGGCTTACAATACATATTCTCTTAAATGAAATACGTGATGATACATTGATGCTAGAACATTGATGATTGAATTAAATAGTTCAGGGATATCAGCTCATCTGCTTGTTGTATGGACATAGGTATATTTGGTGTTAGCACCGGATGGACGGAGGGGAGAGAACTTGAGAATGAACCCCATCATGCTCTGTACTCATTATCGCCGTGACTCTAAGCAAGGAGCGCCTCTCCAATGAGCCGAGAATTTCCGTTCCTGAGAAAATGGTTGAAAGCAACAAGGGTCCACTTTATGTCAGCTACCAGCGGCTAATCCAAATATGGTCCGGATCATTTGGAAACGCCGACCGGGATCGGCGCGTGTTTTTCCGTAAAGCCCTGGCCTGGAAAGAGCATCACGTCGTCGCACTCCAAGCAACAGGACTTACATACCCCAGCAGCGTGGCGCAACGTCGTCAACGTCCTCTACAATCTCCTAATATCTAGATACCCTATATGCGACTTGTTTTGTTCTTCCACCGGTGTTGATCGGAACGCGACTCGACGAAGACTGCCAGCTCCAGCTTCGAGCAGCTGCTTGCTGCCACTCCTTAAACCGAGCAACTGGATCAGTTCAGTCGGCGTCCAACAACACATATTCTACCTTCTATCATCGATTCCTGCGATAGCACTCATGCTCTAGGTTGAGCTTGGGCGCTTTTCAGAACACAAATACACGTCTACACCGTCAAGGTCTGACCCGAACCCAATCACAGAGCAACTCGTTGCGCAGACGCAATGAACCCGGCACATCGCGACGGGTGGCCACCTGCGCAGCCGAATGGCCCAGGACCAGGACCACAGCAAACAGAACAAGCGTCGGGACAACCTCCACGACAGCTAGGTACATATGGGTAAGTTGCTTGCTTCACCTCTCCTCTGCAATCCTCATCAGCTATGATGAACCAAGCTGTTGCCGAATCTCCTCACGCTCCATTCGTGGATTGGATATGTGCTAACGGTGTTCACTTTCACAGGCCAGGCGCTGCCAACCAACAGGCACCCTCACATGCTTCCCCAGCGCAGAACTCGGGACCTGTCCTCCCTCCACCGTCAGGTGCGTCCCCTCACGAACTTCACTCTCGAATCCACTACTGATCTCATCTAGGAGCTCCTTTCTATTCCTCGAATTCTGCCTCAGCGCACAATCAGAATCTTCCCTCGCTCCCCGGGTTGACGGGACCCCCTCAAGCGTCACCACATCAATCTGCCCAGCGACCGCCCTCTTCAGAGTCTGGACCCAACGCACAGAATCCGCAAGGTCCTCCGCAAGGTCCTCCATACTCGCTACCGGGCATATCGCAGACCCTCCAACAGGCGCAGAATCCTGCGGCTGCGGAGAGAGAAAGGGAAATGCGCGAGCGGGAGGCTCGAGAGCGAGAACTCATGGAGTCGCATGCTGCGCAACAACATGCCGCGCAACATGAGGAGCTCATAAAGCGCGAGGCCGACCAGCGCGACAGAGAACTCAGAGAGCGCCAACAGCGCGAGCAGGCTGCACATGAAAACCACACTGGTCCTATCCAGATTCACCAGCCAGTCGCAGTAGCACCTTCGGCAAGGACCATACACGGACCCAATGGCCTTTTGGGCCAGACGGGACCTTTGGGCGGGCCGAACGCGGTCCCTGGTCCCACGAGCGGCGCGAACGCGCCAGGTGGTGGCATTTACAATGGCCCGGCTCAGCAAGGAGAGACAACCCCAAGGATGCAGCATGCAGTACAACCTCCCCCGCAGCAAACCATGCTCATGCCATTTGGTGGTCCCCCAGGAGGCCCCATGGCGGCCATGGGCCAAGGGCAACAGCCAATTCTGAATGACGCACTCAGCTATCTCGACCAGGTCAAGGTCCAGTTTGCGGATCATCCAGATGTTTATAACCGATTCCTGGACATCATGAAGGATTTCAAGAGTGGAGCAATCGATACCCCAGGTGTCATTGAACGGGTTTCCACTCTTTTCGCTGGAAATCCCAATTTGATTCAGGGCTTCAACACCTTTCTTCCTCCAGGCTACAAGATTGAGTGCGGCACAAATGGAGATCCAAACGCCATTCGAGTCACGACACCAATGGGTACAATGGTATCAACCATGCCAGCTGCCAGGCCACTGTCGCCTCCTAGAAGCACTGCGGTGAATGGAAACGCTGCTCCTGCGAACGAAAGCCCATACGAGGCACAGCAGACCCGATGGCAACAACAGCCGAGGAATCCAGGTCCTGAGCAACAAGATACCTTCTTTTCGCCTAACGGCAGGGCCCTCGGACAGCCACTTTTTGGACCGCAACAAGGCCAGCCTGCACCAACGCCTCTTTCTCCCGAGGTTAGCAATCGTGCACACCCTGATGCGGTTACCACGGCCGCAGCCATGGCTCACCAGCAAGAGCAGAGGGGCGTATCCCAACTACAGAATGCCGTCTCTGCAGCAACAGGACGTGCGGTGATGTCCCCTAGCAGAGAGCTTGGTGTCCCTCTTCCAGGACAGGCTGCCAACGGAGGCATCCAGCCTGGCCCGATGGGTGGTGTTGGCGCTGAGAAACGTGGACCTGTGGAGTTCAATCATGCGATTAGTTACGTGAACAAGATCAAGGTAAGTTCTAAGCAATGCGGCTAAACCAAATGCGAATGCATCCTAACATCTTCCAGAACCGATTCGCCTCGCAGCCAGATATCTACAAGCAGTTCCTGGAGATACTCCAGACATATCAGCGTGAATCAAAGCCAATCCAGGATGTGTACGCGCAAGTAACCACTCTATTCGGTGCTGCGCCCGACCTTCTGGAGGACTTCAAGCAATTTCTTCCGGAATCGGCTGCTCAACATCGTCAGCAACAACAGCAAGCGGCGAGACAAGCTGAAGATGCGGCTGCCTTTAATAATACACGGGAGCCAGCCTACGGACAGACACCAAACCATCAGCAAACTCCTCGTGCGGAAGCTTCGCGACTTCCACCCATGGGCAACTTTGCGCCAACGCCTACTGCGAATCGCGACAACAAGCGCAAGCGTGGCGAACGCCAGAACGCTGGACCTGCGGCCGCTCCTGTTCCCCCTCCTGCACCACAGGACGTGCCCACCTCTAACATGAGGAGCAGCTTCACACAAGGGAACATCAATAAGGTATGTCTCATTTTTCAGAATTGTCTTGTTTCATCTCGCGGTCAGTGCGTCAAACATTCATTGATGCTATTGAGATGCGTGCGCGGCACTGCTTGATTGTTCACTTCACCAGTCATTTCTGACCATTCACTTTGCCATTCACCATACCTTTCACCACACGTTTCACTTTACCTACTGCTCTTTTTCTTCCGCCATACCCTCTTATCCCATCCCCTCGTCCTACTTTTTCTGCCCAAATCCACTCCACCTTTACTTCTGCACCTCACATCATTGCTTCTACCACATCACATATCTTTCTTGCAATCATGGCGCCCAAAACTCAGCCTAGTGTTGAGCATGTCGTGCGTTCCCCGGTAGCATCATCCTCCCCGCCTCGTCCTGTTTATTTCAAGCGCGGACGGTCACCTAGTCCCGATGCCAGTGGAACCAGGAAACGATCAACAGCTAACATCGCAAAGCGCGCAAAGACAGGTCATGCTGCAAAGCAGCCCTTGGTTACGGATGGTCCACCGGTATCGCCATCACTCACACCGGCTCTCCCCGAGCCTTTGCCTCCAAGCACAACTACAAGCCCTAACCAGGAAGAGCTGGCTTTCTTCGACCGCGTGAAGAAGTTTATCGGCAACAAGAACACCATGAACGAGTTCCTCAAGCTTTGCAATCTCTTCTCGCAGGATTTGATCGACAAGAAGCTGTTTGTGGTACGCGCGCAATCCTTCATCGGCGGAAATCAGGAGCTCTACTCTTGGTTCAAGAAGTTCATGGGCGAGGAAGAAGAGCAGCAGGTCAACACTCGACCCAAGACGGTCAACTCCAGGGTATCTCTCTCGAATTGTCGCAGCCTTGGTCCCAGCTATCGCCTGCTCCCTAAGCGCGAGCGTGAACGTGTGTGCAGTGGCCGCGATGAACTCTGCCGCTCCGTTCTGAACGACGAATGGGCATCGCATCCCACCTGGGCTTCCGAGGACTCTGGTTTCGTCGCCCATCGCAAGAATCAATTCGAGGAAGGTCTTCATCGCATTGAGGAAGAGCGACACGACTACGACTTCAACATCGAGGCTTGCACACGTACCATTCAGCAGCTCGAGCCTATCGCCAGCCAGATCCTCGCACTCAAGGGAGACGAGCGACTGCATTATCGTCTTCCACCCGCACTTGGTGGCCAGAGTGAGAGCATCTACAAGCGAGTCATCATGAAGATTTACGGCCGTGAGAAGGGCCAACAGGTCATCCAAGAGCTCTTCACTCTTCCTTTCGGTGTCGTTCCGGTCTTACTCCATCGACTGAAATCGAAGTTGGAAGACTGGAAGGCCGCTCAGCGGGAGTGGGAGAAGGTGTGGCGCGAGCAAACGCAGAAGATCTTCTGGAAGTCCTTAGACCACCAGAGTCTTTCAGTTAAACAGAATGACAAGCGACAGTTCCAGCAAAAGTCCTTGTCGAACGAGATTCAGGTCCGCTACGAGGAGCAGAAGCGGATGCAGGAGATCCAGGAGCTTCCTCAACCTGATTATCAATTTGCATTCTCCTTCAAGGACGAGGACGTCCTTATTGACGTCGCTCGTCTCATTCTCGCCTACGCGGAGAACAACACCGGTGTCGACTTCGCAAAGGTCGTTCCTTTCATCAAGGAGTTCGTCCCGCTCTTCTTCGGCATTGATTCGACAAAGTTCGATCAACGGGTCCAGAGCTTTGCTCGTGATTCTTCCAGCAACGAATCTGGTGAGGACACTCCTAGTGCGGAGGAGGATACGTCCAACCGTTCACAGAAGCAGAAGAAGGGCGACCTGCGACGTGGCGTCCTTGACCCTCGTGGAAAGTCGCGCAAGGAGAAGGAAGACAGCACCGCGTCAGCTAGCCGAGATACCACTCCAGACGTGACATCCGCGGCTGAAGAAGAAGCTGCCGAGAGCTCAAATTCGAACGGCAACGGCAATGGCACCGGCGAGCGCAGTTCAGCACGATGGGTCGAGCATTCGGCTCAACCGACAGCATTGGGTGATCGGGAGCTCGAGCATGATGAGCCGTACCGCCGTACCGTGTACAACATGTACGCGAACTCGCCGATCTACTGCTTCTTCCGCATGTTTGTCTACCTGTATGAGCGACTTCTTAAGCTCAAGGAGAACGAGGATGAAGTACGGGAGACCGTCACACGCGCATTGGTGCACAAGCCGGCACACGATCTCAAGATGCTTGACAAGCAGCCCTCGGATTTCTTCAAGGACACCTCGCCTACTGCCAATTATTACCAACAGATCCTTGATCTACTCCAGGAGCAAATCCTCAGTGAAGTCGACATGGCGACTATCGAGGAGACGCTGCGACGATATTACTTGCAGTGCGGATGGCAAATGTACTCCTTCGATAGGTTGATGGGGTCTCTTGTTCGATTCAGTCTGGCAGTTGTCAGCCATGACAACAAGGAGAAGACACAAGACATCTACAATCTCTTTAGGAAAGACCGGGTCAACGAGGTCACCACACATAAGCAAGAAATCGGCTACAGGAAGGCCGTGGAGAAGTTTGCAAAGGATGCAGACACATACCGCATTGCCTACGTAAGTGAATTCGTATCGCTACCACATTGCAATCAACTGACCCAGACACAGGATCCTGCTAAGATGACAGCCTATATTCGCCTCTTCAAGAAGGACGATCCTACATTCGACCACAGTGTGTTGGACCGTGTCAAGCGCTGGCGATGCTACGTTGCTGCGTACATGGCCGTGGAACCCACCGAGGGAGTTCAGCTCAGCAAAGTGCATAGCCCTTATCTCAAGAACAAGCTGGCAAAGAGCCACGAACTCGCCGATGACGAGCGATTCGATTTGGTCAACCACTTGGATAAGATCACCGTGTCAGTTAGTCCCGCCGGGTACACCATGAAGTTCATGGCGACCGAGCCCTTCGGCGTCGGAGGAGTCCAGTATTTCGTCCAACCCGACAGGGTTCGTGCTGGAGCTACCGAAGGCCTCAAGAACCCGGAAGAGGAATACAAAGCCCTCCGAGAATCCAGGAAGGAGCGTATCCAAGAGCGCCTCGCCCGGAACACCACCTGGATGAAGGACCTCAGTCGCGACGACGTCGACGCCGTCAAGGCCGCGCTGAAGAAGGATCTCGAGGAGCCCAAGAAGGTCGATCAGCAAGCCGAGGAGGAAGACGTCGAGATGGCTGAGTCATAGAGCAAGCACTACAAGGCATTCACTGCGGGCATAACGAAAGGCGAGGGCATTGGTTTCAGTTCAGGTTGCATATTTCCCCATTACCGAGCGAACGAGACGAAGAAGACAACAATAAAATTAACATTTTCCTGGCGCATCAATCACATCATCACATGCAAGAGAGAGGGGCGGGAGTGAGAACGAGAATTCTGTATTGATGGGTTGGCTGGTTGGTATGGCAAATGGTGCAGTACCGACGGGGTTTTTCTGGATGATGTACCCCCTCTCAAGTTAAGAGGGGAGGCTGTCTTTTTGGTTCACCTTTTTTTTTCTTTTTGTTTGTTTTTCTCTTATCTCCGATTTGAGAGGACCCGAGTAAATGTGGTTTTTCCTTTTTCCTCATCTTTCCCCCTCCCTTTCTGACCTCTCCGATGCTTGAATGTCCCACAACCCATGGGGACGTGAGCTCGCGAGAGGGTTTGGCGGCGGCGGTGGTGGTGTTACTTGGCGCTTAAAAAGATAATAAGGATGAAACGGACGGATGGACGGTTTGCTTCCCTCTCTTCTCTCCATTCACAGTATTATAGTCTCAGTGTAGGCGGAACGAGAAATAAATTTCCCTCTTTCATACAGTATACAAAGTAGTAGTCTGTGGCTTTGAGCCTTTTCTTTCTCCTTGTTCAATGATTTTTTCGATGGGTAGGTGTGGTCTTCATGGAACAGTTCCAATTCATGTTCATGTACACAAGTTTAAGTCATGTATTGAATCCAATGGTTCATCAATCATCCTCTAGGTTTCGCTCCTAACATCCACTCTTCTCCTTCGCATCTTCCCATCACAGCCTCGCCACCTCCTTCTGCCCATCGTGCAGTCAAACGACATTCTTCCCCAACCACTCGACCCACTGCTCCCGCGTCCACCCACTACTAACCTCCCCCTTCTCAATCCCATCGAGCACAACCGTCGGCGTAACATGCGTACCCACCCTCCTATTCGCCCTAACCTGCACCTTCACATCATCCGTGACGCCATTCCCGGAATTCAACGCCCCGTCTTCCCCGGGCTTGTCGCTGATCTCAAGTAACTTGTACACGGCCTCCTCATCCACGCCGTCGAGGGTTCCCGCCAGCGCGGCGAGACGGCGGTACGTCTGGTTGCGCGTCTCGTTGACGACGGAGACGTCGAAGAAGGAGCGCTGGTGGGCGAAGAGGAGGGCGGAGTAGGCGTAGAAGGAGGAGGGGGAGAGGCGGAGCACGGCGTAGGCGGATTCGTGGACGAGGGTCGACGAGGGGTGCCAGGGCTGGATTTGCTGGCGGAAGATGACGTCGAGTTTGTCGGCGTACTGGCCTAGCAGGACATCGTTGCGGAAGCTGGCGTCGTTGTAGATTGTGTTGAAGATTTTCGCCGAGAAGGGGCAGACGTAGTCGAGGTCTGGGTCGGGGGTTTCTCATACGTTAGATTCACCACATACATATACATATAATGGCGGGTTCTTAGGGAGGAAGGAGGAGAGTCGACGTACATATCTCGAGCGTGTGCTTCGAAGCCGAACCGCTGCTGGAGCTGGACTCCTTGGAGGAGAGCTTCTGGCCTGCGAACTTGGGTGCGAGAGACATTGTGCTGTTTTGTTTCTCTTGTTTCTTCGGTGAGTGAGGTTTGGAGTATCGTTGTGCTCGTGTACAAATACCGAAACAATCGAACGTTCAACGGGTACTTCAATCGATGTTTACACCTCGTAGTGGTGGTGATACTTCTTATACACCTAGGTAGGTAGGTATTTAAGCTATCCTCAGTAATCAGCCACCTACTTTCTCTCTCAATATATAAATAACCACACACAATGACAATTACGAACCTTGTCTAGAACTAAAAAGATCCCCGAGGTTTAATAATCGAAATGGTACGAGTGAGCCTAGGAATGGGGAATGTTGGTTTTTCCCGGATGTCTTCGGCTTTTATGAATGGGAGGGAATGACGATGATGCGGGATTGCGCGATTTGGTGGGGGGATGTTTGTTGTTTGCTTTGCTTGCTTGTTGGAGGGGTAGTTGGTTAGCTTAGAGTAAGGTAGGGGTAGGGGTAGTTAAGGTGAAGATAAGGTTAAGGGTCTGAGAAGGTGCATGGGTTAGCTAGGTAGGCAGTAGGTAGGGGTTTGCTTAGTCTCGGTGATGTACATAGATTGACATCATTTTCTGGTCGTATTTCACGTTTGTTTTCTATTTGCTGTTTATTTGGGGGGAAGTTGATTCCAAATAACATGTTGGAAATTACCTAGGTAGACGCGTTGAGGGGTGTGTTTGGAACAATTTTCTCTGATGTGTAGAGAGTATATGTTTGCAGAGAATACAAGTTTCTAGTCTTTTCCTATTACCACTACAAAGGAAAAGAAACGCACGATTTATGTTTAGAATGATATGTTTTTACATTTCTTCATCTTGGCCAGACTAAGTACTGACAAAGTAGCTAACTACTGTACCTAAATGGAGATTCCACACAAGCCAGAGCTAAGCTGAGCAGAGCAGAGAAGGCGCATCCTTCCATGTTGTTTCAATCTAAGCTAGATTGTGGCTCGCTTTGGATCTGATGGAGAGCCCGTACCTTAATTCCTTCCTTGACATTTTTCTTTCCCATTTCGCGTCGTTCGTTTGCAACATCGATTGAAGGGCGTGTGAATCTACAACTTGAAACCCTCAATGTACTTCCGCGCAATCTCGACGCCCTCGTCAACCTTGTCTGCATTCGTGCCCTGACCGACGGCGGTAGGAGCACCAGGCTTGCCACCTGCCTTGCCGCCGATGACTTTGGCGACTTCGGAGGCCCATGCGGGGCCTGAGGCGCCGGCGGCGGTGTATGCCTGTGGGTAGAGTCAGTGTCAAACTTCTCGACATGCGAAATATTAGATGGGGCGTTTGGTACTTACCTCTGCGACGTAGCATCCGTGGACGACCTTCTTCTCGTCCTCGCTGGCACTGACGAGGTACACAGTCTTGTCCTTGATGCTGCTCTTGGGTCCGCTGACGACCTTGATGGCGTCGCTGATGGCCTTGCTGACATTGGACGACCAGTCGAGCTTCTGCACCAGGACCTTCTCGGCCTCGTTCTTCTCGAAGAAGCCCGTGATGGAGTCGAGGACGCGCTTGTTCTCTGCCTTGGCGGCGGCCTTCTGCTCGTCGAGGATCGACTTGAGGATCTTGGCGAAGCGGTCGCGGAACTGGTTCTTCGTGATGGCGGAGATGGTGAGCTGGTTGAGCTGGACCTGGAGCTTCTTCGCCTCGGCCTCCTTCTCGGCGCCGAACTTGAGCTTCTCGAGACGCGTGAGCTGCTGCTCGAACTCGGAGGCAAGGCGCTGCACGTCGTACGCTTCCTGGCCGGTCACGGCGACGATTCGGCGGATGCCCTTGGCGATGCCGGACTCTTCGAGGATGATGAGCTCCTTGATCTCGCCGGTCTGCTTGACGTGAGTGCCACCGCAGAATTCTACGGACACCTTCTCCCAGGCCTCGTTCTTGACGTCTGCGAGGAGGTCTTCGACGGACACTCCGACGGAGACGACGCGGACCGGGTCTGGGTAGGTCTCGCCAAAGACAGCGCGCACGCCTCTGATCTCGCGGGCAGTCGCGAGAGGCACGTCCTTGGCGAAGACCTCGGAGTTCTGACGGATGTATTCTGTCGAGATCTTCTCGATCTTCTCGAGTTGTGCGGGCTCGATGCCAGATTTGTGCGAGAAATCGAAACGGAGCTTCTCGGGGCTGACGAGGGAGCCCTTCTGGTCGACCTCGTTGCCGAGAACCTCACGGAGAGCGTAGTTGAGGACGTGAGTACCCGTGTGGTTGTTGCGGATGGGGTGGCGACGGAGCTCGTCGTACTCTGAGATGACCTCTGAGCCAACGCTCAACTCTCCCCATTTGAGGTAGCCGGTGTGGAGGACGTAGCCGGCGTAAACCTGCACATTGGCAACATCGAACTCTCCGTCGTCCTCGTGGAGGAGATGGCCAGTATCGAACTCCTGACCACCTTGCTCGGCGTAGAAGTTTGTCCGGTCAAGCAGAACACCAAATTGTTCGCCCTCGGGGACCTCCTTCGTGCTCTTGAGGAACTTCTTGTTGTGATATATCGCCTTGATGGTGGATGTGATGTTCTCGCGACCGAACTTTGCGGAGTCGTCCGTCTTTGGAACCTCGGTCATGCCCTCCAGAGCGCTGAGGTCGTGGACGTCGAACTTGACAAGAGCAGCCGTGGCCTTCTTGTCACCCTTGCTAGCCTCACGTGCCTTCTCTTGGGCCTCCTCGACCTCCTTATCGTTGATATTAAGTCCGCGCTCCTCAGCCATCAACTTAGTCAGATCGACAGGGAAACCGTAAGTGTCGTACAATCGCCACACATCGTCTCCAGGAAGGTCATTCGATCCCTTGACCTTGGCCTTCTGTGCGTACTTCTCGAACATGATCTCACCACGGTCGAGAGACTTGGCAAAGCTCTTCTCTTCCTCGTCCAGGATCTCCATAATATCTGTCTGCTTCTTGCGGATCTCAGGGAACATGTCACCCATCTGTTCGACGAGGTGTGGGACGATCTTGGAGAAGAAGTCGCCAATCTCCACCTCGAAGTACTTGCGAGCGTAGCGCGCACCTCTGCGAAGGACACGACGCACGACGTATCCTCGGCCAACGTTGTTGGGGACACCTCCGTCGGCAATTGCAAATGTGAGCAGTCGGACGTGGTCGGCGACCACACGGTAGGCGGTGTCGAGACCATCGGGATCCTCTGCACCGAATTTGCCCCTGTACTCTCTTGCGCCCGTGATGTCCTGGATCACCTTGAAGATGGGAGTGAAGACGTCGGTGTCGTAGTTGGACTTCTTCTTCTGCAACAAGCAGACCAATCGCTCGAAACCCATACCGGTATCGACGTGCTTGTTCGGAAGAGATCGCAATGATCGGTCGGGCTCGCGGTTGTACTGGATGAAGACGTTGTTCCAGATCTCAATGACCTCTGGGTCGTCCTCGTTCACCAAGCTTGCGGCATTCCTGTACACGCCATTCTCAGGCTCACGCAGGTCGTAGTGGACCTCGGAGCAGGGGCCGCAAGGGCCCTGATCACCCATCTCCCAAAAGTTGTCCTTCATGTTTCCAGGCAAGATGTGGTCCTCGGGAACGCCGACGCTCTTCCACAGCTCCTTGGCCTCTAGATCAGGCTCGAGTCCGTCTGAGCCCTCGAAGTATGTGACGTATAGCCTGTTGGGGTCGATGCCATAGACCTTGGTCAGAAGCTCCCAGCTGTAGCCTATGGCCTCCTTCTTGAAGTAGTCTCCAAAACTCCAGTTACCCAACATCTCGAAGAAGGTGTGATGGTAGCTGTCCTTGCCGACATCGTCGAGATCATTGTGCTTTCCACCGGCGCGAATGCACTTTTGCGAGTTGGCGGCGCGCTTGAGTTGTGCGAAGTCGGAGGCGGGGTCGACAGTGCCCAAGAAGATGGACTTGTACTGGTTCATTCCAGCATTTGTGAAGAGGAGAGTAGGGTCAGAGAGGGGAACGACAGAGGAGGAGGGAACTATGGGTTGTCAATTGATATGGACTGGATGTGGTCATTGTGGTTGCGCAGCGCAGTGGTGGAGGCAAGATGGATCAGACGTAAAGATGTGGATGATGAAGAGAGAAACAAGGATATGTACCGAAAGTGTGTCCATTTTTCTTGAAGAAGTCAAGGAAAGTATCCCTAACGCGCTTCGCACCCCACTCGTGCTTCTCATCGACGAGAGACATGGTGCGAGTTCCTCTGGACCAGCGGGGTATCGCGAGGGAGGATGTGTGGTGGCGGGGTATTCTTGGTGTAGCAACAGTGCGCAGTGACGATAGTGTTCGCCTGTGTAATGTGCAATTGCGAAGTGCGAGTGGCGAGGACGACTTGGGAGGTTGTCGCAGTGGGGTTGGTGTTGGCGTAAGAAAAGTGGAAGAAGAAGAGTGTGAGGTGGTAAAAGTTAGAGTAGTAGTAGTAGTAGTAGTTGGAGTAGTCGGCTTAGTAGAAGATGTGAAGGACCTCGATATCTCTGATCGGCCGTGACTCAGAGGGTTCCTATCAGAACCACAACCCCTACAACGGCCACCACCGCCACTATTATTATTACTACAAAGGCTATAAGCAGAACCAGTCGCAGTCGCAGCGGCAGTGATAGTGGTGGCAGCAGTGGCAGTCGATCTGCGGTGCAACAACAGCATCAAGACGCAGAGCCAGCTTTTCTCCGATGCAAGCCGAGCGAACGAGTGAAGAATGTATCAATTGAGCGCGGCGGCACGGAGCAGTAGTAGCAGTAACTTACTGTGTAAGGTACGAGTAGAAGTAGACCAGTCAAGCAGGCGACCAATAAATTATTACCCTCTCGAATGAACGGTCGATGGGAGGGACAAAGATTAGGCAGGGTTTCTCCTCCGCAGATGCGCTATTGTACGATACGCGACACGCGCTTGCAGCCGTTGAACGACGAATGGATGGATGAACGGATAAGTGGAGAGCTGGGGGATGGACGGAAGAGGATTGTAGAAGTAGAGTGAGCAATTGTTTCGTACATGTGGTGTCGATGAGGAAGAGGGATAATCATTCGATTAATTACAGTACAAAATAGTGAGGAATAATAGGGAATAGTATCTACAGGCGGGTGGTGACATGGCACCAGCGCAGACCAGACCAGACCAGACCCGACCAATAATTGTCTCGAGTCTACTATTCAGTTTCCATAACTACCTATGTCTATGTCTTAAGATCTGTATGTTTTCACCTCTCTCTCCATTATTTTATTTTCTTGTCTCCACCGCTATGATGTTATGTTCGGTTGGAATGTTACAGAGAGGGTGTCTGATCGGCGCGGGAATGGAGGCATGGTAGAATCACGGGGATTCGTTCGGATTCGAGAAAGTTCGTCCTCCCATAGTCGAAGAATCGATCCTCTCCGGACCCATCGACCCTGCAGATACTACAGTAGATAGATAAATGTCCCTGGCCTGACTCTGAAGCTTCCTTCTTTTTCATAGATATCCTAAATATTACCTACGTATTCTACACTTCAAGACAAGCCAATTCCTCTTGAACCAATCCGGACAGAACTAGCTCTTACTCTCCCCGCATCTTCATCCACCACTACCAACACTTCAATCCTACCACTACACTACCAACAACACCAATCTCAAGAAGACAACCACAGTCCGGCCTTCAATAATTCCACGCTGGACACCCCATAGAACAGAAGTCACCTACCAATTCAGTCACAACCCCAAAGACAATTGAGACCATCCACCCGGCGCACGCCTGAGCGGTGGAATGCACGATACGGCTGAGCTCACATCATAACACCTCGACATCTCCAACCTCACAAACCACACCCCCAATGTCCACCTTAAGCGCCACAATCCCCTTCACAACGCACCCACACTTCCCACCTGCGCCGCGGGCGGCAGCAGCAGCAGCATCAGAACCAAGCCCCCATGGCAAGAAGCGGCCGGCCGACAGCTCGCTGGAGAACGAGCAGCGCCTGAGCAAGCGTTTCGACCTCCTCAACCTAGGTATGTCTCCCCCGAAACCACAAACATACAACATGTCATACAGATACTAACGAACTTATGTAGATAAAAACGGTTCCCTCCTCTACATCCCCGTCCCCGGCTCCTCCGACCCACCCCAACCCTCCTCCTCCTCCTCCTCCTCCACCTCCACCTCCCTCACAAACTACAACACCACACAGCCGACATCCCTCTCCGCCCCCGTCGTCCCCTCAAAACCCAAACGACACACCCACCACCACCCTCCCTCCCTCTCCTCCGACTCCGACTCCATGGACCTCGACCTCGACCCCTCCCTCTCCCCCCTCTCCTCCACAGACGCAGACGCAGACACAGAAACCATCGAATCAACACCCACGCACCCCATCTTCCTCCCGGACATCGAAAAACACCTCTCCAAGATACCCACGCACGTCCTGCGCGGCGAGGGGCGGGAGATACACCACATGCTCTCAACCACTCCCACCCCCACGATTGCGGGAGGCGAGCTGCAGGCGACGAGGGATAATCAGTTGGTGTTGTATAGTATTCCTGGTAGTCTGACGGTGCCGGAGGAGCAGGATAGGGTGAGGAGGGCGATTGCGGAGGCGAGGAGGAGGATGAGGGAGAGGGTTGCTGTTGGGGATGTTGGGGGGGATGGTGGTACGGGGGAGGCTACTGGGGGTGGAAGGGAGGATGAGGGGGAGGGGGAGGGGGAGGATGGGGATGCGATGGATTTGGATTGAGTGGGTGAGGAAGTGGGTGGTGTTTTTGAATGTGTGCGTTTTTTTTAGCGGGATATGGAGTTCATCATTTATATACGGAGTATCTCGTAGTAGAGGTATGGAATTCATTTTTATACGAGTGAGACTTGGTCGGAGCAGAAGAAGTAGAAAGTAACGAGAAGGTATTATTTCAATAAGGAATTCAGATTCAATCAAATCAATTGAATATTAAGTTCAAATTTCATGAAGCTTTAGTCATTATGATTGACGTTACCCATGCATGACCTGTAGGAATGGTGGGAATGGCATCGTTGAAGGTACTCAAACTCATCCACATACACCCCTTAGTGTGTCATTTGGTTACATATCTCGATTCAACCCGTCATTTACGATGTTGTAATGATGTTCATATTGCTTAACAACGCTCTGCTTTACTCTGCTCAGCTCTACTATCCATACTATACTGATCCAACAATGATATCCCATATCCCATGTTCCCAACTCCAAAAATGCTAATGTACCCCCCACATGGAAAAAAAAAACCGTATAAGATACAAGCGTAAAATCGCTCCCCTGCTCTCTGAGCCAGCCCTTATATGATCGAATAAATGGTAGTGATATGTTGCTTCAAAAACGCCGGTTTGTGTATGCTTTCTCCCCTCTTCCCTCTCTCCCTTTTCCTTTCTTCTTTTTTTGTTTATTATTTTTTTTTGGTTAGGTGGAGGGGGCATGTCCTTATCGACGGAACCTGTCCATCAGCCCCGCCACCCTCGTCTTCGCATTCGCCGGCCGTTCAGGCAGTTGTCCCGCCTCGACATCCCCACCCTGCCACTGCTGCTGTCCTCCCTGCTGCTGTGAACTCGACCCTCCCACGACGCCGCTCTGCTGTTGTTGTGCTGGCGGTGGTCCCGGCGGAGGGGGGACACCGTACTGCGGCATCTCCATCCCCTGAGGAGCTCCTCCCGGGTACATCTTCGCCGCGCCGTTCGGGTTGCCGCCAGGTGGGGCGTAGTAGCTAGGCGGCGCGTCGTGAGCGTACGTCGGAGGCGGCTGGGGCCATGTGCCGTCTGGTCGTTGCTGGGGGGGTGGGCCGTACGGGTGCTGGTGCTGCGGGGAGTAGAATGTGAAGTGGTTCTGGGGCTGGGGGTTGTAGTGGCGGCGGGGGACGAGCCACTGTATTGCGCGTTAGCTATCATTCAATGATATGCTTCATTGGGGGAAGGATGGAGGAGGATGGGTAGAGGAGGAGGGAGAGGAGGGGAAGGGGGAAAGACGTACGCGATGGTATGCGAGGAGAGGGAGACCCTTTTTGATGCGCCGCTTCGCGTGGATGTACCCGCCGACGAACCAGAGCATGAAGAAGCCGAAGAAGCAGGCGAAGATGACCCATTTGATTATTATGCCTTTCTGTTCGTTCGTTCTCGTTAGACACACACACAATTGATGGGTAGTTGAAAGGGGAGGGGAGGGGGACTTACATCTGTGTACCAGAATCCGTCTCGGTAGCATGATATGGATCCGTCGCCGTTCCTGAAGCATTCGTCTCTCTTGTCGAACACCATGATGGCGAGCAGTGATGGTGATGAAGGGTGTGTATCGATGAACGCGAATGTATCAATTGAACAAGCAGAACGAAAAACGAAAGATAAATCGAACGGCAAGAGTGAAGTCGCCTGAACAGGCTACAATAAAGTGTGTGTCGTGGAGGTGGCGTAAAGGGATGAAAAGCCAAGAAGTCGATGTGAGGGTTTGCGAATCGATGGACCAGGGGGGCACGACGATTTTAACCCTTTTCCCCTTCCTCTCTGATGGAGAGAGGCGCAATGGATATAATAAAAACACCGAGGGGTGCGTAACTCTTTTGCTCCCTTCGGTCAAAGCAAGCGCTGGTCTTCCGAGCGTTGAGGGCTTTTTGTCTCGCGGCCGCTGGAGCTCCTACGATTGGTGTCTCAAGAGCGTCGAAGAATGTTGGAGTACGGGGTTGCCGGCTATCCTGGGGACAGGGGTGGTGGTCGGATATAAGAGGATGGGGATTCGAAAGCCGCGGATGCGATGGCTTTGAATGTCTGATAAATATATTATATGAGATATAAGATGATATTGATGAGAGAACAGTAAAGAAAGAAAAGAGAAAGCAACGGACTTATCAAAGAAGGGATGGGAAGATGTTGGATGTTGTGGCTGGACTCTGGAGAGGAAGAGAGGGATGGGGGTTGGGGGGACGTCGATCTCGGGCCAATCAGAGGCCGTTGCTGCAGCCACTCGCCTTGCATCTGCATGAATTCCGTCGTCTCCACCTCCCCCAAAGCTTGGCCCTTACGTATCATCCCATCGACACCTTCATACACACACACGAAGACGAATAGATAGATACAGCACAAGAAACATTGCAGATAATCGCATTCAATTCTCATCATTCTCTCTCCTCCTGTTTTCCTGTTCCCTTCGATCGAAACGTGTGTGGAGTAGTTCAGTGCAATCGATACCAACCCAGCATATACCCATCCATCTCTCTTTCGTCCGCACGTACCGTCTTCCAGAACATACGAGTTCCAATCCGCCCTTCCCCCTTCCCGTACCGCCTCCTGTAATGTAGGTAACCCAGTCTCTAGTCGTACATAGACATCAACAGTCTAGAATGGGAAGTGCAGCCTCAAATCTCCATCCATGCAGCTATCACCCAAATGATGGGTACCTTGCTGCATGTCACTCACATGTGTGGGGCCGTCCTCGAGTGTGTGCGTGTGTGTATGTGTGTGACACGGGTGCGCGCGTGTGTGGCGCAGCAATATATATGCTTCTTCCCGTTTCAAGCCTTTCAACACATATCACTAATTACGGATACTGTCAAACCCGATATCAGCATTTCACAGATGTTTGGCAAATGGATGAGTTACGTGTTTGATAAAGGTTTTCTTCTCTTCTTCTTTTTTTGGCTTATTTATTCAATGGTTCTGTCTATCCTGGGTTTGGTGAGCTCGTGGGCTCCTGCATTTCCCGTTCCAATCCTACCTCGCACAAGGGGCGAATGACCCCGTGTGGATGATTCCATCTCTGACCCTTGGTTCCTTTCCTGAACCACAACCCCTGGAGGGCTGAAATGCCTTGCTGTAGACGTACAAATCAACCGTCGCCCAACCATTCTCGCGATGTAGCGTTCATGGCTCAATGCAAAATTATAACAAAAAAAGTAGTGCTTGCGCAAGAGGAAAAGCAGCGAGAAGCTGATGACAGAGGCTCAAAGTGGGAGAAAAGAGGAAAATGAAAAGGAAGGAAGATGAACAACCAATGATGTGGTATCGTGCCCAGTACGTAGAACTCCGCGCACAATCACTCGGGGCCAACTGCACGGAATATGTTTCCTTCTCGTCCAGTTTCCGCCGAGCAACTCCATGCGCCCCTATAATCATGAGAACGATGGACTCCTACCCGTGCTGATTCCCGCCTCTCCTAAACAGATACGAGGCGAAATTTTTTCTTCTGAGAAAATACATGATGGTGAAAGGGAACCAAGGAAATCTAATGCAGTAAATTGCGCAGTGATGGGCTTGCGCTCGCGCCCGTAGTGGCTCGCTCTTGTGGGACAGTCGTTGGCGGCGCATCTCTCATGATCGTATCCCTGGGCGTTGATGGTCGCACCGCGCCCGGGACAGGGCTCCCAAGGTGCAGTGGGGGATACTGCATTGGCGGTGGCGGTGCATTGAAAGGGCTTTCGGTAGATCGAGATGAACCGTGCGCGTGAGGGTGAGTTGGTGAATAGGGCACCCGGGGGGATGGTAGGCCGTTAGAGTTCGTTCCGTTCAACATCAATCCGTTACTGCCATTTAGGTGGAGGGGAGCGGGTCCACTAGGCGGTGGCAGAGGCATCTGAGGAGGAGGAGCAGCGTATCTCGAAAGAACAGGGGGTAGAGAGGGTCCGTGTCCTGGGTTCGAGAAAGATTGGATCGGATGCAAAGAGTACGGAGAATGGAATGACGAAGGAGGCCCGAGTGGAGCACCAGAAGGAGGCTGATGCGATATACCGTTGAGTAGAGCAGAAGGACCTGGCGGTGGAGGTGGTGGAGGGGGAGGAGGCGGTTGCTGCTGTGGTGGTCCGCTCGAGAACCAGTTCACAGGCGGGCCTGGCTGGTGGGGAGGATGCAAGCTTCGAGCGTCTGGCAACCAAGACCCGATGGCGGGGGGAGGCGGCGGGGGCGGTGGTGCGATGGATGCAGCAGCTGGCTGGACAGGCGGCGACTGGAGTGGCAACGCCTTGGGTGGCTCAGGAAGAGCGGATTTCGACCTCTCGCGCTCATCAGAAGTTTCTTCCGATGGGTGGCTCTTCTTCCAGTGACACTTATGACAGAGGTAGCTAACCGATCGTGGATCAGACACGGCGGTATCAACCCTGAGCTGGCTGGAATGGTTGACAGGGCGTACTGGTGGTGCGTCTGTCATGATGTGATCAATGGACCCATTCACGCCTCGAGAATTGTCCCCTGGCAGTGGGCGCTCTGGCGGAGATTTAAAGGCCATCTCGATTCCGTTGATAGCGGATGATGATTCGGCTGCAACGGCAGGCTTTTGCGATTCGTCAATTTTCCACCACCTGGGGCTATCTCCGATCTTGCATCGCTTGCATTGCAGGTCTGCTCTGGGGGCAAACGACTCGGTGGAATCCTCTTGCTTGGTGATAATGCTTCCGATCGATGGGCGCCCGCGAGCAGAGGTCGGTGTTTGGCTAGGGATAGTCGATGTTCGGCGACCATTCTGCGCCACACTAGACAACTGAGGCACAATTCGGGTCGATTGATCTACCATATTGGCCTTCCGTGCCGTTCCTGTGAGAGTCAAGTCTGCTTGCTTGAACTCGCGTGCGAACAATTGCAAGGCGACAAGATCGGTGCCTTCCACTGGCTCGTTCATTGGGTGGACAACATTCTTAGGTGCATGGTCTTTGCACCATATGGCAGCCATCATAGTGCCAGTCTCGCCGTTAAGAGTAACGGTTGGAACTGTGTCTCGGCGGGTCGCTTTGACGGGGGTGATGTCAAATCCAAAAGTGTACCCCGCTTCATGCGCACAGCCGACATGGAAAGTACCGTGACACTGCAAGCACGATACGCACGCGCCTTTTGCAGACTTGCAAAGCTTGCAAATAGCATCGTAACGGAGCGTTGGGGCACCTATGCCTTCAACCATGTCTAGCCGAGAAGGGCTCGTGAATTTCGTCTCGGGAGTCCAAAGCGCACAATACACATGCACCCAGTTGTTGTCCGCTGTACGCTTGAGAGGATCACGAGGAATCAATGGCCGGCCTTTCTCTTGCTGTTTGTGCCGATATTCGTCTTTGGCCTTATCAACCAGCTCTTTCTCCAGCCGCTCTTTCTCGCGCTCTCTCTCACTCTTCTTTTTATGTGTGACCTTCGGCGGCTCGTAAAAGTCCTGCTCCACCGGTTTCTTGGGGCAAAGAACACACTCATAATTCTACCAATTGTTAGTAATGTCAAAGGCTGCATGGGAGTCATAAAACTTACGTAAGACACGCTTTCCTTCTTGTCGTTCTTGCAGGTGTCACAATACCATTTCGAATGTCGCCCTTCGTCCACGCCATAACAATACTTGTGGACCGTCAAGCGGCAGGCCGCACACTCTACACGTTGTCCGTCTGACGAAAAGCATACTGCACAGGGGAGGGGCCTTAGTCGCGGTGGTGACGGAACAATCGGGGGAGTGGGAGGTCGAGGCGGCGGCGCTGGCTTTTCTTTCTCTTTCTTCTTCGGAGCGACGACTGGCTCTGGGAATGGCGTCGAAGAACCGCTATCGCCAGCGGCGGCAGCAGCAGCGGCAGCGGCAGCGGCAGCAGCAGCAGCGGATAACTTTTGCTTTTTCTTTGGTGGTTCCGCTACTGGCTGTGGTGTGGCGACCGGCTCTTCAATATATTCAGGAGTGCTGTTGTGTCCGCTTCCCTCATTGGTAGCTGTCAACACTTCTTTCAAGAGCTCTTCGTCAATTCTCCTCTTCCAAGCCTTGCCTCCTCCCTGTGCCACTTTCTTTGCGATCTCGTCTGTGTTCTCCCATTTCACGGCGTATTTGCGCCAGAGGCCTGCACAGCGCTGACATAAAGCCAACAACGTCCCTGTCGACGAGTTGGTTTTACTGACTCTCCCATCCGGGGGAACTGTTTGGCCAGGAGATACATTGGGCGCGCGACGCCACTGTCGCGAATATCGTGTGGAGCAGAATTTACACTGGAAACCGCGTTTGCGTTCCGCTGCCTTTTCATTGTCAAAAGCCGAGTCGTCGTGGTCGTCCGCGACATTGTCGACCAGGCGGGACTGCTGAACATCGCTTTCGGCTTTCTTGTTTCGTCCCTTGCGGTTTGTGTACGACCCCCAAATCTCCCTACCCTTTGGCGTCTTTTTCCACATGTAGTAATAGCGTACGGCGTCGCCATAAAACATATTCTTGCTTGTATGCATACGAACGCTTCGGATTTCAGAGCCGAATTTGGAAACCCCCTCGTTCCATTTCTTTTCCTCCTCCTTGGTCAGTTCAGGTTCACGCAAATCTTTACGCTTGTCTAGCTTTTTGACATGCTTGAGCGCCACATCGGCGTCATATTGATGTTTTGCGAAAAGAGCCAGGCACTTATCCAGGAAGTTGGTCGAATATGATGGGACGCCGACGTGTCCTGCAAGTTTCTTTGCACGATCCATGTACGCCTCTAGTTGTTCCTCGGTGACGGTGGGGGCGTTGTCTTCTCCACGCGTGGAGTGGACTCCGAGTGGGGGCATCTTGAACATTAGTTCCGCGGTGCACTTTGAGTCTTTGTTTGGGTAGTCCTCGCCCCGGCGCACGTAACCGGGGGGTTCATCCATGACCCATTTCGGCCTCTTCGCCCTCTCGGCCTTGTCTGCCTCCATGGCTGCGACCGTCTCTTTGGATAATTTCGTCTCCTTCTTGTATCCGGGGCCTTTGATGTAGCGTTTCTTAATCTCTGCAGGCTTTACCAGTTCGATGGGGCGGCCGTGCCAAACATTAACGTTGGCTTGATGGCGCGGACCCAGCCTGGAGCTGGCACGAGGGTAGATCGCTCTATCGTCGTACTGCAACGCATCCTCTACGCGACAGTGGATGCCGAGGTATCGCATAGGCCACATCTTCGCGAGCGCAATCTCCGCCTGTGTGGCTGGATGTTGGTCGGTTTGAGAGTCGGAGTCATTGGGAGAAGGCGCAGTGGTTTCGCCGCCAGCATCTTCTTCCTCCTCATCTAGCATCTCTTCCTCGTCGCCATCGTCGTTACCGGACCCCACCAATGGGGTTCGACGAGCCTCGAGTTTCTTCTCTTGAGCCCTACTGCAGGGTGCACAGGCCCAAGCGAAACCACGTGACGGCTTCTTCAGGAGCGGAGGTCGCACACAGTTCATGTGATAAGTCATGCGGCAAACGGCGCACTCAACGGAATCGTTACTTTGAGAAGTTAGTATCGTAATGTCTCGAAATTTGCGATTCGTGATTGGGAAGGTGGTACTTACGACGCACAAAATCCCACACATCGCTTGCAGGTTTTCACTGCGCTGGTGAGTTCTTTGACGCGGCTCGTCTCCAGGCAGATGTATTTCCATCGCTCATCCAGAGCCTTTTTGACCTTCTCCGGCACGTTGATGACCTGCGACGTTGGAATTACATCGTACCAGCGATGGATGAATCGATCGAAAAGTTGGTTGTACCAGAAGCTGTCCTTGGTTTTCCGGTACTCATCTAAATTGTCGATTTCTGATCGATGCGTGATGTGGCATATGCCTCGCAATGAAGTCAGAGGGCATATGTCTGAATGCATTGTCGCATAGACAAGACGCGTATCGTTGTTGTAGCGTCCAACGTCGCGCGGACGGTAAAACCAATTCACCCTGATTGAGTCGACACGAGCTTTTGTGTCGCCATTGACGTGGAGGAACTCCATTACCCTGCAGAGATAGTAGGGTTCGCCCGGCGGTTCGCAGACGAGATACACCTGATCTAGGAATGGTTAGCACATGATATTGCATTATTAGGGGGAGAAATAAAATAATAAAAATAATAATAATCGGGAACAAATGAAAGGGAATGATGAATGCATACCATCAACAGATATTATTTGGCCATCGTCTGCTTGGAGATGGCCGTCTTTGAGCAGGGCGCCGGTCTTCGCAAAAGTCATCATATTGGACTCGCGCGTATTATTGGCGGCTATGATGGCATTACTGCTCGCGGCCGGACGCCTCGTAACCGCCTGGCTTGGCGCAGCACCATTCGCATGATTGCCATTCGTAGCATTCGTGCCTGCGGCGTTTTTGCGTCGCTTTGGCTGCTGTGTGGGATTAACGGCTGGCTTTGCAGCAAAAGCTGACGTTCCAGGAATATTCACATTTTGGGGTGTATTGTCCTTTTGGTTGGGACCCCCATTATTGCCCCACGGCGCATTGCCCTGTCCAGAGCCGGGGCCTTTCTTTCCACTCACACCTGCCGACTGTCCGCTGTCTGTAGCCACCGAACCACGCGAGGGCGGCTCTGAGTTGTTTCCATTTGTCGCCGCGGGTGCCATCTCAAAGTCCATCTCCACGCTGTCTTCTGCATAGTTGATGCGGGAGCGCCCTGGCCGGTTACGCGATCGCGTTCCGTACGGCGCGGCAGCCGCCTCTCCTGTAGTATCCTTCGGTGTCGCCTGCGAAGACGCATCCGCTGACGCAGTCGCCGCCTGCGCGTGTTGCTGGTGTTCAGACTCGGCGGGCGTGTTGTTGGACGACTGCGCGGAGGCCTGGCGGGAGTCCGAGGCCGCAGCGGCGGGTGTCGAGTTTCTCCTGGAGGAGGCCTTGCTTTGCGCTTTCGACGTAGGTGGGTGCTCTGGGGAATTGTTGGATTTGGCAGAGCCTTTTTGCGCGTCTGCGTCGTCGCGCGCAGGATTGGGGCTTGAGCGATTCACTGGCTTGAAAGAGCCAGACTCGCCTCCGCCATTCCGCACGTCGACCATGGCGATGGCTTCTCCCAATTACGGGCGAATTCACCACAGAAAACGATTTGGATAGACGGCAGCGAACCCACTAGGGAGTGAATGCGTGCCGTCGTTGGGAGCAAGTGGTCGGGTGGAGACCGTAGTGGTTGGATATCAAGGCCGCATAGGGAGCCTATATGGCGCATGCATCCAAAAAGTCGAGGATGGGGGGAGAGGTGGAAAACTGAAATGGTCGAGAAAGTGGGTGGGAGGGTCTGATATGGGCGGAACACGGGTGATGTTGGTTAGCCCCAAACAGAAATTATGGGATTGGGGGGAAGGGGAAAAGGCGTGGTGGGCGTGAGACGGGAAAGTTGGATATTCGTGTGAGTATCGAGAGAAAAGTTGAGGAGTAGAGAAGGAGAAAGGAAGAAGAGGAGGAAAGGGAGGGGGATGGAGGATATAATGGAAGACGAAAGTGGAGGGCGGCGTGAGTGTGGTAGAGTAGGTTAGGTATAGTGAGGTGAGGTGGTGAAGAAGTATATAGTTCAGTGAAGTGTGGGTGGTGAAAGGTTGTGGTGAAGTGTGATGTAGAGTATAGAGTTGAGTTGAGTAAAGTTGGGTGGAGTGGAGTGGAGTGTAAGAGGGATGGTTGTAGGAGGGTAGAAGAAGTGGAAGAAGTGGAGAGGAAGATGGAGAGAGATGAGAGAGAGACAAGAGAGTAGAGGAGTAGAAGAGAGAGAAAGTAAGTGCACTGGGCTAGAAGTAGGTATGTGTGTATCAACTAGGAAGGGAAGGGTAGGCGGCCGGAATACTCTACTCTAATGTGGCTGGTGCGTGCTCATCGTACACCCGAGCCAAAACGTGTGGGAGAGGCAGAGAGTAGTTAGTAAGTAAGAGGAGAGAGGAGGGGGAGAGAGAGGAGAGGGAGCGCGAGAGAGAAAGGATGGATGATGATTGATTGGGAGTGGGAGGACGAGGAGGAGAGAGAGGAGAGGGTAAGAGAGAGTATAAGAAGAAAAAGGTACCAAGAACGGAGCGATCAGAGCGAATAATGCGTTGGACGTTGCTCTACTCTCCATTCTCTCCATTCTATCTCTATCTCTATACACGTATTCCGTACATGCAGATACATCTACAGTCATGCACGCGCACAATGTCTCCCCATCTCGACGTACTCTTTTCTCTCTCGTTTTTCTCATATGAAAGCATGCACACCAGAGTTGCTCCTTTGCGGCATTGGATATTGGGGGGTGATGAAGGAAAATAGACTAACTACACAGTAGCCAAAAGCCCAGCCCAGGGACTGGATCTTCGTTTTCCTCTTGGTCGGGACAAATGAGCAACGAGGAACGAACAAATAGTAATGAGCGACGAGCAAATCATGAATGATGAACATTGATGCCATTCATCCATCCCATCCCATCCCCATTGTTCTCATCCCATAGCCTGACCCGACCGATCATAGTTTATTACCAGTCTATGCTATCCCGCGCGTTGTCCCCTACCCTTTTCCTCCTACCCTACCCTACCCTACCGTACCCTTACCCTACCACACTCACTGCCACTGCCACTAATACCCTGCCCTACCCACTCACTCTAACCTAACCGCACGCCACGACACGACGTCCTCGCATCCAGCTCGAGCAATATTAATAATAATCGCCATCCTTCTCCTACCTTTTTCATGGTGAACAATTCGGAGTTGAGTTGTATCCATCTTCTCTGACATATATTCCCGCCCTTCCTCCACAGCTTATCCGTTGCCCCCTAAATCGCTGCCTTGCTATGTCGTTCCCTACTAGGATGATGGCCCTGACGATGCTCGACGTCGCTGCATTCGCGCAACGTACCTCGTGTCCAACGAACGCCTCGAATCAAGGTATCCGCACCCGGACACGACAGCACATCTGACGCGGTCCAGCGATTCCAGTCAAAATGGGTAACTATCTGCCTCGATTCCTGCCGCCCCAAGAATAAAGGCCATGTTGCATGCACGTGAGAAATATTTAATCGATGGGTGGACAAAAGGGCGACATAATTCGACCTTAAGGTTCCATGGCATGGTTAGAAAATTCCATCATGAGGAATTACGCATTCCCCCAATTTCCATCTCCTATGGGCATTCGCCTTGCAGCAATCTATCCGGATAGCTGGAAGGCCCAGCGAGGCGAGGAGACGATGAAGGTCAGTGCCAAGGCCCGTCATGATGGCGCTAAAGTTCGATCCCCGTCGAGCCTTAAAACACACGACGACGCCCATGACCGGCCCATAACCCATACCCATACCCATACCATACCCAGTCCCATACCCAGTCCCATACCAATACCCAGCCATAACCCATAGTTATCCATACCCGTAACTCATATCCTCCCTCTCCCTCCCACACATGCTCACACTCATACTCATACTTACACACACATGCCCATACCCGTCCTCTCATACACAGTAGTCATACCCTTACCCTAACCACATCACCGCCGACCCCCGAAACAATATCATCATCCCACACTCCCTCCCGAAGTGCGCCTTGAACAGAGAGAGACTTTCAATCATCAAGAGCATCAATTCTTCATCATTCGCATGGGCCAATTTCTCAACTCTGTAACATTACTCCCCAACACCATCAACCCCCAGGTGGCTGATGGTTTGTTGACGAGCGTCCACCGTTGTTCGCTGCTATCTCGGCGTACCTAATTGGTAGGGTGCAATCCGCACTCCGCGCTTCCACAATCCCACCGGCCCTGCTCTCTTGCGCTCTGTCACTCTCCCTCCTTTCCCTCCTCTCTTCCCATCTCTCCTCTCTTTGGTCGCATCAGATCCTGTCTCATACGGCACATCCGGCTCTTCCCATCGATCAATGTGTAATCCCTCCACTGCGGCACTGTTATTCCTCCGCCCCCAATCCAACAGTGCTTGTGCTGAGCAACGGACATTTTCTTTGTATCAAGTGGCAAAGTGCCATCTGCCTTGTTATGTGAGATGTGACCCAACGTTCAACTCCAATATGCGTGATCAACATCTAGCATGTCCTGCTAGATCGCCCATTATTGCGAGCGCTAGAAAAAGAGAGGATTTGCGTGTTTGCGGGCTGTCCTTGATCCCATCCCCTCACCCCCCACAAGCAAGGCAAGCAGAACAAGACAAGAAGTACTCCGTACTCCGTACTACTATTACTACTAATCACCACTACGACGACTACGAATATACTACCACGGCCATTGTTGTGACTGCTACTCGTTGTGTTGGTACTCGTAGGAAGGTTGGAAGAGATGACACCAACGACGTTCGGCTCCTCGACTGCCATTCGCTAAAGGGTCGGCTGGGTTCTGGTCTGGTCTGATCTCGGACCAAATCATTGGTACACTTAGCCGGCTGCCCTTAGCCTTTTTTTGACGTCAATCCACCACCTTCGTCCAACATCCACTCACACCTCTCACATACACACTACATACTACACACTACATGACCACAACTGCCTTGCTCTCCCCAACCCTTCATTTGCGTTTCACATGACACGCACACACAAAGCACCACGTCTGGCCTGCCGTCCATCTGAGCAGCCAGGATTCTTCGGATGGCTTTTTTCTCGGCGGATTTATTTTCATTGCCTTCTTCGTCTCCGGCTAGTCTGGATGCAGTCACCTGGAGTGTGCCACTCATTCCTTTCCACAGGGCCCGGTCTCCACGCCGTCCCCTCCACTTGCACTCCAGCAGGGCAATCAGGTAGCGTCGGGAGCCTAATAAAACCTCTGCGCAGAGCTGGGTCAATGGTCGAGCCCTGCCACTGCATGTTATCAAAATTGCTACCTAGTACCACCCGTCTGATGATGCCGACTTGAACATCGAGCCTGGCAAGCATAGAGACGCTGCGCAGAGAGTACGATGTCATACTCTTTACCTTTGCTGCGCCCTTGGAATGTCCAAAGTCCGATCTCTGCATTTTCCCTTCTCGATCCAACACAGTAAGACGTGTGATTAATGATGGCCAAACCGCAGCGCCACTATCAGCTGCAGCTGCCTACGTTGAACCATAGCTGCTATCGAACAATGCGATCAAAATCAGGCAACGAATGTATCGTCCATGCTTCACCACGAACAATACTTATCTGGACATGATCTTTCGTTCATTGATGATTGTGGTGAAAAGGAGATGTGCTTTTCGCTTGTAGTTCAATACCCTGGATTCGGCAACTCTCTAGACCATGGCACATCCCTCAACATGTCTCAGTGTGGTACAACACACACACCAAACCAACCGTCGCCTGGTCACTAGCAACTCCTCCCTCCGACCCGACTTTCTTCACAATCGCTCCATCAACCCCCCCGCGCACCTTTCTATGCTATGCGATGCGAACAATTGCTTTGCAAACCTCGATGACCCTCCACCAAGCATTGATGCAGTGCGATCCACACCCGCTTTCCTACTGTTCGGACCCCTGCCGACAAACCAGCCGCTCGACCAATCACGGATCTTCTAATTGTGGGCTCGCGTTACCTAAACGGTTCCCAAACGCCACATCCAATTCTTTTCCTGGGCTTATGACTTTCGTGTCAGCGGGGAGTTTGGAGTCTCTGAAGATCCACCCCGTCCCATCCCATCCACGGCCATCCATCCATTCCCATCGAAGCTTCCATTCCCTTGTTTCTAAATGTTTCTTTCTTACGATGACGCACTGTAAATTTTGTCTCCGACAGTAGCATCACTACCCTCGTAGGCTGCGTAGGCTTTCTATGCGTTTCTTTCTTCCCCTTCCCTTCCATCTCCCTGAGCCTTGCCTTGCCTTGCCTTGCCTTGCTAGCTAGGAGGTTCACAATGCGCAAAGCACGACCCCCGGTCCGATCCAACGGCCTGCGTCTTCGTATCCAAAGTGCTTTATTGCCGAGATTCTGCGAACATGGCATGCACTCCAAACACCCCGTAACAACATAGTAGACGTTCCCGCCATTCAGTCACCGGTCGCTGTGGTTGTCTCGGACGGCTTCGTGCGTGCATACGTGCGTTGCCGTTGTGCGCGCTGCGTGCTGCATGCTGCGTGCGTATCCCGGACGCCTGCTGATATCTATATTACACCAACACACGCAGGCACTTGGGAACGGCTCTCTCAGCAAGCACAGATGAATGCTCATGACGTTTTACTCGAAATAATTGTACACATCACATTTGGCGACCTTGTGGCCATTATTCGACCACTCACCCGTACCTAAAGCACTTTCGAGGTAGGTGCGCTCGTGCGTGCGTATCACGAACGCCGTCTGATATCTTGCACCTGCATACTCACAGGAATAACTCCAACGACAAACACTGTTATGCTTATATTGATTCACCCGTCATATCGCAACTGGACTCAACGTAGATACAACATATTCCCCTAACGCGGCACTTTTCTGCGTACCTAGGCAAAAGTCGGTGCGTTGATACCCTACCTGCGTGCCTGCTTATCATCATCGAACAAGGCTCCTGAATCGAACGTTCACGCGCCAGAATACCGATAGTAGGTATTGCACTCCGGATATTAAACCGGAAAACGACCGCTTTTGATCGAACTCCTTTACACAGAACTTCTCGCCATGATATGAGTATTTGTTGTTCTCAACATTTTAGGGTGTCGATGCTGTCACGTTACCGATTAGTCACCACATACAAAGGAAACATAGTAGTTCGATCACATGAAGGTACAGACAGGTACACGTCGACATCACTGTATCCCATTCTCAGACAACATTCATCACGCACTCACTTGACACTTTCGCGATATTCAAAGACTTAGCGATGTATTATTATCGACTAAACGACCTCTCTTTTCTAGTTCGCACCCCACTTGTACATACATACAACAACAGCCAACTACCTGTCCTCCCAAACGCAGACAATCGCAAAATACAGCGTATTAATTAACCAATCGATAGACTGAAAACTACGAAGTCCTTACTCCAACGACAACAACGACAACAACCCCGATTCCCGTGGCTCGGCGCTGAGGATATTTCGACGCCTAGCGACTCGCGAGCATGTCACGTGTCGCCAATATCAAAATCCCCCCCTGGCCCCCGGCGCATCCACGCGAGATGCTTTCACCCAATTGATCGTAACCCACCACCCAAAGATGGTTGGAAAGAGCTTATATGGGATGATGAATTTACAAGGCGAAGAGAGCCATGGCGAGGCCGGCGAGACCAGCACCGGCGATCTTGACGCCGTTGGCGGAGGCAGCACCGGGGGACTGGGTGGTGCCGGCAGCGGTGCCGGAGGGAGAGCCAGAGGCCTGGGCTCCAGTGCCGGAGGGGGCGTTGGAGTTGGCAGCACCTGTTTCCCACGCGTTAGCTTCAATTGGCCTTTCCAGCAACCACCACGCCTCGAGAACGAAGCAATTGGGATGGAATTTCACGACTTACCGGTGGGGTTAGCAGAGTTGCTAGCGGCGGTGGAAGCAGGAGGGTTGACGAGGTCACCCGCGGTCTGGGTGCTGGGGAAGTACTGGGCAGCGCAGGCAGCGAGGCACTTTGCGAACTCCTCGGTGGCGGACTTGGAGCCGTCGCCCTGGTCGCACTTGCGGGCGCACTCGTTGTTGGCGTTGGCCTGGGAGGAGTTGGGGCGCGCGACGCCGAGGCAGGCGGCCTGGCACGTCACGTCCTTGGGGTCGCAGGCCAGCGCGCAGCTGACCTCGGGTCGGAGGCTGGCGCTCACGACGCTGGGGGCAGCGGTGACGGAGGCGGAGGCTTCCTGGGGGAAGGCGAAGGCGCCGGCGGCGAGGGCGAGGACGATGGCTGCGTACTTCATTGTGATGGTGATGGTGATTGTGGTGTTTGTTTGTTGGTGGATTTGGATTTGGATTTGTTGTTTGTTGTTGGATCGGATGGAAGCAAGGGATGGAAGCTTTCTTTTCGAGTGAATTATTAATAAGAATATGGGTAACGATTGTTTTTGTTTTATATAGCGAGTGTGTCGAATTAACGAGAGTATGAATAGTTCAACCGAACGGTGTTCGAGAGAAGAGAGAAGAAAGAAGTTTCGAATGATTGTTGTTGAGGATGAAGAAGAAAATCCGGGGCAAAAAGACATCAGGCGAGGGCGTTGACCCTAATTTATTCCAAGTCAACATTCGGGTCTCCCGCCCTGACTTTGCGTCTCTTGGAAACTCTCTCCTGAGTTTCTCTTGGACCGGGACGGTCCAAGCGCCGAATACATTTATTGGTGGGACTGGGGTCGGAAAATGGATCTAATCTACTCCTGGCCACTAGCACCCGAGAGTAACTAGAGGGTGTCCTATCGGAAGTGGTATTGCGTAGCGATTGACAAGGATGCTGCCTGCGGATCAACATTAGACTAGACTTGATATAGAGTAGCTCGTTTCCATAATTGAACACCCTTTTTAGGACTGACTGGCGCACCCTACCTTGGATGAAGTCACGCGTCTTCGCGTCTACCACGCACCTCCACCCAACGCGACACACCAACCCAACAATCATCCTCAACACCAGCGGAGGAACAGCAGAGAGGAGAGGAGGCATGGACAGCGACGACGATGACTACGGCGACCTGGACGACACGGCCTTCCTAGAAGCCGCCACCCAGTACGACGACCACAACACCTCATTCCACTCGCTGCCTCGGCCACCGCCCAAACGACGGAAGATTGACCACTCTAATGAAAGGAGGACCACCACCCCGTTCATTCCGCCAAGGCCCGCAGCAGCGCTGCAACAAACAACCCGGTCCAGCAGCAGAAGGGGCCCCTTTATCGATTCGGATTCAGACGAAAAGGAGGATCTCGATGGTGAGGAGGAAATTGTCGACGATGCTGATTTCGAACCTCGTTCCCGTAGTAATGTTGCTGTCGCCGCCGTCGCCAAGCGTGCATCGCCAAGTATCTCCGACGACGACGACGCATCGGAATATGAATCCACCCACGACACCAGCCCAGCGAAATCAAATCGCAGCAAGCGACAAAGGAAATCACCAGGCCATGTGGACCCCGAATCAGCATGGAAGAAAATCATGCCGAAGACGAAGAAGGATTATATCCACACGCCTACGAACGTCGTGGACTTGACGGATATTTTTCAAACGCAGCCGCCGCTGGAGAACTCGCCGCCTTGGAGGACCCGCGGCGCGATCTGGTCGAAGCCTGCGACTGCGAGTATTGGGGTCCACAGGCCCGCTGGGAAAGAGAAGGAGGGGAATGGGGGGCGCGAAGGTGTGAAGACGACAGTGAATCCTGGCAGGCAGTCAATATCTTCGCGGCCGAAACCACGGCCTCCGTCTCCTGAGGTGGATGAGTTCGATACGTTGATTGACATAGACGTCATCAATGATGCTATTCTCGATCAATATCCGGACGTAGTGCCGGTCCAGGAGACGAGCAACGAGTCTTACGATCCCGCGCAAGAGCTTGCGGATCTACCGTCTGATGCGTTTGAATCGAATCCGTCGTCGCCTCAGAAAGAGGACAATGACGTTGCGTTCATGTCCGAGAAGAGGCATCGGCTCGTGGCTCCGCAGACTGGACTGCGCCAAACGACGTTGTTCGGGCGTGGCAGCTTCAGCGAGGTTCCGGCATCGCAGGCGAACAAGCGCTACAATTTCGTTGCCAGCCAGAAGAATGAGCCTCCCACTCACCACAAGCTAGACCCCGAAGCTATGAAGACGTGGGTGTATCCTATCAATCTCGGGACGATTCGAGATTACCAGTTCAATATCGTGGCTCGTGGTCTTTTTCACAATCTCCTTGTCGCTCTGCCTACAGGCTTAGGGAAAACTTTTATTGCGGCGACTATAATGCTTAACTGGTTCCGATGGACCACCGAGGCGCAGATCGTGTTCATGGCTCCTACCAGGCCTCTCGTTGCACAGCAGGTTCAGGCGTGTTTCGGGATCGCTGGTATACCGCGCTCCCAGACATCGATGCTCACAGGAGGTGTGAAGACTGGCCTACGAGCCGACGAATGGGCTCATAAGCGCGTCTTTTTCATGACGCCACAGACCCTCCTGAACGACTTGAAAAGTGGCATTGCTGATCCGAAGAGAATCGTTCTGCTGGTAGTAGACGAGGCGCACAAGGCCACGGGATCATACGCCTACACTGAGGTAGTCAGCTTCATGCGACGCTTCAACCCGAGCTATCGCGTCCTCGCCCTGACTGCCACCCCCGGAAGCGACGTCGAATCAGTGCAAAAGGTGATTGACGGACTAGACATTTCTCGGATCGAGATACGAACGGAGAACTCCCTAGACATCAAGACATACGTGCACAAACGGAAGGTAGAGACCCAAGTCTTCGATAGGAGCGATGAAATGGATCTCTGCATGGAACTGTACACGGAAGCTTTGCAACCCATCATGAACAAGCTCGCGGGGTTGAATGCCTTTTGGACCAAGGATCCCCTTGCGCTCACGCCGTATGGCTGTACGCAGGCACGTGCGAAATACTTCACCGATGCTGGACGGAGCGTCAATTCGGGCGTGAAGATGATGGTGAGCGCCATCTTCCAGGCGCTTGCGTCGATATCGCAAGGAATGGAACTGCTCAAGTACCACGGCATACGACCCTTCTACACGAAGATGATAGAGTTCCGAGACTCGACAACGAGCGGGAAGTCTAAATACAAGAAGGAGATCTGCGACAGCAAGAGCTTCAAGAAACTCATGGGCACACTGCAGACATGGGTGCTGAAGGATGAGTTCATCGGACATCCAAAGCTGGACTACCTCGTCCAAGTCATCTTGCAGCACTTCGCCGATGCCGCGGAAGGCAGGAACCCCGATGGTGCTGCTCCGTCAGAGACACGTATCATGGTGTTCGCGCATTGGCGCGACAGCGCCGAGGAGATTGTGCGGGTCCTGAAGAGGCACGAACCCATGATCCGACCGCGCGTGTTCGTCGGACAGTCGAATGCGAAGAATTCGGAAGGCATGCAGCAGAAAGACCAGCTAAACGCGATCGCGGATTTCAAGAAAGGCCTGTTCAACACGCTTGTTGCGACGTCCATTGGTGAGGAAGGATTGGATATCGGCGAGGTCGATCTCATCATCTGCTATGATTCCAAGGCATCCCCCATCCGCATGCTGCAGCGCATGGGCCGAACGGGTCGCAAGCGTGAAGGAAGGATTATCCTGTTGCAAATGAAAGGCAAGGAGGAGAACGACGCAAACAAGGCGAAGGACAGCTACGAGAAGATGCAGGAGCTTATTGCCGAGGGCTCGAGATTCGCTTTCCACGACGATGTCTCGCGGCGCATTCTGCCCAGAGAAGCTCAGCCTGTGGTGGATAAGAGGGTGGTAGATATCCCGCTGGAGAATTCACAACCTGACTTTCTGCCTGAGCCCAAGAAGAACGGCAGAGTGCCAAAACGACCGCCAAAGAAATTCCACATGCCGGACAACGTCATCACCGGGTTCGTTACCGCGGGCAATATGAATACTGAAATCGCGCCCAAAGCAAAAGCAGCAAAGCGAAAGTCGGCACAGATATATCCCAGTGAAGAACTATACTCGTTCCCACCTTTACAAGAGGTGTTGCTGGACGACAAGCAGACTCATGATCTCGCACGGCGGTTCCAGACGGTCTTCGACGACGAGGACCAGCCGACCGTCGGTCCCGTAGATATGTGCAATCACCCTGCCCGACAGCGGTCGTTGCCGCGTACCCATCACTTCCCGCGGCCCGGGCAAGCAACGCAATGGTTCGCGCAGACGCTGCGAAAGATCCACACAGTCGACCTCGACCGGATCGAGCGATTCCGAACCCGCCAGCGCATTTCCGACCGCGAGGCAACACCCGATCGAGACATTCGCGTGCCAAACGACGGCTACATCCCAGACCCCGTCGCACCGCCCGAGCCCGTCAACGAAGAAGCATGGGCATCCGACGACCCAGCCTCGCAACCAATCCTCCACAAAGCCGTCAAACCCCGAGCGAAACCAGGCCCGAAACCCAAGCCAAAGACAACGACGACAGCGACCAACACCGCCAAACCCACCAACAACGCAGCTGCCCCCAAAACACCAGCCCGTCGCGGCCGACCCCCCAAAAAAGCCACCGCTCCCATCGAACCCCCCATAGAAGCCCTCAACACCTCCCCAGAAGAAGAACGAGTCAAAACCCCCCGCTACCGCGCCTCCGAGTTCGTCGAAGAAGCCGAAGAATCCTCCCCACCACCCACCGACCCGCGCATGCGCCTCGCAACCCAAGGCATCGACCTCGGCTCCGACGACACCATCGGCTCCGACGAACTGCAAGACACGCAGGCCTACCTCCTCGACTCCGACCTGCGTGACTTCATCGCCGACGAAAACGACGAAGAGGTGCCGGAGTCGAGCCTCCCGAGCCTCGACATGAATGGCCTGGGCCGCGGGACACAGGCTGTCGTCAATGGCGCGAGGGATCGGCGGAGGAAACCTATGGCGAAGATCTTTACGAGCGATATCACGGACGACGGGGGTGGGGGTGCGGTGCTTAGTAGTGATTCTTCTGACGGGGGGGAGGACGAAGTGCTCGTCAGTCGTCGTGCCGTAGCAAGGAAGGGAGGGAGAACCGTGGTCGTGGGCGACTCAGCGAGCGAGCGGGAGAGTCTGGACGACGATGATGATGAAGATGGGCCGGTTGTGCGGAAGGTGGCCCGGCCACGGAGGGTTATCATCGATGATGAGGATGATAGCGATGATGACTGATCAATTGATCGATTGATTTTATTAACGACACGGATGATCAAAGAGGGAGTATATAGACGGGCGATTGGGAGGCTCAACAGCGGATTATTGGCTATGGTGTGTGTGTGCATTGGGAGCACGGTTTTATATCCCACACAATTTTTCCTCGTTTGGATAAGAAGCAGGAAGGGAGAAGAGCAATGGAAGCTAGTATTCGCCGTTTTTATAGTCGATATGTATCTATATCTATTTAACTATACACTATCTGGTGGAAAAACTCGGGCATCAAACGGGAGCGAAGTGAGAATGCGTGTTTATGGTCTTGCGAATGTTTACCGTAAACGTTTGAAGGTTGTGGATGGGAATTAAGGGTTGAGATTGCTAGAGTATGTGAGGTTATCTCTATGTCGGTAGAAGGTAGTAGTACAACGCTCCTGAGAACCGGATGTCAGCACGGCTCGTGGCGATGACGAGATATAGATATCAAGTGGGATGTGGGATGTTTATCTCTTATATATGGGCATGTGTTTCGTGTGTATATCATATATCTACGTGATTTTTATATGTACTGAGGAAGATGGTTATCCTTTGATATATTTCAGATCATGAAGAGGAGTCGTGTTGTCTGCCCCTATGTCACCACCAAAACAAGCGTTTCAATGGTAATCGTTACAATGGTGTATGGTTAGAAATAAGTCCGAGATATTTTAAAGTCCTTCTTAGTTGTTATAACGTATTAAAATGTTCATCGATTATTCGTAATGACAGGGTGTCGCGATAGCAGTCGATCGTACTGGTCATGTCCATCTGAGGGCTGATGGTGATGTAGGTAGCTTTATCGATAAGTGGCACCGCCCGGACTTTCCCGCACCCGATTGGCCAGGGAAATGCGATGGAACGGCGGAAGAAATCGCATGACTTTAGTAAAGTCCAGATGGAGTATGAGATTTCGCCGCAAGTCCGCCGAAAGGGGTTCCTTTGTAGGTTCCGGGTAGAATAAAATGGAAAAGGGAGGAAAGGCCGTTGGTTCATCTTGTTCGCCGCATGAATATTCGTCCATCAATAGAGAATTGTCCGGTGTAATTGGCCGTTGGCCGCCACACCGTTGAAGTTACAAAGTCATAGGTGGTACAGTAGAGGCCAGATCTCAACGACGTCCTCAATGATTACTATTAGCTCCCCGTCAGCGAGCAATCTCACCACCTCTCTTCCAAGTCCCAGTTATGATCTGATCACAGCGTGACTACTGCGCGCAACTTGCTTGTCCTTTTATTTTAATTTAGGTAGCCATATGATCCTTTGCTAAGACTCTCGTGTTTAATATCTATCCTCATCTCCCCCGTCCCTCTTGTTACTTTGTATTTGTCAACCACATCTACTTACACCTGGTACTGATACCAATTGTTGTATCCATACTGGTTGGTTAGAACTTGCTTCCGTACTCCGCCGGTATCATTGCCACTATTACCATACCATTGCAATTGGATTTTCCATAGGGCGGCCATCCGGGTCACAGCCTCATACATCGGCAAAAGGCGGAACTAAACCCGAAAGGGAATGATGAGAGAAGATTAGCGGAGTAGCGCCACCTATCTCCGTCACCTCGTACCTGGCGCCTGGCTGCTTTCTGCTGCTTTGTGTTCTTTTTTGTTCTTTTTCTCGACTCTACTACTCAGTTAAACTCTTCTAACGTCTTGTCTGGTCTTGACTTGGACGTTTTCAACTTCCCCATACGCTAATTTCTCCGAGTCGGGGGAGACGACGCGAACTTATATTGAAACCACTATCTGGCCTCTTCCTCTTCAATAACCTAGACCACCATCTCCTCACCACCACACCCCCCACATATGCAATACATCCGGCTTCCACATCAATTTGCCGGTCGATACCTGTCTGTCTCTACTTTCTAATCCTGTCACACGGCATTCCTCATATACAGCCCGATCTGCAATATCTGGGACCTGGTACGTACCCCATTCCTCCTCTTCATATATGCACACCTCTCCGCATTCGCTCGAGCACATTGGAACCATCATTGCTGACTTCGTGGAACCTTCTCAGACGTCCCTGGAGATCAATCTAGTCTAAACCCCCAAGACATAGATCTCACATACCATGCGATCCGCAGCTCAAGTGTTCTACCTAGCAGTGTTCTCGCTGCTAGGTAGTTCACACGCCCAGGCGCATGCGACCGCTCCTTCGAAGTCGAAGAGCGCTCCTCCAAACGTCTGCGAAGTAAGCAATAATGGGTCTTCCGCCTGCTATCCCCCCTCCTCTCCTCCCACGACTCAAAACCAGAGTCCTAAACATGTCGTGCAGTTCGAACCATTCGCCATCGTCTCGGATGCCTGCGCAAGCTACAACACCCTCGACCAGCTCAACGAAGCGATCCATCCCTACCTCCACTCCATCACCCAAGAAACCGATTTCTTCTCCCACTACCGATTGAACCTGTTCAACAAGAAATGTCCCTTCTGGAGCGACGAGAATGGCATGTGCGGGAACGTGGCGTGTGCGGTGAATACATTAGACAATGAAGAAGATATACCGTTAGTCTGGCGCGCGAAGGAGCTGGGTAAGCTTGAAGGTCCCACAGCGCAACATCCAGGGAAGAAGCAACAGAGGGCGCACAAGGCGAGGCCACTGCAGGGCGGTCTGGGTGACGATGTTGACGAGAGTTGTGTGGTGGAATACGACGATGAGTGCGACGACCGCGATTACTGTGTCCCGGATGACGAGTCTGCGACCGCGAAGGGCGATTATGTTAGTTTGGTGGGCAATCCGGAGAGGTTCACTGGGTACGCAGGCGTTGGTTCCCAGCAGGTCTGGGAGGCTATCTATCGCGAGAACTGCTTCAGCAAGCCGCCTAAGGTGTCGCAGTCCAGCCACAACTCGCCGTTCGGTGGGTTCGGCAATCAGGAGCAGATGCTTGCCGCAAACCAGTTGCGGAACGTCATGAAGGAGCAGGGTATGCAGCAGAATGTCCAGTCTGCCATTGCACAAGGAACCGCCAGAGCGCACCTTGATCCCGTCGAGTTTGACGATACCTGTCTCGAGAAGCGAGTGTTCCACCGTGTCATCTCTGGAATGCACGCCTCCATCTCCACGCACTTGTGCTGGGACTATCTCAACCAGACGACCGGACAATGGTCGCCGAACCTGACCTGCTACGAGAAGCGCCTCCACCACTATCCGGACCGCGTCTCCAACATCTACTTCAACTATGCGCTCGTTATGCGTGCCGTTGGCAAGATAAAGCAGCACATCCAAGATTACTCTTTCTGCTCCGAGGACCCTGAAGAAGACGCCCGTACCAAGAACATGGTTCTCCGTCTCGCATCCGCAGTTCCCTCCGGCCCCGAGATCTTCGACGAATCGATCATGTTCCAAGATCCGGACACGATCGCCCTGAAGGAGGATTTCAGGAACCGCTTCCGTAATGTGAGCCGGATCATGGACTGCGTGGGTTGCGACAAGTGCCGTCTCTGGGGCAAGCTCCAGACCAACGGCTACGGCACCGCTCTCAAAGTCCTCTTCGAATTCGACGAAAACGACTCCTCCAAGGACCCCGTGCTCCGCCGCACCGAGCTCGTCGCCCTACTCAACACCATGGACCGCCTCTCGCACTCCCTCCAAGCCAACAAGGAATTCAGACGCATGATCGAGGAGCGGGACGGCACCGCCAAACCCGCATTTCCCACCCTAGTTCCCGAGCAAGAGGTCCTCAAAACAAAACACCGCCTCGAGAATCCCGACCAAGAGTCTGCAACGAGCGAAAAGCCAAAAACCCCCAATTTCAAACGTGATTGGGATTCTTCGAGGATGACCGTCATGGAGGAGTTCTGGGCGGAGCTCGACCTCGTTAAGCGTGCCTACATCCACGTCTTGAAGAGCTGGATTGCGCTGCCTGGTAGATTGTAAGTTCACACTCAGCAACAGCATACCAAATAATCACAGACTAATGAAAATAGCACCCGAATTTTCATCCTGGAACTCAACCGCCTCTGGCACTGGTGGTCCGGCCTCGTGGTCCCCGAACGCAGCTGGGAGATTCGCATCCCCACCCGCGACGAACTCTAAGCTCAATGTTTCCTCTATGCTCTTCAGAACCTCAATGTTCTACTCTTCTCCCCGTTCATCGTTTAGTTGTTCGCAGTACATGCATACATACGAATAAGATAGATACCATCACACGCACACACCATCATATACATACATCCCGCCCTACCGTTCACACCAAACCGTACTATACCGTACCACACCATTACAACCAACAAGCGGAAGACAATTAGCATATAGGCGAACCTTGCATAGCTCCCGGCGTTTCTTCCTTTTTTTCAATTCGTCCATCTTGAGGGCTTATTTGCATGCATGGCGGGGGCTTTTGTAAAGTCCCTGCGTATCCCGTTGTGGAGAAGTTGGGGAGGAGAAGGGGGTGACCATGGGGGCGTACATATATGAATGAAATACTCGATCACAAAATGTGTGTATACGCGCTGTGTCTTGTCTCCTCCGTCTGTCTGTGTAAATTTGTGAAGGAAGATGTAGCAATGACTCCGCACCCCTCGTCCCTCGTCCAGATATCAAATACAACCTTCCGTCGAACTACAGTCCTATGAATCTACAGCGTACATAAAACGTACCCTCCCCATCCCCATCCCCATCCCCTTCCTCATCATTCATTCACAAGCAAACATCATCGCCGTACCCAGAAGAAGTCAATTGAATTTTCAAATTACTTTTGCTAGGGTAGCATAGTATCCCACGGATCCGTACCTTTGGAATCTCACGTCACTCTTAATGATCATGGATATTTGAGACAAACTCGCGAAGCATGGGCGGGCTTTCATGGAAATGCAATTGCAAACGTCAATTTTAGATTTTTGGTATGGGTGTTCACGTGCGGTTCGGTGGTTCATCCTTTATCGTGGCTTGGCAAAGAAGTGGTGAGGTTGAATGCAAGGTCTTTAGACCATGCGACCTGCGCGGTATAGTGGACATGCGCGTTGGTAACGGGTACCCCTGCGCGAATCTGCGGTTTCGGATGATAACAATCGGTGGCATGCGCGGTTTAGTAGACATGCGCTGATTGGTTGGAGATGGGTGATTTAGATTACAGAGACGATTTCGGGTCGACTTCTCCGATTTGATGGACTCGCACGATTTAGTGGCGCATATATAGATTGGTTGGACGTGCACAGACTGGTTGCTACATGGGCGGTTTGGGTGCCAGGTACGGTATTGGGACATGCACGGTATTGTGGGATTGGTTGAAATAGATGACAGGCTCGGTTTCGGGGACAGATGTATGACGGTTTGGGCGACAGGGACTGTATTGGGACATGGCACTTATGTCGTGAAATTCTTATGCTACACATACATGTGGATATATACGTGCCAAATGCGCACACTTGGCTGTAGTTAATGGCGCTGGAGCTGCTGGAGCTGCTGGAGCTGCTGGAGCTGTGTGGGATATATAGTTCACTCCTTTCCCTTCGTTTTTGTTCATTCATCCCGCTTATTCATTTGTTGAAGAAGAGTTGTGTTGTTTCCAATGGTGATGATGACCCTTTTCCGCATGTCTAGTGTGGTCATGTACTGTTTTGTTGGTGAGAATGGGAGGAGGGGTGAACGTATGTAGTGTCGTGGCGGATGGATGATGGGCTCGATATAGTGTCGTTCATAGCTTGGTACACTCGAGATCGATATTGAGGTTGGGGAAGTATCTGTCTTCGCTCAGGCACTCAAGGCGGCGGTGGCTTGTGGGACGGGTTGGTCCTGAGTGTGGGGAGGTATAGATGGAGTGGAGGTGTCGTTCGTGTTCTCCTCGGGTACCTTCACGCGCTTTGCGGTGGTTTCTTCGTTTTCTTCTTCTGCCTCTCGTTTCTGGTTCTTCTTAGTGCTCGCAGGCGGGGCGGTTTCCCTGGCTCTTGCCCTCTTCTCAGCACGGGATTCCTGCGGCGGGATCCCAAGGCGTGCGTCGACGGCCTTCGCACGCTCGAGCAGGTCGTCGACACCGTCGAGCTTGAGGGCCTTGACGACGTCCGCGTAGCACTTGGAGCTGTTCATCTCGCGGTACATCTTGTCCTTTCCGGGGATCATCTGGCCGAGGAGATACTTCGTGTTGCCCCAACGATTCTCGACTGCGATCGCCAGGCGCATGTAGTCAGTCACAGACGTCTTCCACTTCGCCCTCCACTCCTGCGGTCCTCCCTCTGCGTCCTCGCGGAAGCAATTCGGGTTCTTCTCCGCCTCGGTTGCGATCATCCCGCCGTCGACGCCGAATTCCTGCGCCAGTTGCAGCGCCTCGCGCCGAGAGGTTACGTCTCCGTTCATCAGGCAGGCGACGCCCGCTTCACGACAAATGTCTGCGATCATCTTCAGTTGGTCGCGGATGGCGCGCTCCCGGGGCCGCATGGGTGTCGTCCGGCAATGGACCGTCAAGCCTGTGATTCCCGTCTGCACCAATCTCCTGACCAGTTTCTCCGTCTCTTCTGCCGTGCTGAGTATTCGAATCTTGACACTGATACCGATCTCGAATGGCTTGCCTACATCCTCCACCAACCGCCGCAATATCTCGCACAGCAAGTCTGGCGTCTTGAGCAGCGCAGCGCCCATACCGCCTGATGTAGAGAACGGCTTGGGACATCCAGAGTTTAGATCGATGCCCGCTACGTCCGGTGCCACAATCTTCGCGGCCTCGACTGCGAGGTCCGGGTCTGCGGTGCCGATTTGGTATATCAGTTTCCCCTTCTCCAGCTCCGGGTGGATGCGATATATGACCGACTCGCGGTTCTCTGGGTCCAGAGCTGGATTCTTGACTTTGGAGGAGGGCATCCGGGAGAATTCGATGGTCGATGTGTGCGGGTTTACGCGGCGGGTCGTGCCTATCATTGCGCGATCAATCGTCTCGGGACCTGAATGATATATTTCTGTTAGCATGCTACAGGATGTCTCATGATCGGAGAAGAGTTGACGCACCCCAGACAAGATCAGCACCGTACTTCAGCGCCAGCAATCTTGAAGGCAATTCTCCCGACCTGACCATCGGCGCAAGAACGACTTTGCCACGGTAGTCGACGCCATTTTTGGGAATGGGAACACGCTTGGGCTCCGTTGCCGCTGTTGGGGATGATGTTGAAGCCATGGCTCGTCGAATTGTACGTGCGAGGAGCCTCAGCATCCCATTTGGTCAATGTGTGGGGGGGTTGAAAGTTCCAAATGCTAACTCAGCGCAGAGAAAAAAGTTGTGGAGGTGGGATGGGGAGTCAAATGCAGATGCGGCCTCGTTCCGATATTTCGCCAAGCGGGGCTGCGGGGATTCTGATTGGCCAGAAATCTCGATCGATTGGCGAGGTGTGCTATCGATAGCGAGGTGTCCCTGGCAGCATCGTTAAAAATATTGCCATGTGTAGAGGTCTATATGGAGGATATCCATTTTTCATTCTGCATGAATTGCTCGTCAATTTGAGCTGGTGTATTGCCATGTTAGAGTATGGAACTATCGTCTGGGCGCTATGAACGCCTATAGATTAATAAATGTGATTATTATCGTTCTAGCCTCGTGGTTTGGAAAGAAATAATCGTATTGGGTATATCAATCAAAAGTGGTTCCAAGATATACATAGATTCTGGTCCTGGGGGATATGTTTCAATTACTCTGTTGGTATCTAGCATGCACAAGAAATGCTGAAGACATGGCGACTAGGAACGCCTGATAAGTCCTGCGCCGCAGTAACTTGTTAATACATCTAAGACCACCTTCTTATTCAAAGCGTGGCGTCTTTCCGTGATTCTGCAAACGGTCAGAGTCAAGTCCTTTGTCGTATTTGCTTCATTTGCCGTGTCAGCCGATTTCCATCAACCTCGTAGGTGTCCAGACCTTCTCGTGGCCAGGGACCCTACACTGTGCACACCGTAATGTCTTGTCACGGTCCCATAAGCCCGTATCCACTAACGCCAGTCTCCACCATGAAGAAATGGTCCATGTAATGTCTTGCTTGGTACGGTATGCAAGCAAAATAGAGTGCGCGCTTTCTCGACCGGACTGTAGCACAAAGCCAAGGATATTGTGCTGCGATCGATACTTTGGCACTTGAGTTGCCCTTTCAGGGTCTTTTCAGGGTGCAGTTTTTCTGGAAACCTGGGCCCGCACTTGGAACGTTCTATGGGTGGACCGCACCGGAAAATTTTCCACGAAGCGTGACGCAGGGCGAGTTAAAGTTACGAGATCCGCATGGCCAAGGAGACTTGGCTGCGTTCGATGGATTTTGTTCAAGTTACTGCTTTGAGACTGTTGGGGGCTGGAATGAGAGAGACCAGGCGGATTGATTGTGCTTCGGTGAGACATCTCCCAGAAGTGTTTTCTATAGCATTTTAGTTATCAATGAGGCTCTCGTTACTTTAAATGTTGCTGTGCTCGTCCTATTATGCTACTTATAGGGCTGTAATTAGTGTCCTGCATGGTCATAGAAAGCCAATATACATTTGCCTAACTTCCAATCATGGCTACTTGAAAGATTGCTTTTATCGACGACAATGAAGTTGTGCTTCATCGTGGAATTCATCGAGCCAAGGAGACTTGGCTGCAATTCACACTTTCTTTGAATTACCCTTTTCAGTATATTCTTCGTTGTCGCCGAATACGGCCGAGTCAGCACAGTCCATCATCGTACACGTTAGTGGTCTTGGAGAGACATTATATTCTTAGTACTGGCAAGTGAAGCGCACACGGAATCCTTGCATGCCGGCGACTGAATTTTATTGCAAGAGGAACGATGGAAATCTGTGTTCAATGTCGAAATTATTCCGTGTAGGAGTTGGTATCTTTCTGTCGTTCATGTTGTTAATTTCTGTTGTCAACGTCCTGTGGCCGGTGAAAGTGTGTACCCAGCAACGTCATAACGATACTCAAGCGGAGCCTCACGGATAGAACCGCCACCACAAAACTTGCATATTATTTCCGCATTCTTAGCGCAAGCCAGAGCGTCATCACTACTACAACTTTCGCCTCCTGGCTGCAAAATTTGTCCAAATCATCATCGGAGATACATGTTAACGCAGTGGCAATGGCAGTTTAAGGTTGTAGACGGTGCAAGCCAAGGTAGACGCCTTTGATGGACACTTTTTCTGAAGTTGCTGTATCGGGTAGGTGAAGATGCCGACTTTGCCTTTGGAACGAAGACTACCAGGAACCCGATGCATATAGTAGTCGTTAGAAGCTGGGCTTCGGAGGACTGTGCTCGAATACGGATTCTGAAAGTGCCCAGTTGATGGACACCCCTTCAGATACCACAAAGAGATCACAACAAGGACGTGATAATTTTAATAACGGTCTGTTACCAGTCAGTATTGTTCGTCTGTTTTTCCCCAATAACCATTTTTATCTCTTGCAAATCTTCGATCGAGGACCTGATGTATGCAAAGTGCACGTTTTCTGTTGACCCGGAGCACTCGGAAGTTCCTCCATCGTATCCCAACACTAAGCAGGTGGCAGGCCAAGATGCCATCGCCGAAGCCCACAAAATTCGCATCCTTTCACCGTAGACAGAAGCTAACGGGGATCGAAAGGAATTAAATTCGCGTTAATCGATGGCCAAGAAGGACGCCTATTTTCTACACTTCCTAACACGGTATTTTGAGAGAAAAAATCTCGTGAGACTCGCCGGCCAAGAAGGTGACCTATTTTCCACACTTCCTAACTCGGTATTTTCGAAGGAAATAAGCTCATTTAAGGCGCTGAAATAAGCAGTCAAGAAGTGTTAATTCTGGATTCGTACCTTGACGCTAATTCCTCCACCAGCTCTCGTGTTGGCACCGTTGTGTAGATGACAACTGGTCCAACCTAACCATACAGCTCTTCTGCGAGATCCCTTCCTTAGCTCCATATCACTAAAACCTGACCTGGTGCAAGGCTCCAACCCAGAATTTCTATATGAATCTCATCATATATCGAAGGTCAACGAGAATTTCCTGTAAGGATTAGAATGTCCAAGTAAATGATGGGTTGAAAAAAATTTCATCATCAGGATATTGCAAATCAAACCTATTCGATAAGCCGTTCATAATCATCACTTTATCGGCAATGAATGCTGTGCAATCGAAAGAATCAGTGCCATGCTGGATTTTTCCTGTTTTGCCAAATTAATTGAAAGCATCGCCTCCCTCTTCCCGTTCTCTTCATTTGATTGTGAGAATACGGATGAGATATTCCAAGATACCAGCACCGCAAATTGACGCAGCCACTGGCAGATAGTGTGCTGATGTAGACTATGTCTCTGTAGATGAAGTTGAAACAACGTTGTTACCGAATGGAGATCAAACCCCAACTGGTATATCTCCTTATGTGTTTAACTTGCTATCGATGAGTCCATCTGTCAATCAATTAGCTAAGGGAAATCATAGCTCTCGAAACGAATTCGGCGACCATTACCTCGAGATAAGCTTTACGTATCATATGGCCGTACAGCAAGTCATACAAATGAACTCTCACAACGTGAGAATAGGTATCAATCTGTGCGATCCTGTGAGATGCCTGCTCTTTGAAGGCATGGTTGTTGTTTCTCTGTCCTTCTTGGTTTGTACTACTATTTGGTGTTCTGATTCGTGATTGCAAGGGCCCTAACAAGTGGTCTAGTGTATGTTGTAAACGTCTGACCGAAACTGGCGACGAGATGATATGACTTAAGCAGCAGAGAAAACGTTGATATGGTGGCCTAGCCTAGGAGGATTTCATTGACTGTATACTTCAAACTCGATGAGCAAGTATCTGAAAATGACTTCGCAGTGACGTTTCCGTTACCGGTGGACGCTTTCTTGAGCTCTGTAGGATGACTAAAATACGTCAATAGTTGATGTACTTGGTGAAATACTGCCTGGAATGATACTAGGGAGTGAAGTAAAAGTCATATTGTTTATAGCAGCCTGCTGTTGTAAATGTGAAAGGTAGTCTCATAGTACTACACCTTCTATTACACACATGCAGTACATCATCATGTGAACATATCGTAGTGGCTGAAGGTCTGATAGATTTCATAGTGCAGCAAATGGGAATGGTATGAGGTGTGGTGAAAGTTAATGGTCCAGTGAGATGGTGACGATGTTGTGGTTGATGTGCTTAATGGAGTAGGCGAGGAGAGAATAAGGTAGTCACGACTAAGAGCACCTCGCACCCTCTTCGTAGATCTCGGTTGAACATATAGATCTTGGTCTTTATGTTTCTTCGGCGTAGTGATCTCTGTGTCACTGTTGGATGTCTTCATCGGGATCTAATCAGCTTTTTAATGCAATGGTAGGCATCAGTGTAACACAATGGTTCATACGTAGGGTTATATTTAACCATTCCCTACCTCAGTCAAATTTGTTTATCGTGATTCGCTATCTCTGACATAACTTACATCTTAGATCTTGTGCCATGCGATGCCAGTCGGTCATGCTTTGGACGTCTACAGCTAAAATGGGAAACACTCAGGACACAACACTCAGGACACATAATGGTCTACCATTTTGCATAGATATACTTTGTTTCAATACTACTTGAGATGTCTCATTGGGTACCGAATAGCCCCCAAATACTGTTGTCGTCGGTACTCGTTTCTTCACGGAGGTAATGACTGTGCTTGTGCTCTTCTTAGAACGACAACGACAGTGACTTCTGTCTCTATGATGTTCTGTATCCGAGCATATAGGGTCGCTTCCATTGGCATTGTCAGTGTGATTATGTACTAAGCCTTGTTATGGCTCATCTTATTCTCATAAATAGGGTATAGTTGTGACAGGGATGATGTACTCCCTTATTGTGCTCCACGTGAACATGCGGTGCATCTTGTATGTGCTACATATCAACAAGATTATATCTAGATGATGTCTAGATTACCTGCACATCTTAATCAGTCACAAATATATTCAAAACAGGATGGATTGCAGACCACGACGTACTGATCATATGACGGCTGGTCAGTGTAGCGGGTAACCCAGCAGAGGCCTGCCGATTCTTCACTTCAAAGGAGATATACAATGGTATACCGCAGCTATTCAGTAGGTTCACTCTCGTGTGGGTTGCTACTAATCGTGTTCAGGGGATTTTGGAGATCTATACTTTCTGCTGTTCTTTTTTGCTTGTATGAAGATTCAGTGACGAGTTGTGTG